ATGTCTAGAGAGATTTTAAAGTATATCTCTATATTCAACCTATAAATGATTATGGATTCTACGCCTATTAGTTATTAAACTGTTATTTTCCATTGTAAAGTTTACTACAAAGAGATTAAGAGATTTTCATCGCCTGTCATAGATAGCTCAAAAGTTTTTACACTAATTTAACAAAGGGAAAATTCATCAAATTACTCACTAATTTAATTTTTTTTAAATGTTATACGACGACCAACGGACGTTGATACCTAATTATTTAAATATAATATCAGATTTAGAATTATTAAAACTATAGTAAATGTATTTAAGGTTATAAACATAGGCTTTATACATCCATGAAATATTTTTATATTTCACTTCTTTCACATTAGTACTATGCACTAGCGGATCCAGGATTTAATTTTGGGGGAGGGGGCTTCAGCCCGGAAGATTTTTTTTCATAAAAATAACGATATTTACTTTGGAAAAACAGAAAGAAACTAACTATCTATAAGAAATGGTGATTAAGTGATTCCTTAAATCCTTTTAAATGTAATTAAACCAACAATAATACTTTAAGAGGTATTTTTTAATTTTATCCCTCATAAAACGTGGTTATGTTTTACCATTTTGGGGGGGGGCTTCAGCCCGAAAGCCCCCCCTCCCCCGTAAATCCACCCGTGGTACTATGAAATAGCTTTTTTAACAATAACATTGCGTTGATTAGGTGAATTTTAAATAGTTTTTTCAAACTTAAAAACAGTTTAAATTTAGTTAATAAATTTCATTTATTTAATTTACTTGAAAAAATGTGATTTCCGTTAAATTATATTAGTTTACACAAATTATTATTTATAATAATCTCTCTCCATTACTTTCTATATTTCATATTGTTTTTTTCTAAAATTATCCGCTTTCCAATGATATAACTTCTGACAAGTATTTCCGGTAATTCATTTTCATCCTCAATACACATTTTCCCTTTTTTCTCCATTTTTCAATTATCAAATTCTTTCAAAAGTTATATTTAGCATTTTTTCTTAATTCTTAATAATGAGAGATGGTGAATTATTAAAAATTAATCAAATTAAAGGTACTTTAGAGGATGAAATGTTGAACATTTAGGCATTTAAGCTATGTAAAGTGACATTAATGGGGATAAGACCTCAATGATATTAAAGACCACTTAATTATACAATAATACACGAGTTTAATCAAAATTTTATGTGCAACCAGCTTTCTGTCTTTCAGTAATAACAAACAAATCATAAACTACAAAAATAAAATGAAGATATTATTTGCCATTAAATGAATTATGGAAGTTTGTTAGCGGAAGGGTTCATATAAATAAAATTAAATAAGATATAATGAAATATAACATATATTTTTGAACATTTTTACATAATATATTTTAAATAACAAAACTTTTAATCCATTACTTGTTTTTCCCATTTTTCATTACTTATATATATTTATTTGATTTATTATATTTCCATTTATTTGCTATTTGTACTTATCTTTTTGAGTGTCAGGTATATATATCATAACCTTTCGTACTTATTCATTACCTTTTATTATCATAAACTAAGTTTTTGTTAATTCATCTAATTACATTTTATTATTCATATCTAATTATTCCATTTTATGTTTCTTCTTCATTTAATACTACTCTTCATTGTTTATTTCCGTTTTATAGTTGAATTGAAATACTTTATAAAACCAATTATGTCAAGTTCCACTTTTGGTAATATTATTTCAGCCAACAATTTGCCCTAACATCGCTGCCATACTCCTATCTACCTTAATAAATAAGTATAATCACTGAACTTTTCATTTTTTAGCTAGATTCTGCATTTACACAAAAAAACCATTAAGCAAAAAGTTTTTTTATGTTTTTGAAAACTCAAGAGTTGAAATTTTTAATGATCCCAATACTTCGCATTACATTAAAATAAAATAATATCCATTTTCACATATTATTTAGTCAATATAAAAAAAAAAGTTCAAAATTTATTTATTTTTTAACCTATGCTTATTCTACTTTAGAGAGTTGAAAACAAGTATTCATTATTTTTTTAAAATGATCAGTTTATCAGTTTCTTTTTTAGTGCCCATATTTGTATCGGTCTGTCAACTAATTTTACATTTCACAGACATTAGTGTTAATCTATATCTGTTTTTTTTTTTCTTTCTATATCTTCAGTTCAAATAAAACCGAACAGCTCACAAAATTACTAACCTAGACTCTAATAAAGTTGCATTAATAACATTTTAAGCACATATTGAAACACCATAATACAATACTATATTTGTAATTAAATGACTGTATCATGGTTAGACTAACATCATACAGTGCCAATTTTGATGCCTACTTCAATAAATAATCAATGAAAAAGTTATATTTGTATAAAACATTGTCTGATTAAAATAACAATTAAGTCTAAGTGTGGAAATTTTAACTACATAGTGAGACTGCCTTTGTTTTGTTATTCGCATTTTTAATTTTAGAAATTTGACATATACCTAGCATTTATTGGTTATTTACAGATAAGTTGCAATATATATGTTTGAAGGGAAATGATAGAAGATGTTATTTATAATACATACAACCCATATATTTATAAAATATAATAAATCATATACATAAACTAAATTTAATAATTATAATGTTGCTAGAAAATTAATCTTTGTATCTTAACTTTGTTATTATTATACAAAATAGAAATTCTATTAATGAACAAATAAATATTTTTAGGTTCAAATTTACAATACAAAATATAAATGAATTAATACAACATACAAATTAATGAATACAAGATATGTTTTTGTTTATACAAAATCATGAATAAAGGAATATAACATTACAAATAAAGCATTTTTAAATGCATCAGAAAAAGCTGAATAATAACTAATGATTATTCTCCATATTCTTCAAACACCTTTAAAAAGGCTTTATTAATAATATCTCGGTTTGGAGGTACAACCTTACTAGTATTTACAGAAAAAGTGTCTGTTTTATATTTTTTAAATGGCCCAGCATGTTGCTGGGAAATCACTCTTTTTGGTGCATTCGTAATATACCACAGGCACAGGCTGCCATTTTGTTTAAACAAGTGCTGGTTTCAATATTAGAAATATTTTCATTCCACAAAGTCCGCACACATCTTCCCCAAGCCTCGTTCCATTTCACATATGCACAAACTTTGTTCTGGTTGAGGTAATTAGTCCAACCCTTCTCCTAACATGGACCCATAATTCTGTGCAATTGTTTTGGGTTTATTTGTATTTCCACACTGTTTTTCTATTATTTGGACGAGTTTATTGAACGGGGCCATAATTTTCTCTTCACCTTTGTTTGATTTTTTTTTTTTCTCTTAGGCTGCAATACATACCGTTGTTCAATAAAGATGAATCATCAAGTACTTCAGCCTGTCCTTCATGTTCACACTCAACAGTAGGTGAACGCTGAAAAAAAAAATTACCAATTTTAGGCCTGGTATCATCCAACTAAAAAATCAGATTTTTTAATTTCGTTATAATTTTTTCCCTTCTATTTTTTGCCATGCTTATAACACATTTAGTTGAGATTTTCATTTTTAGAGGAGGGTCTATGTCTGGCACACTTTAAGACTCAATTTTACAGAGAACAAATAAAAGCTATGTAACATTTACATTAATAATGAAAGTCGAGGAAAAAACAAAACTAATCTTTAATTGAAATAGGAAACAATGGAATCAAATTCATAACAGAAGAAAATAAATAATTTGTTATGGGTAAACAGATAATGTGGAGGGTTAAGGAAACAAGACAGAATGGCTAAGGCATCATAGGGCATTTTCTCTTTATAGTCATTACCCTATGTACATTGTTTTACTATATGAAAAAGTATAAAAAAAAATAACTTAATCATAGACTAGGAGGGATATCAAAAACTAACAATGAACTTCCAATTAATTAAATATAAATAACCAGTTAAATGCTAAATAATTAACACCCCTTGTCCATTGTTTCCTTTGCGATGATGTACTTAAGTTGGACGTTAGAAAAGAAAATAGAACTAAATTAACTTACAACAGACTTAATTGATTGTTTGAATTGAAAAATAATAAAGTAACACTTGCAAATTTAGTAAAAGAGGAATTAACCATTCACTAAATTGTAAAAAAATGTCTATACAATAAATCAAAGAACCTCATAAATAAATGGAGAAAAGAATTTTTAAATGCATTCCTTGAATCAAACAATTGAAAAAATATTGGCAGCTCATTGCAAAGTAATTAAGTGAAAATTCATTATTCCTTTAAGTAATCAAGAACTTTGAACATCTTTTTTTTTTATAAAATCAGAAAATTGTGTGCTTCTTGTAAGTATAATTGATGTATAAAAGGGTTTGTTTCATTTCCATGCCCATACAGTGTTTTTGTATAGGTAAATAAAGTACAAATTCATAAAATAAAATCTTGAAAGTTAACCTATATCAAATATGCACATAGTGCATGAATTGAATGCAGTAAACGGAGGATATATCAAGAATTTTCACTGGTTAGAGAATTAATAATTGACTATGTTTAACGGAAGGAAATTGACAATCCTAGCAATTGTGTGTGAAAAATTACATAAAATCGCGTTAATTAGCTTTACAGATATATATTTTGAAAAACAAGGTAAAATGTATTTATAGAGAAATGTCATGGCAAAGAAATAAACAACTGATATTAATAAGGAAAACTAAGATCAATTTTATGCTTACCTTGTATGATTCTCATGAATTTTCGACATCTGCCATCTTCTTTGTTTTCTCCACTTATTTTCTTCTGCTTGCTTTTTTTTATAGAAGACATAAACAAAAGTAGCAGTCAATCCCAAGGCAATTCTAGAAGGGCCATGTTGTTTGCTTGGACTGACTCCGTCCTACTGAGCACATTTTCCAAAGTAAACGAGCTTCGATTAGTTCCTTAATTTGCCGCAAGTTTGCCAGAATTTTTGCCAAACCGAGTTTGCCTGTAGTGTGGGCCCAGCATTACATTGAAGATTCAGTGGAGGGGGAAGTTTACTCACAAACCCAGAGCAGTTGATTGATAAAATTTGTTATGTAGTGATTGCCGCTCTGTTCATTTCAAGATGCGTGAAATTCTACTGTGCCATAGTTATTTTTTAGCCTTAATATCGGTCGTTTTAGGTAGTCTTTCTGGGCTTTATGTTGACAATGGGATCGACCAAACTGTTATTCAAAGGGACATGACTAATAAAGAAAAACAAGAAATCCAGGAAGAAATACTCAATTTATTAGGTTTACCAGAAAGACCGAATATTGAAAAAATGTCTCAGCCAACTGTCAGCAGTTCAGCTCCTAAATTTTTACTTGATGTTTACAAATCTCTTCTGAATTCTCCTTCTGTAAGAACTACAAGAAGTGAATTTAATTTAAGTGACAAAGAACTACAATCAATTGATGAAAGTGACATAATTATTAGTTTTTCTAGTCATAGTAAGTTTGTTCATTTACTATTTTCGTTTTGGTTATAATGATTTCTATGTTTCTATTTTATCATTAGTTTTTATCTCTTTAACAGACCATTATTATTTTACCCTCCACATTATCAAATGAATAGCACGTTCCATTTATTTTATTAAAATAAATTTTAAAAAAATCATTGAATCTAATTTTTATTAATTAATACACTTGATTTGAAAAATTTCCAAGCTTTAGTGTATTCTTTATGAATCTATGGAGGTCAGTTTAAATAAAATCACTTTTTCTTAGTTTTCCTACGTTAGTACTGATAATACAAGTTATTTCGAGGAAAGTTGTTTGCCTACTAGACTCAATTTTCATTCACACTCATACATACTAATACGAGGCTTGACCACTTGATGGTTTTATGATATTGATATCGTTAAAAATATGAAATTTGCTCTTTTGATAGTTAAGAGGTATCATTTCACAACCATCCATCTATTAAGGTTTCGGGGACTTTCTTTGCCTGAAAAGCTTCCACTAAATGTAGGTGTCAATTTTTTTTTTTTTTTAAGATAGACTTGATTAACATTATTTGTTTATCAAATCAGATTTATACTGTTTGAAACATTATTCATTCTTAAAGTTTATTAAAAAAAAAAATTTCATTTCATTAAATAAGCCTATGTATTCCTTTTCAAATAGTGATTGTCAGACCTTTCTGTAATACAAACAATTAAAATAATGTGGAAATAATTAGCATGATTGCTACTATTAATTTGTTGAACCAGTATTTAGTTTATTTTTGGTAATTATAATTAGAGTAGTAAGAAACTGATGTTTTCAAATATTTTCCTTTAGTCATTATAAATTAGGAATTTATATTTTTAAGAACTAATATTATGTTATTTAGTTACAAAAAGTTCATTTTATAATTAATCCTAGTTGATTCTATTTCATTTCCATCTCTACTTTTTAGAACAGCATTCAAACCAATGGAATAGAAGGAAAGGATTTCAATTATGGTTTGATGTTAGTGAAGTCTCTGTGAATCATGAAATTGTTGGAGCTGAATTAAGAATTTACAAAGCAGCTAATTATTCTACTCCTAGAAGGAATTTTGTTGTTCATGTTTATCTAATTATTGAAGAAAATGGGTAAATTTTAATTTATTTTGATGATTTTTACAGTTTTATTATGTTTTGCTGCATATCCTTTAGTGCCTTTCAGTGTAAGTGAGCTTTTAGCCATGATTGCCACTCTCCCAGGGGATATGATACTATATCAAGATTCTAAGTAGGTTCCTGGCATGTAGGAAACTTCAGTCTTTCCTTTTGTATATTGGCTTGATGTACTTCTGGAACATCCTAGGATCATCTGCCATATCCATGATTTCATGTGACCTTCCATTCTGATTACATAATCAAACCAGGAAAGGAGGAAGGGAGGGAGCGGGAGAGTAAGAGATTTATCATACCGTAATAATCTGTTTTCCTTTTCTTTTGTACTTTGAAGGAGCTGAGTAGTTCAGTTGTTGAGCACTGACTTCCAGACGACCCAGGTTCGAGTGCGACTCATGATTAATAATTTTTTTATCAGGCGGGAGAACCTCCAGGGGCACACTCAGCCTCTATAAAGTTGGTAGTCTTAATTAAATAATTAATTAAGGGGGGAAAACTGCCGGTTGAGTATGATATCGACCCAATCACCTCCCTGCACAACTGTTGACATTGTAACAGCACTTCCTCAGATAGTACTGAACCCAAGACCGTTCTTTGGTTGTAGTAGTACAGGTTTTATTAATTTTTATTTTAAACATTCAATCATCTCTTTTGGAGTTCCCTAGTTCTCTTTTGAGTGAACTTAATGTAACGTTTTTAAATTTTAAAATTATGAAGAAAAAAATGAAATGTAACAATTATAGTTATGTGTGGGAGTGGGGTAGCTCAGTGGTAGGGCACTGAACTTCCAATGCAAAGGTCCCCGGTTCGAGCCCCGGCTCATGGCAGAAAATTTATTTATCTGTTTCATTGGCCGTGGGGCGACCCTGGGTTGAGAGACCCTCCTGGGGCACACCCAGCCTCTATAAAGTGGGTACCTTTAATTAAATAATTAATTAAGGGGAAAAACCTGGCGGTTGAGTGTGATCTCGGTCAAATCACCTCCTTGCACAACCGTTGACCTAGAAACAGTGCTTTCCCTAAATAGTACTGAACCCCAGACCCTTTATGGATTGTAGTGGTACAGGTTTTTTTTTTTTAGTTTTATTTCTACTATTATTTTTTAAGTTTTTTTACAGACCTTGTTGATCTTTGTCTGCCTTAACCAGCCTTCGCCATCTTTAACTATTTTGGGCTATTGATTTCTATTTTTCGCTGATTTCCTTTTTTGTTGGTTTGATCGTTCCATATTTATTTATTATCTATTTTCTTTCAGAAATAAATAACATTTGCTCTGTACTGTACATTAAGTTTGTGTTGGTAGAGTGCTTTTAGTGGGTATAATTGCTAGTTGCCATTTTGATTCAAGATTGCAATGGTAAGACCTGTTTTTATGTAGACTGTATCTGTTTGAATTTTGTACATATTTTTGGTTTTTTATAGCTCAAACTTTAAATTTACCACTAGATTCCTAATGTTTGGTTGATAATTTTTCTAATTATCTACATAGCCCAATTAAAAACATATCTAGTAAATAATTTTTTAAATGACCAATCTTAGTGAACATATTTTATGCTAGGTGGTAAAGAAAACTATCTTGCAATAAGCCATACATGTTTAATTTAAATTTTTTTTGCAAATAGTATTACATTGTGTAATGATTTGGAATACTTTTATTTTTCTGTTAAGCATCTATGAAACAATTTAATCATTTTCATTTTTTTTTCAATAAAAAATAAGAGCAAAATAGGACCTCAATGACGGAGTTGTACTGCTCACACTTTTTTTTTTGTATGATATTTACTGTTGCACTGTAATGCATCTAGCAAACCTGTTGTTCATCATTCGTTTTCTTAACTTGCTTGATATTAGCTTTGTTTTTTTTTATTATTATTAATTAATGGTAAAGAACTCCACTTTCTTTTTAGTCTGTGTCAATCAGGTAACAAGGAGTAGGAATGTGCACAAAAAGATTAAATAAAAAATGTTATTGACAAAAATATACGAGTAAAAAGATAAGGATAAATAAATATTAGAATAAATGAAAAAGTAAAATTAAGTAAATAAACAATAAGAAATTTCCATTTGCTTAATGACTATACAGGTGATGATGGATATTGTCTAGGAAGTTGAGAAATTATGTCCCCACCAATATCAAACCTATCTTCTTGGAAACTGCTTATTATTTTTGGGATATTTCTGCGAAATCCAACCAGAGATGTCTCACAGTGAACTCTTTTTCTCCCAAGGTACAGTGAACTCTTTCTTTTCCAAGGTCTTGTGAAATTTCTCTTTTATGAAAGGAATGAATTTTCACAAATATTTACCACCGATGGTGTGGATCCAAGTCTATTACTGTCCTTCCACTTTGTCGAGGATACAACAATATCTACATATCTTGATCATCCATCTCTATTAGTACTAAAATGAAAAACTGTCAAAAACTGCTTTCAGAAAGGGGTGAAGTCTATCTCATGATATGAAGTTATGGAGGTTAAGACAGGTGCGAAATGAAGCAAATTATTTTCAGACATATATTACAGTTATAAATCTAATAAACAAAATTTTAAAACTAAAATTAAATTAAAAATGATTATTGTAGTGAATTACATGGTACAACAAAGTAAAAAATAGTATTTGATACGACATTTAGAGATGGCAAACTGGCTGAAGTTTTAGAATAATCTATGTTTTCAGATTGATCTATCATTATCATTGTTGCTTTAAACAAATTTTGGTTTGGCCTTTGTATAGTTTTTTCCCCCATTACTATTTGAGCTTTATAAAACTGTAGCAAGTTGTACAGTATAACCAATATTTGACTAGATCACTTTCCTGCTTGTAAATACACAATCCAAGTTTCCATTTAGCTTTTTTAATAAAACTTAAATTAATAAAAGGATTTTCTAAATTTTATGGTAAAACAAAAATTTATTTATTTAATAATTTATTTTACAGCAAAGAAAGATTGAAATTAACAGAATCAAAAAATGTAACCTCAGATTATGAAGGATGGCTAACATTCAATACGACTGGTGTTCTAACATCTTGGGTTGTTTTTCCTTATTCTAATAAAGGGCTTTACATTTCTTCTACTACTCAGGAACTAGGTAAAAGTAGTTTTTAGTTAATGCTAATAATAGCTGTTATGTAGTGCTAATATTTAAAAAGAAATTATGTATCCGTCTTTTATTCACAAAGATTACATTTGAAGGCCTCCCAAAGTACTGGTACTTTCTTTTATTTGTGTTATTTAATAATTTCATTGTAAAATACAGCCTTGTAGTTATATTTTAGTTAGTTATATAATTATAAAATATTTAGTCAAATAGTTATATTTATTGTTATATTTTTTCATATTTCATAAAATGCACTAATATCTAATTTTCAATATATTTTTTTTCTTTGTTCCACACTCAAGATTATTGGACTGATACGTTTTTCATCAGTGGTGTAAATTACATTTCAGCAACCCTTAAGGTGCAGAGGAATCACATGTTTTATTTAGACCACTCTTGAGTCATTACTTATAGATTGTTAACAGTTAGTCGTTATAGATTGTATATTGTATACTTATAGATAGTAAAAGAAGTGTAGATTGTTAACAGTTAGTCAATAATAATAATAATTAAAGGCTTAGCGTACACGAAGGTTCGATGCCAACACTACCAATCGCTTATTACACACCTCCCTCTACCATTCGCCATCCAAATCCAGTATCCAGTCCCTTCAGATCGGCTTTAACGCAATCTTCCCACCTTCGCTTCAGTTTACCCCTTGGACGTTTACCATTCGGTATGGGAAATATTAATCTTTTAGGAATTCTTTTGTTACTAAGCCCAACAATTTTACTAGCCCATTTGATTTGCCGTGATGTAATCACCTAAATTATATTAACAGTTCTTGCAATTCGGCATTGTGTAACCGTCTGAATTCTGGTTAACTCATCCTTCTTCGGTCCGAATATTCTATGCAATACTTTATTTTCAAAAACCTTATGACACTGCTTATCCCTTAATGTAAGTGGCCACGTTTCGTATCCATAAAGAACTGTAGGTAAGATAATGGTTTTATAGATTCTAGTTTTTAAGTTCTGGTACAAGAGGTGCGAGCTAAGTAGTTTTGTCACAGAAAAATAACAAGCATTTCCCGCCTTCAGCCTAACCTTAATCTCCTCTTCAATTTCGTTTTTTCTAGTTAACATAGACCCTAGATACCTAAACTTATCTACGTGTTCAAACATATTACTTTCTATGTTGATATCACCGGCAATATCGCCATTTTTGCTGCTAACCATATATTTTATCTTATCCGTGTTTATTTCGAGCCCTAGTTCTTTACCAGCTTTCATTAACTTTGTCGTATTTAGTTTTATAGTTTCCATATCGTTGCTTAACAGGACCAGATCATCCGCATAGCCAAGCACGGGTAACAGTAAGTCAATATTTGTAAATAATTGGTCACTTGAACTCATCAATATTCTTATGTCCAGGTAACATTATCATAAGTGCTAAGTCGAAATTAGTGGGTTGGTAGGAGTAGCAATGTATGGCGTCACATTAGATTATTCTGCGTTGGGGAGCCTTCCAAACTATTTACACTACTGTTTTTCATGATCTTTTTCCTGTATATAATTAATTACTTTTTTATGTTTATTATGGAGGGAGTCATTATTCTGATTTAATGATGTATTAATCCATGATGAAATCTGTTAGAAGATGAAGACATTTTTCTTGGAAACAGCAGTTCATTAGGAGGTGACAAAGAAGAAGAAAAGAAAGCCTTTATGGTAGCATTTCTTAGAGGGGGTGTTACTCGTACAGATAGTCATGGCAGAGTCAGAAGACAAACCAGACATCGAAGGAAAAAAGCAGATCATCAAAGTGAAATTACTTATTCTCGGAATCCTTTCCATGGTAAATCTTAATACTTATATATTTTCCATCTTTTTATATAATTATCTATGTTAATTTAGTACATAAAAAAAAAAATTATATAACTTAACTTCTAGTGGAAGTGTTACTACACATTTTGATTTTAATAATGTCACTCTCATTTTTCTTTATTATTTTCATTATTGAACCTTGGTAATTTACCAAGAAAAAAGTCATACTCCCCTTCAAAATTTGGGATTTTACATTTCAAGGATGTATAATCCATCCAGAGATTTTCTCTGAGACTGCAACACCGATTTTTTTGAAATTAGGAATCAGTCAGAGGTTACCCTAATATGATCCTTAAACTAGATATTACCAACAGACATTCTTTTTCAAAATAGTGTCTGGTTAGAAATGGTATATATCACTATCTCTTCCATTTAATAAGTTATACCAGTATCTGTAATGATGTTTGTTAAAAGTTTTCAAATAATTTCTCTAGCTATTGTCAGCAAAAATTGATGTATCAAGTGTTGGGCTGTGTAGAGAGGAATGTCTTAAGGCGTGTCGCTATATTCATTTTGATGAGCGACACACTATTAATGGAATCCCGAGGATGGCCGAGTGTGTCTAAAAGTAGGCGTAGGTGACGAACCACCTGTTAAGGCTCTGAGCACAACTGAAAAGGACCTTTGGAGAGGTTTGTTTATCTTTTTTGAGCAAGTGTTATGGGCGAATGTCAAAAGCAATGATGGCAATAAAGATATTTAAGGTTCCAATTTTAACAGATCGGATCGAGTAAAGATTTTATGAAAGTTGTAAATCGTTATCACAATAAAGGGCGCTTATACTATGAACTCATCAATCTTCGGTATCTATTTATACTGTGATCATGAGATCTTGGCCCACCCGTGAAAGTGGAGCAATACTTATAAAGTAGACCTCTCTATTTTATTTCTAATGTTGATAAAATTGCTTGTATTACCTGATCAATGATGATTCAATGATCATTTGAGCTTCCATAGCAACAATAGATATGGATTTAGTACCACCTCAATTGAAAACCTTAACGTTTTTATTGGTGCCGATGTTTCAACCCAAGCATGGAGGTTTCGTGTTTCGAGCCCTGAAGTTGTTTAAATACTCTAGTATAGTGATCATTTGAGCTTCCATAGCAACAATAGTTATGGATTTAGCACCATCTTAATTGAAAAAACTCATTTCGCACAATGTCAAGTAGGAAGCTGTTTCCATTGACACTGTTACCTAATTTGTTAGTCTCTGTGATGCCAAGTGGCAAATATGCTAAGGTATGTAATGTATTATTAAAAAATTATTGAAGGAAGTTTGTCGACTATTTCTACATATCATGGGTGATAAATAGTCAGGTCACAGTTATTTTTAAGGTTTTTATTGATGCCGACGTTTCAACCCCAGCAAATGAGTCATCAGGGCATATTTTGGGCACTGAAGGTATACTCCAGTGTTTGAACACCTTCATTGCTCGAAACATGCCCTGATGATGACCCACATGCTTGGGTTGAAACGCCGTCACCAATAAAAACCTTAAAAATGACCATCCTGACCATTTATCAACCATATTATTAAAAATATGAATTTAAGTAGGTTAGCACTCATTTTGTAAAAATAATCTCTAGCTTTTTGGTCCCTCTGGATATTCTAAACAAGAGTAATAGGAACTTTAATTTTGTTTTTGAAAATGTTTTATCATAATTAATTCCTATTTATTGTGCAATAGTAATGCAAATTAGCTTTTTGTATTAAAAAAAAATATTTTCATTATATTTGTTTCTTTTCTAGAGCAAGCTGGTGCATGGTCTCATTCTCAAAAAAGTTGTCAAATTCAAAATCTTTATGTTAGTTTCAAAGACCTCAAATGGCAGGTAGGTTTCTAGGAATTATGGCATATTTATAAGTTGTTTAATTGCTATTACTTGATAAATCCAATCTATAAAACGTAAGTATAGAAATTAAAAATTAAAGATTTTATAAATATACTAGCTTTACCTGGCCACGTGCTGCTGTGGCTTAGTCTGGCAAAATGAAAAAGAAAGAAAATTGAAAGCACATATGAGTAGATTAATAGCAAAGGACATCTGTCATGTTTAAAAAGTTGGGAAACAAATTTGTCTGTAAAATGGATTCAAATTGAACATTCATAATCATCTGAGTGAATACGCCGTCATTCATAATCATCAGAAACATTCTGAGTTGAACTTATAAAACTAAAATAAATAATTAATATAAAGAACATATTAATAAGAAATAGTATTGACCTACATAAGGAGAATCATATAACTTCTTCAAATGATAATTTTAATTACTGTAGTAATTATAAAATTTTCGATTAATCAATAAAAAAAAAAAAAAATGCTTGCCTACCTTTGGTAGTGAGGAAGCAAAAGGAAATGGCCTTTTCTGAAGAGAAAGCAGTAAGTGTTTAAAACTCTATAACTCTGCAACGAACCGTCCGATTTCGATGATGTTTTTCTTATTTTGTCGGCGATTCAGAAATATTTCATATAGATATAGGTATTATCAGTAAAAAATTCTATACTTTTTTAGTTATCGTCAAATAGAATATTGAATTCAATGTAACATTTTTCAGCTTGTTTTCGGGAAAGTATGTTATACACATAAATTAAAAGGGTTTCAAGGGGAAGACTTTAGCGATGTTTCGTTAAAATCGGTAAAGTCGTTTTGGCGCTACAGTTTATAGCGACACATTTTTTTTGCGGCTTTGAACAGAAAAACATTTACATTTTTATTTTCTTTACATATATAAAATTATCGTAAGACAGAAGTACTATGCCAGAAACCTTCCCAGGAGTGTACAGAACAACTTCCCAAAGTTTCATGGCGATCGGATGAATGGTTTAGTAATGCACTAAGGACAAACAGACAGACAGACATTCATTTTTATATATATAGAAGAAGCAAGTTTCTGAATTTCTTTTACCAGCCATGGTTAAAATATCAGACTTTTGCCTTTGCTACTTGAACATTCTGAAAGGTATTCCTTAACTGTTCTGGGATAAAACTATGTAAGTTTTTAACAGGAAATTACAGAAACGAAAACAATTATATACTTCTTTAATTGTGGCTTGATGTTACAGGATTGAAATTTAATTTTACAAAAAAAAGAGGTCTTCCTGTATATTCCATTTATTTTTCACTTTTGCGCCACCGGTTTCGGTCTTTTATCAGGCCAAATGATGGTGGTCCTCCTCTCCTGCTTGTTAAATGAGGACCTTCTGGTCCTGGTCTGACAAGCAGGAGAGGAGGACCACCATCAGTTGGTCTTATGAAGGTCTGATAAAAAACCTAAACCGGTTGTGCAAAAGTGAAAAATAAATGGAATATACAGAAAGACGTATTTTTTTGTAAAATTAATTATATACTTGCATACCAATACTTTCTTTTAAGTTAAAAATAAGCTGAATACACTTAATTTGTCATGTTTTTTGTTTTAGAGCTCCTTGAATCTCGAAAACATTATGCTAGTTTTGTTATTTTTATGTTCATTCTCAAATAAATCTGTTTTACAGGATTGGATCATTGCTCCTGATGGTTATGGTGCATTTTATTGCAGTGGTGAATGTAATTTTCCCCTCAATGCCCATATGAATGCTACCAACCATGCTATTGTTCAGACTTTAGTGCATCTGATGAATCCTCTACAAGTTCCTAAGCCATGCTGTGCTCCAACAAAATTGACTCCAATATCAGTTTTATATTTTTTAGACGAATCTAATGTAATTTTGAAGAAATACAAAAATATGGTAGTGAAGAGTTGTGGTTGTCATTGAGTCATAATGAAATAGTTATGTATTTATGTAAAAAAACATATATATTATACAAAAACTTAATGTAATTAATTAATTTTATATCTTAAAACTTTGATATGAGTCCATCCATGTTTTCACGTATGTAAATATAATTTTTTATCCAATATTTTTCTTAATAAAAATGTTGGAAATATATATTTTTAGCTACTTTAGATATTTTTTATAAGTATGATCTGATGTGACTGTGGAGAACCACTATTTTTTTTTTATTATAGTATATAAAACTTGATTTTACAGTTCATTAATATATGCATATGAGAGAATTATAATAGAAGTGGTCTTAGAGCAACATAATGTAAAAGTTGAAATTATCACTTCTGGAAACTGTATAAATAAACATCTTTACTATTAAATGTTTTATTTTATTTTATACTAGCTTTACCTGGCAAAATGGAAAAGAAAGAAAATAGAAAGCAGATATGAGTGGATTAATACCAAAGGACATCTGTCATTTTTAAAAAGTTGGGAAACAAATTTGTCTGTAAAATGGCTTAATTTAAACTAATTCTAATGATTTGTTTCTAATGATTCAAATTGAACATTCATAATCATCTGAGTGAAGCGGTAATTTTAAAACGTTTCGCATACCCCTCCTAAGATAGTTGATTGCTTACTTCTTTTTATAACAACTTGATTAAATATAGACTTGTAAAAATTATAGAGGAAAAATAAACCATACTCATGGAAGAAATCCTACGGTAAACGGCACAACCTTATTTCAATATAACGTTAGATAAAAGAATTTATTAAAAAATAAAATTAACTGAAATCAATAAAAAAATGATTTCTAAAAAGAACATGAACTGTGACAAATATTACTCAAGAGTTAAATCTTTTTAATTAATAGCAAATCAAATAGTTGAGATGTATCATACTACTTCCAGAATACATTGGGAGGAAAATAAAAAATGAATATAAAGAGCATATAATAGTATTGACCTACATAAGGAAAATCATATACTTATTCAAATGATAATTTCAATTACTGTAGTAATTCTAAAATTTTTGATTAATCAATAACAAAAAAAAAAAAAAAAAAAAAAAAAAGGAAATGGCCTTTCCTGAAGAGAAAGCAGTAAATTTTTAAAACTATAACTCTGCAACGAATCGTCTGTTTGCTAAGGTCTTTGAAAATATTTTATAAACTACATTCAGTAAGGCTATACCTTCATAGTTCTATTAGAGGGGTATAAATTGGGTACGTGATTTCAGTTTTCCACTCAGCAGGCATTGCTTCTTTTTTCCACACTTTGGAGATGATTTTTTCAAGAATCTTTCACTATAGGGTCACAGGTTTTATATGGTCTAGTGGGATACTGTCCTTTCCAGATGCTTCATTATTTATTTTTTTATTATAGCTTTATAAGAGTATATTTCCTCTAGGTATAGTATTTCGATTAAAGGCTGTGATACATGAGAAAGTATGTGTTCCATAGTTGTTTTGGGTTTAGGAGCAAAAAACTGCTGACGGTTATCATTGCCCTCAAATTTGTTCCATAGTTATAGCTGTTTTAAATCAAAACATGACTTGAGGATGGCTAAAGATTCGTTTTGAAATCTCTCGTGGCAATCATATTTACAAAATATTAATGCAGTTAATATAACAGAAACTTGACCTAATACTAATTCTAATCTCACTGGCACATGTATGTGGTGATTTATGTATATGAAATGGGAAATTGCACATTATAAAAAATAGTGATATCTTCAAATTATATAAAAATTTGTATTATCACAAGTCATAAAAATAGGCTTCTTCAAAAGCATTCACATCAACATTAATTAATACATAGGGCTCTTCTTTTTTCTAGGGTCCATCTATGGATTGTACTATTTAGTGTATAAATTAGCATAGTATATATTCTATAGTTCTTGAATATTCACTTTGGCTAGTGTTAAATTTTTTATTTAGTAACTTTTTGCTTGATTTTGATAGGGATAATAATAAAGTAAAAAATAAAAATTAAACAGAAAATACTTAACATTTATATTAAAAAAACAAAAAAACAATCAAAATATTCTATGGTGCAGTTTGGTAACAAAAATTATCTTCGTAACAATGCTATTTCTCACATAACCCTAACTCTTTTTTTATTGATTCCACTTGACTTGGACTTAATTTGTTTCCTTCAAGATTTAATTCTTGTAGCATTCTGTTGTTTTTAAGAAATGGAATTATAGTTTCTGAAGATGCTAAATTGTTTCCACACAGTGATAACTTCTTTAAACTTGGTAATGCTGGAAAACCTTCTAGGGTTTCTAGTGCATTTGCATCAAGAATCAGTTCCTTAAAAAATAAATAATAATTTATATTAGTATACTCATAGATTAAATTAAAATAATGAAATGTTAATACAGTGGATTGAATAATTTTATTAATAAATATTTCTTTGAATATGTAAAAAAAAAAAATAAATAAAATAAAACCTGTACCACTACAACCCATGAAGGGTTCAGTACTATTCAGGGAGAAGCACGCTCAACCGCCAGGTTTTCCCCCTTAATTATTTAATTAAGGGTACCCACTTTATAGAGGCTGGGTGTGTCCCAGAAGGGTCGCCTCACGGCCAATGAAACAGATAAATAAATTTTCTGCCATGAGCCGGGATTCAAACCTGCAACCTTTGCATTGGAAGCTCAGTTCCCTACCACTGAGCTACCCCCCTCCCCTTTAAATATGTAAATAATTAAATTACAATGAATGTTTAAATTATAGATTAAACATTCTATAAAATCTTACTATATTATCTAGTTACATCACACAGTTGAACACTTGTTATACTTAGACCTGGGTAGAATTTATTTGAAAAATATTCCCGGAATAAATCCCTAAATAAACCTCGATAGTTATTTCCGAAATAAATTTATTTCATGAAATAACTTTGACCATTATTATCCGAATGATTATTTCGGGAATAAATTATTTCAGAATAACGATATCTGAAAATGATATTTCAGGATAATGTGAAATCTGAAATAATCACGATCGGAACTTACAGATAATAATCATATCCGGGTCGACTTGTTTATGTTTCATGGTAGCTAATTATGAAGATATACGGTCGAATTGAAATTGGTGCCGACCCCTCCCCACCCCCCATCGACTTTTTGTAACTTTCAGATATAATCGATATCAGGGTGAATATTATGTCTTCTGGGGCGCTAATTATAAAAATAATGTCGAATCCCATATTGCAACCACCCCCTCCTCACGCCCCCATCGACTTATTGTAACTTTTCAGATATTACCCGATTCAGAGATCGAACATTTTATGTTTTCGGTGCGCTTTTTTATGAAATACAGCTATTTTGATATTGCAGCCACCCCTCCCCACCCCCCCAACGACCTTTTTAACTTTTCAGATAAATCCATATCATGGTGTGCGACTATTATGTTACGGGGCCTAAGTTTATAAAAATAATGTCAATTTAAGATTGCGCCCCCCCCCTCCCGGCCCTCTCACATCAATTTTGTAACTTTTCTGAAATAATTGAAACAGGGTCGAATATTATGTCTTCGAGGGCGCTAATTATAAAAATAATGTCGAAAGTCGATATTGCACCACCCCCTCCCCACCCACCCATCGATCTTTTTGTAACTTTTTCAGATATAAATCGATAATCAAGGTAATGCCAGATCTAGATTGCGCCCTTCCACCCCCTCGCATCAGCTTTTGTATCTTTTCAAATCAAATCGATACCGAGGATCAACTAATATGTTTGCGGGTGCTAATAAGAAAATACTTAAATACATTGAAAAAGATATCCCAAAACATAAAAGACCACCCCTGATATCGAATACAGTCGTAAAAGTCAGTAAAAGTCGATTGGGGAGGGAGTGAAGGCGCAATCTCAAATTCGACCGAATTTTCGTAATAAGCTTACCCCCGAAAACTGAATAGGCGACCCTGATACATTTATATCTGAAAAGTTACAAAACGTCGATGGTGGTGGGGATGGGGGGGCGCATCGCAAATTCGACCGAATTTTCATAAAAAGTGCCCCCAGAAAACTAAAAGTCGACACCTTATATCGGATTATTACTGAAAAGGTACAAAAAGTCGATGGGGAGTGGGGAAGGGAGTGGTGCAATATCAAATTCGACAGTATTTTCATAAAAAGCGCCCGATAAACATAAAAGTCTACCTATATATCGATTAATACAGAAAAAGTTACAAAAAGTCGATGGGGGGTGGGGAGGGTGGTGGCATATCAAATTCGACAGTATTTTCCATAAAAAGCGCCCCCGAAAATCTAAAATTCGACCCTTTTCTCGATTATATCTGAAAAGTTACAAAAAAGTCTATGGGGGTGGGGAGGGGTGTGGCAATATCAAATTTCGAAGTATTTTTCATAAAAAGCGCCCCCGAAAACAAAAAAATCGACACTGATATCGTTTATATCGAGAACAGTTACAAAAAGTCGTGGGGGGTTGGGGAGGGGTGTGCAATATCAAATTCGACATTATTTTTATAAATTAGCACCCCGAAGACATAATATTACGACCCTGAATCGATTATTTCAGAAAAGTTAAAAAAAGTTGAGTGTGAGAGTGTGGGGGGATGGGGCGCAATCTCAATTCGACCGTATTTTCATAAAAAGCGCCCGAAAACATAATAAGTCCGACCCGATATGGAATTAAATCCGAAAAGTTACAAAAAGTTGATGGGGGGGGTGGGGAGGGGTGCTGCAATCTCAAATTCGAGCAGTATTTTCATAAAAAGCGCCCCGAAACATGGTGCATATGGAATTTTTTTGTGTGTATTTCAGAACAATGTTATTTCTGAAATATTTATTTCTTGATTTTATGCAATAATTAATTTATGAAATAAATAATCCTAATAATAGTGTATGAAATAATTTATTTTAAGTAATAAAACATTTCGAAATTTATATACATTATTCCAAAGAATGTTAAAATAGTGAAATAATATTTTCAGAAATAAATTCAGAGTTATTCCATCGAGATTATTTCGTTGACTGTTTGAAATATTATTTCAGAAATAACCGTTATTTCCCGAAATAATCATTCGTGGAATAACCATGTGAACTTATTTCAAGAAATAATTATTTAAGAGTGCCCAAGGACTAGTTATACTATTGCTATTTCAATTAAATAATTATTTTTCTCTCTACAAATGAATGTATGTAATGTCATAAATTAAGATTTAACTTATATTAAAACAATTTTTTAAAGTAATATTTTACTAGTTATAGTCAAATCTTTGCATATCATATCTTAGTTTGCATTCTTAAGAATATTCAAATAAGAAAAACAAAATATAAAATGTTTCACTGTCTCAAAAAACAATAGGAATTTGGAGAAGGCCTCGTTTATGAAGAAGCAATTGCGGTACCAACTGGAGTAAGATTTTCTGATTCAGCAATTAACATACAGCAAGTCACAGAGAGAATAGTCAATCTTTTAGAAATGAGGAATAGTCTAATAAAAATTCAGTTCAGCCCCGCTAATTACACTTTTTCATCTTAATCTTAAAGATTGTTGAAATATAATGTTTTGAAGGGTTTTCCCAAAATACTGTTTTTTTTTTTAAATAGAAAAATAACTTTATTCTGGGACACAGTCCCTTGAGAATAACAAAATTAAAATATTACATCTGGCCAAAATAAAATCAATCGAAAAAAAGAAATAATGTAAAAAAAATATAAGGTAAAAATTCTATATACAAAACAAACGAAACTATATACAAAACAATTAATACTATGACAAGACACTTAAAGCTATTTGCACTGATAGACCAGTATACACTTTTAAGAAAATAAAAAAGAATTTATTTTTTACGTTTGTTTTACTGAAAATTTTTTCTAATTGTAACTGAACATTTGCCAAATTTTTTCGCCATTTTCAGACTCTAAATTAGATTATCCTATAAGGTAACAATCAATTGTTAGAAAAATATCACTTCATGACTTGATCTTAAAAGTCCAAACAAAGTAAACAAATAAAAAATGAAATACTCCAAAGAATCTCACAATGATCTTGTGGATTTCATAAAAGTTGCTTCTTTCATCAGCTTTCCAACAGTATGATCAACTTTGCAAAGCTTGTCTATTTTCAAAGAGATATTATGGTTGGAATTTTTTTTTATGTATAAAAGGTACAAAAATATGACCATTAGCTGCTCCCAATCCTACATTGACAGATAACTGATGCAGCACAATATTCCTGTTTATATCTCCAACAAGATTAGCGCAGCGAATATTATTTTGAACTTAGTATTGTATAAGATCATCCTCGAGCTGCTATATTCTGGTGGACAGGCTATAGTTGGATTAGGGTATCAGGGTTTAATTTTGCCATAAGATGCTTAATAGATATGAAGTTGGGTAATAATCAGCTAAGAAACTTATATTGTTGTGCCAAAACCACTCTATATTCTTAGATGCCCATAGTACAGGTAGTATATTAACATAATATAAAAATTTTTGGTTCCTTCACCACAAAATAAGAAAAAAAAGTCAGGGATTCCAGTCTATATTTTTATTGAGTTAGCCGACGTTTTGACCCAAATAAAAATATCGAATGAAATTCCTGACAATTTTCCTTATATCCTTATAATTGATCAGTTGACTACTTAACCATCTCAAAAATAGTTTGTACATTATCAAGATGCAGATACTACTGTTAGTTGGTCATAAATACAAAAACACCTGTGTATAAAAGTAATAATTACAGTATTTCCTCAACCATATCCTTCAACCGAGCTACATAAATAATGCTTACAGTTCAAGCTTATATATAGGCTACCATTTGAACTCCTGATATGTTTTATTTCTATCGATGTTCTGATAGTATCAATTTCAAGGCAATCAAATAATTTTCAGTATGACCTGGTTTCCCAATTGGATACAAATTAAATTTATAACACAGAATTAGATAACAATTCATTCTATATCTAAAGTCAAGTTTAGGTTAGAACAGACAGAGATTCCAACTGTGGCGTACCAGATGAAATGGCCAATGCCAGCAAATGTAACGAGCAAAATTTGTATTCGAGGCTTTGAACATCAAGGGGCATAGTCATACTAAGCATCAAAGCAGTTGGCAGAGCATAGTCGGTGAGTATAGAACAAAGTTCGGCTGGAGCGAGATGTGTCCCATTACCCTCACCCCAACTGGATCTTACTCTCCTACCTCCCCGTGTCTTACAGTGGTGGAAAATCGACCTTTTTTCGGAAAAAAAACCTGGCAATACCGATCTATAAGTCGAAGAAAAATCGTTTTTGATACTATTTTAATCACAACTAAATTCGCTATAAAATGATAGCAATATAGTCAAAATTAACTGATGGTAAAAGAGAAAAACATAAAATAAATAATTTTACCTCTAAAAATCGGCTAGTTTCAGCAAACTAAATTATTGAAAGAAATGAGATAGTTGTTTTTATTACAACCAGTCTTGACCTGGGAACTTTGATTAAGAGAAATAATGAGGTAGCCAACTAATGAAGGTAAGGTTTTTCAATAGCCTAGCACTTGCAATTTTTTTGTAATTAACACTTAAGTTTGATTAAGCAAAAAATAAATAATTAACAGGCTATTAAATAGCGAATAATTGTTTATGTACTTAAATTAAATCATATAGGGCAGATACAAGGATAATTAGGACTATGGCTGATAAGCGGTGTAGCATTGTGCTTTAAGAAGTTTTTACAATTAAGGTAGTACGTGAATCTATGAGAAGTCTATACTTTATAAAAAATTTAATTTTTATTATAAATTAAAATTTATCAATTTTATAAAATAAATCAAAGCAAAATCATGATTTTACGAAGAGATGGAAGGTTTAGAGTTTATTCTGTGCTACCAAAAACTCATTTCATGAAATTATTCCTAAAATTCAAATTATTAAATATGTACTAACTTATAAACTACATAATAAGAATATGACAGAGTTCTATGTTTTTAACCAGAAACAATTAGAATCTGAAGAAATATTTTTTAAATTTAATTTTTGTTTTACTTCTAATTTTTGAACACTAATTATATCTAAGAGAAAGATTGTAAATAAAATACAGAGATATACTAATTTATATATCATATAATAAAAATACGATGAAATTTTGGTTTAATTAATAAGAATTTGTAAAATCTGTGAAAAAAATAATATGAAGCAACAAAATTTTAAAGGATGATATAAATATTTATTTAAATAAATTTAAATTAAATAATATTGTATAAAAGTATGCTCGTGCTTAAGTTGTTATTTTGATTAGTTTAGTTCTTTTGTTTATATACATTTACTTTTAGTATTATTATTTTTCTGTATTATTTATTGTAAATATAGTGTGAATGTGTTCTCAGAACACTATTATAAATGTCTTTAATAACGAAAGATTGTAATATATCTCAATGAATAAGATTAAAAAAAAAATAATAATAAGCTGACAGCTGAATGTTTACAAACAAATTTTTTTGAGAAGCATCATCATTTCTTAATGGGTGAGGAAGATAACCGTAACTATTGGCTCCTTCAGAGCATTGCTAAAATTTATTTTACAATAAGAACTACAAAAATTGTTAAAAATAAGAATGAAGAAATTGAGAAATAAAAAATAAGATAACTGAAAAAAGTTTTTCACTTGAAAGTTCAATAAACAATTAATGAATAAATTCCAATATTCTCTAAATTAATGTTTTACAGTATGTACCACCTTTCCCATTCTAGTGAATAAATACTAACAATCATAATTATAGCAATAAAAAGAAGGACCTGTTAAAATTCAGTGCTCTGTAAGGGTCCGTCCAAAGAGAAGTAGATCCATTAGTGGTGGGCATATCTCTATTAGTGTTGGCTAGAGCATATCTCCATCCATCTAGCTGCTATGGGAAGGCACCTCTAGTTTATTTTATATTCAGTGGGCATATAATGGATTACATGACTATCTTACCCTCCAAATAAAAATGACTTAACCAGGCTGGCATATCCAATTTTTTTTTTCCATCATAAGAGTGTACCGCACCCTCAAGAAGACCTATTGTGCATCGTTCTAGATAACAGGCCAGATGCCTTTGCGAACCTGTTTATACTAATAGGATCAATCAGTTTGTAGTGCTTAGGGTCAGTGATATGATCACATCCAAAGTGACAGTATAGCAAACTAGCCAAATTATCATATATAAAATGGTAGGTCGTTTCATCCTCCAGGCCACACAGTCTGCAGGTGGAGTTCTCACTTACACCCAAATTAAAAAGGTGCTTATTTAGTTGACAGTGACCAGTGTACAATCTTGTCACAGGTCTAATGGTACTTCTGTCCATTAGAAGAAGTGATTTACTTCTCTGGTGACAGTACTCTACCAGGAACAACTTAAGAATGAGTTTGTTTCCTAGTCTGTCCCCAATGTAGCATACATTTATTACCCACGGTTGACTTAATATGTCTTTTGGCAAAGCCAAGGCTTATCCCACGAATGGGCACATTCATCCACCAACTTTGAGCGAGTTGCATAACTATTCAGGGCTCCAATTGCCACTCTCCAATATCCAATATTAGTCATCAACCAAGTAAAACTAATAATTATTTAGGCATCAGATTGACAAACTAATTATTTAGTTTTATTTTTTTGTAATTCTTAGTATTTTCAAAAATAATAGTTGTCAATAATCTTCTGACACCCTTATCTCTGTTAAAGGCTACCTGTTAACACCCATAGTGAAAATGTTATATTTAAGCAGAGATTTCTAAATACATTTTGTAAAAAAAAAAAAAAGTCATTTTTACTTACTTTACAATTGATAAGAACACTTAAAAGCTGTAATGATCGCTTGAGATTATTGTTAGACAAATCAATTACTGATGCAAATGCCAGGTAATGTGTATGATGAAGAGAAGTTAAAGATAGCCTGCTCAGTATAACCTCTTCTGAAGCCATGTCTAGTTCTTCCAGAGCTTCTTCCATAATAAACTTACTTCCTAAATTAATAAAACAATGCATTAAAATATTTTTCATAATTTAAGGAGGGCCCACAAGTTAAAAAAAAAATTAGGTTATAAAATATTTATAAAGCCACAACTTGTTACAAAATATTTTCAAGAGGAAATTTCTTGTATTTGCTTGTGCTAAATTATGTACTTATATTCCTTGCCATTTTAAAAAAATTAATCTAGTTGAGGCACATGACATTTAATTGAAACGGTCCAATTTTGTTTAAAAAAATGTATATATTTTTTATGATTTAAAATTCTAATTCTGGAAATCTATCAATACAGTCATATCAATTCAGCCTCAACCTTACAAGATCAGCCAGAATGCCAAACATCACTTGGGATGTCATTGCGACTGACCATGTAGGATCCATTTTATGGAATGTCAAACACCAGATGAGCTTTTGAAAATTACTTTCAAATCCTATTTATCCATCTGGTTTTTGGTCTCCCATGTGGCCTCTTGCCTACTACCCTGCCATTCATTGTTGTGTAAAGGCGTCCTGATGGAATGCTATGAGCTACCTGCCCATCTTAACCTCCTAGCCTTCATGTCATGAGATATTGACTGACCCGTCAATATATATATATATATATACATATATATGTAGGTTAGGACTCCACCACTTTATTAGTAACAATAAAAACATGTAGTTTGATCACAACATTCCTACTTTATTTATTTATTTACATCGACATTTTAGCCCTTAGGCCATTTTCAAGAGAAGAAAGTTATATTAAAAAATTAAAATCATATGGGCTAAATTGTCCTTGTCCACATTAACTTCATAGTCTGATAAGTAACTCAGACTATTAAGTTAATGTGGAGGACTGCTTAGAAATAATAACTGTAAAAAATATCTATTTTAATGAAATTTCGGTATATAAAAATATAATAAGGATTATAATTTTAACTTACGAATATCATTATAATAATTCTTTCTACACTGATCATACTTTATAAGGAGATCCAATCTTTCAAGTATTTTACTCTTGTACAGTTTTTTATCTATGGCCTGCATCAAAACAATAGAGGTGAGTAAGGTCCCTTAAAAAAACAATAAACAATAGTTAACAACAATGTTTGTACCAAACTTTATATTAAATTAATAAATCCCCTATCGGACGCAACCGACCTGACAGGTACAGTTCAGATGTTTTTTTTTCTCCATGTTCTTGTGGATTTATTCAAATTCTGCCACTTTTAGTAGCCTCCTATCTTTGCCTTATAACTGGAACTAATCTATTCAGTTTATTTGCTTTGTGGATAGCTGTTAGGATCATTTTGATCTCTCAGGCACATTGCGCCCAAACTCACATATAAAGATTCTTTATCAAACCATAATCACAAATGTTTATTTTTATTTATTTCATGAATATATCAAATGTTGGCTCACAAGCTGGGGCTAAGGGAACTAAGCTAAAGAAGTGTCAAGACAGTTGGAATCGCCAAATATGTTTGAAAAAAAAACATCAGTCCATGAAAGATGTTCAACCAGAAAATTCAGAATGTAAGAAATGTCACAAAGCAGTAGTGTAATTATTCCAAATTATTAAATTTGTAATTCTGTAAATTTCAGTCAATTTCATCACTCTAATGATTTACAGCTTATATACTCATGTATGATTGATTTTGAATAACACAAAAATAAATACAGATACCCTGAAATTGGGAATACGATTTTATAGTAGTACGTATACACCGTTTTTGAAAATGATCTCCATTTTAAGATAACACTATTGCGTTTTGACTTAATTGAGTTTTTTGTTTTTCTTCAATATAAGGGTCTATTTATATGTGGTCAGAGCCAATTTTTGAACATGATCTCCTTTATACGATTAGGTCATTGTGTTGTGGCTGATTTGAGTTTTTTGGATTTTTCAATGTAAGGGTCTATTTAAGTGTATTCGGAGTTGGTTTTTTTTTGTTTTTTTTTACTTATTTGAGTTTTTTTTTATATATAAGGGTTTATTTATATGTTTTCGGAGCCGTAGTTTCTGTAGATGGTCTCCATTGTAAAGTTCACAAATAAACACAAATGTGGAATTGTCAAATGCTCTAGAACTTAAGATCCTTCACTTCTTTTCTGAAATACATGATGATCTAAAAAAGTTTTTATAGCATACCATACGCTCCCATCCTCAGCACCGGTTGAACAATTAAGTTATACATTTTTTTAATTCTTAAATTATGAACATTTATGCGAAAATGTGAATTTACTGATTTTTCATTTTTGAATAAAAATTACAATAATGATTTCTATTTGTTTAGGGAACACATCAAACTTCCCATTTAAATTTAATTTAAATTAAATCAAGAAAAAAACAACACACCTTTCGAGCATCTCGAGCATACTGACTATATACCTCAGATGTTTGGAAGAGTTCACCATTACTGAAGCGTAGACGCTCACGTAGCGTAAGAGATTCAATAGACTGGCCAGTTAGAAAATTCTTAATTCCACTGATTTACTGAATATAGAGTTAAAAACTCCAGCGGCCTGCAAGGGACCAAGAAAGGAAGAGAGAGAAGATGAACAAGAAGATTGGCAAATAGAAGAAAAGAAAAAATGCAAGTATCCCAACCAACCTATATTTAAACAATCTATAAAATTCAAAATTATAAAATAAAGCAATCAATTGTACATCTTCACTTTTTTAGAACATTAACTTCTTTAAATTTACAGTCCACAGCAATAAATTATTACCAGCTATTAAAGCAGAATTATGACAATATCCCTGACAGCGGTGGAAGGGATTGGCATAATAAACTAAACACTATGTTTAAAATTTATTTTCATGGAAAAGGTTCTAGAAAACCTATCTATAAAGAGATGGGATATAAAAGATCGAGTCCCACTAAAATATTTAAACAGCTACAAGCATAAGTCTGAAGAATTAGCTAAATCATACAAAACCACTGTAAAAGAAAAAGCAGCCAAAAATCAATACCTTTGGGACTTCGAAGACATAGAGAAAAGCAGGAATGCAATAAAACAGATATTGCTGGATGCTGCAGAGGAGATTTGCAGGAAAACCAAAGTAGGCCAGAGACTTCTTTAGGTGTGTTTTGTACTTTTATAGTGGAGAGTGAATTAAATTGAGCTGTCAGATCTCCGATGTGTAACGCTAGGGTAAAGCTGGCTCGAGTCGGCTAATTGCAGTGTTTTTACACATGGATTAAAACATCTCAAAACTAAAAATCGGACCTGCATATTATCGGCAAGGGAAATGTTCATTATTTCATCCTGTTTATATATCATAGCTATTATTCAAAATAGTATCTTAACGCGACGCTGTGTTAGAGAGGGGAAAAAGGGAAAAATTGGTGTCAAAAACCAAAAACTCTCATTCCACTGGAGTCCTCTTTTCAGGAAATCCTTCTTTACTTCGTCGTCCAATTTATTTCTTGGTCGACCTTTTCCTCCCGCTTCAAACATTATGCCAGCACTTGCCATTCTCTTAGTAATATCTGTATCAATATAACCATTTTCATTTAGGTGCACATGTAGGTATTTGAAATTTTTCACTTGTTTGAGGACCGTGTCTTCAACTCTAATGACACGTATAATTCTTCATGGCCTCTCTTCCCTATCCTTATTACTTTTGTCTTTGTAGGGTTTATGACCATTTTGGTTTTAAGCAGTTCTTCTTTAAACCTGTTGATGTTATGTTGGAAATTCCTGTTGTCTTCTGCAAAAATAACAATGTCATCAGCAAATGCAAGAAGTGAGTTTCACTGGTCTAAGATAGGCATATTCTATGTGGAATTTCCTTATATTTTCCTTGGCTCTCCGAATAGCTGTATCCATAACTAAAATTAACAGTAGTGGACTCAACCTTGCCGAATTCCTATCGTGGTTTTAATTTCTTGAGATGTACAGTTGGCAAACCATACAACGCTTCTTGTACAAACTCTGAACTGCATCTATATGTTCTTTATCTACTCCCTTATCTCTTTGGGCCTCTGAGATATCCGTCTTCCTTAATCAGCCAAAGGCTTTTGTAAGGTCAACAAAGCATACTGAAAGTTCCTTATCTTTTTTTGACACTTTTTCAATATCCTGTCTCATGGTAAAAATAAGGTCTAGGGTGCTGCTATTTTCTTAAAATCCGTATTGTAAGTTTTTCTATAAAATAGAAAAATTTAATATTCTTTCTTTCTGGACAGGCCTCTTATGAAAGGATATACTAGATGTTTTGGCTATATAATTATTAAAAAAATAAATCTTAGTATAATTATTTCCGTATTGTTTTTATTGCAGTCAGCATTCATTAATATCGAGTAATAATTATAGAAGAGGAAATATGTAGGTTTAAGTTAATTTAAAGTATGTTTGTACTATGATGATAAAATATAAATTATTTTTAAATTTCATAATCTGCTCCATTATTCCTGTTAAGAATTCTGATTCTGTTTATTTATCAATTATTTAGCTAAATTAAAATTAATAAAGTAAAAATAACTATATAAATATATGTATATAAATGACTCATACATTTACTCTCAGGTTCAAGGTCCAATAGCTGATTAGAAGAATCAAGGGTGCTACATAATACAGACATCAAAGCAGGACTAACAGTAGGGTCAAATGCTGGTCTTACACTCCATACCTTTCCACGATCTATAGTTATATTTTCAACAAGTCCTTGTCCATATTCTATTGTAAAAGATATTTCATCTTCAGATTCCTCATCATGCAATGGCCTGGTCTATCAATTACAAAATAATACAGATCTCTCTCAGTTTATAATCACATAATAGTGACTCCTTACTGCACTATTTACTTTACTAAATCTACATAAACAATATCATAACATAAAATAGCAAAATCCATTTAATTATTAAGTAATAATTGGGGTGATCATACATCAGGTATTGTCTAGGACAGTTCTAATTTTAACACTGTACAGGTGCCCTGAATAAATTGTCCAAATTTTCAACAAATCAATTCAATTCATTTACATAAAAAATAGTTATAGTTAATTATTGTAATAATCATGGTGACCATACATCCTTAATAAATTGTACCAAATTTTCAACAAATCAATTCATTTTTGAGAAAAAATAGTTATATAATTTTCTTGAACCCAATATGAAGTTTGATGTAAATGCTTATAGTTTTACTTGGAATTAACATTTTAAACAGAATTTATTTCAATGAAAATGTGATTGAAATATTGGCTTTTTTTTTTCTTTCACACAGATTAAAAGTGAGAGAAGAAAAACTATGATATTAAGGACTCTTTAATTCTTGAAATTTACTTATCCTATCTTCTCGAATTAAGACTCAGGAAATATAGTCATCATGGTAATAAAACAATAAAAATTATATGGTAAAAAAAGAATTAATGTATACAACATTCCTCAACTACAGTATATCTCTATTCACCAGGCACTATGAGAACTTAATTGGTGGTATGTTATTTAATATCAAAGTGATAAATTAATAGGTTTTAATGACACAAGGGGAAAGCAATAAATGAAAATATTACCAGTGATTCCTATAACCCTACAATTTAATGAATGGAAATTGTATAATAAAATAAGGTGCAAACTTTTAAAAGATATTTGAAATATGTATAGTATAAACATTCATTCATTTATTCTCTAGATGTAGAACCAACTTTATTCAATATGAGAACTAAAAACAACATGGACATACCCATATTATTCTTGATTTTTCATAAGGGATCCATGGCTGCGGTAAACAAACACAACGACTAAATACACATACAATTTTTCCATTAGTTAAAAAGGCTTGAACTGCACCAAGATTAGTTGTGGGACGTCCTAGAAGCCATCTCAGATAAAACCAACTAGAAGAATCTGATGGGTCAGTGAAACAAGCGGCTTGCACCAATTCTAGCTCTAAAGAAATATATACATACATATATAACTGAAGCTACAATTGCTTTTTTTATAAGAAATTCGAAGAATAAATATCAATAACTAAAGTAAAACTAACAATTATGTATTATATAAAAAAAATAAAGCATTTACAAGTGATATTTAACTTTTTCAAGAAAAATTAAATATTATTCAAGGCCAATTAAACTTCCTTTATTTAAAAATCAATCTCTTACTGAAATAAATAGGGAAATATATATGAAACTTTTTCAATACTTCTCCATGTTAAAAAATTAGATTGAGCCATCAGACCTCTGATGTATAATGCTCAGCTAAAGTTGGCTGGAATAGACTAATTGAAGTGCTTTTGAATATGAGCTATTATTAAAAATAGTGTTGAAAACCAAATGATAACGAGTTTAATTGAAGATATGGATTAAAATATCTCAGAATCTAAAAATCAGACCTGCATACAGGAAGTAAGGAAATTGTTCAGAATTTCATCCTCTCTATAATGGGCTATTATTCAAAATCGTATCTTAATGCGATGCCATGTTATGTTAGAGAGGCGAAAAGAGAAAAATAGTGTTGAAAACAAAAAATCGGACCTGCATACAGTAAGTAAGGAAATTGTTCAGAATTTCATCCTCTCTGTAATGAGCTATTATTAAAAATTGTATCTTAACCCGATGCCATGTTAGAGAGGCGAAAAGAGAAAAATAGTGTTGAAAATCAAATGATAATGAGTTTAATTGAAGATATGGATTAAAATATCTCAGAAACTATAAATCGGACCTGCATACTGTAAGCGAGAGAAATGTTCAATATATCATCCTCTTCATAATGATCTATTATTTGTAATTTATATTTCATATTATTAATTATGCCTTGTTGATGTTTTCACTTCTATCGTGTGGTCTAAAGCACACATCTTGTTTTTTTTCTTTTTTTTTATAAAATAGACAGCATGTAATATTTTGGAATAATTTCTTAAAATTTCCTTCAAATCCACAATAATAATGAATTGATCAAAACTTAATATATTTTATGTTTGTTATATTTAAAGGTAAAACTACTACGTTGAAAAACATTAGATTGGTAATCAGGATTTAAAGCTCAAAGTTTTCGAAAATGTATAGTATACATAGAAAGATTTGCCAAAATATTGGTATGTTTCGGCTATCTGCTTTTCTAAAGTGGTTGAGGTTGATTCCAGTCTTATATTCTATTCTGTTAAAATTGTTATTATTAGGAAACAAGGAGGAAGACACAACATTGCCAAGAAAGTTCAGAACAGGCATCTTTTCCATCAGAGCCCATCTGTGGTGTCAGCCTTAGCTGTGTAAAAAAGCTAGTTAAGGCTGTTGTAAACAATAAATGAGGCTCTATTAGAGGAAGATTAAGAAACAGGTAAATTCTAACCTAATCTAGAAGGATCCTGTACTTAAGAAGTGCAACATTTCTACTAATGTACAGGATAAATTTAAGGAGAGTGATATGGCTGTATACAGTTAACTGTCACGAGAACAAACACCTCTTTAATTTAGGGTTGACTGAGTCATCAATGTGCAGAATAAAGAACAAAACTATTTATCACATAATATATAGATATTATAATGAAGTAAGATTGCTACAACCATATTATAGGTACTAAGCTCTACAAATTCATCGAGACTTGCTAGATGTGTAGTTTTGCAAAGGCTACACTAAAGCCTGTTCTAACAGGGTATGAGATAGTGCACACATAACAAATCTCAATAAGGGCACGGTGAATCTACGATGGAGGAATCTAAACAACTGAGAGAGAAAAGTTAAAAGGAAAAGTAGATAGAATTAGATCTACAGAGGAAGGTCTTAATCTAACTTTTACCACAAGAAAATTAAAGACAGCAACATAGAACTAATTATAACCATGATCTTAAGTACTAAGTATTAACTTACTGCAAAAAACAGGTTTAGGGTATAATATATAAAAATGTAAGAATATAATAAACATTAAAAATAAAAGAAAAAAATAGTGGTAACTCTTGACCAAAAATAAATTCTCATCTATTCTCTTAAACAGAATGATCTCAGAAATTTTCATAAAATCTGAAATGAACATATTGACAATTTCATTAACCATGTAATGACACAAAAGAAAAAGTAGCCAGAATATTTACTTCAGCTCTTTTTTTACCCAACCAAACTTTATTTTTAGCACTACAGAAAAATAATTTGTTTAATAAAATAATGATACATCCTAGTTTTTAATACAGAACATCAGTAAGTTACTTTTAACATGAGATATTATGGGTATAAGAAAAAAAAAACTTTAAATAATTTCAAATTAATTAGAGTTGCTAGACAAGAAAAGTTTAGGATTAGCTAATTTTACATATCAGTATAAAAAACTCAAGCTAAATGATAATTCCATCTTTTAATATATACTTAATTATTGACTAAAGTATTGTTTTGTTTAACAGCAATAATTAATTAACCTTTCAGATGACTGGGCTCATCAACAGGACGTAGACCAGAAGGATCAGGAAATACTGAAGGAAGTAGTTTGCTCCGGTAATGCCAACTAGAATAATTTGAGAAGTTTTCTTCTATCTTAACTGTTGTATAATCTAACTCTTCTGAAGGAGCCACTTGAAGCCTTGCAACTACTGCTCTCCGATAATCCCAACAATGAACTAAAATAACAAAACATTCATTTAGGGAGTTACAAAAGCAAAATGGGTTCAAATTAACTAGTGACACGTCTGGTTGATAGATGAGTCAATATCATATCAATCATACTGTGGGAGGAATACCAAAAGTAGCCAAGTGTTGAAAAATATGTAAACATGTGGATGCCTAAGCTTACTCGTAGATAAACAAATCCCCAACTGGTCTTCTTCAGTTGTGATTTTGCCAACATTATTTTCATATAGTTATGACCACATGCCTAGTTTCAGTATTCAATCTACAGTATGATTTATGTGATCTTTACCCACCCATCAGCTATACATGGCACTTTTGATCTAGTACTGCAAAATATAATGATCATTAAGATTACGTACAGTTCCTTTCATCTAATTTGAGATACTTAGTACAGAGAAACAGTTCCTTTTCTAAATCAGGATAAGGCATATTGTCAAGAAGCCACAGTCTATGATACCAGGCAGCATAAGACTTGGGATTTTCTCTCAAGCAGATTTCAGTCAAATGCATTTCATTAGATAATATGCAAGCTAGGTCATCATGACTTCTAAAATGATATATTATTATAAAAATACATAACATTTAAAGTATCTTTATCACTGTTATACCTACTTATCTTTGAAAGTCAATAAGATTTCTTTTCTAATGTTCCACAAAGTATAAATATCAGGGTTTGAAACAAGAACATCACTTATCAATTCCATTGCTTCTTCATCATATTCACCATTTTTCCTCTAAAGAAAAATATGTAATTCAGTTGGTACAATAACACTATAATTCAAAATAAAATAACAGCACCCCAAAGAAAGACGTACTTTATGAAAGATCTTGTTCATGCTAAGTCGATATGCTTTCATTTTTAAATCTCTCTCCTTCTTTTTCTTTTCCTTCTCTTCCAAAGTTGTATTGACTTTGGCTTTCCCATGCTGAAATTATTAAATATTATCTAAATTTGGTAATTCATGTTCAATATTTTAAGGCAAGAAGTTCATTAACAGTACCATTTTGTTGATTAGAGAATGTCAGTTGAGTCTTAATTTAAGTAAAACTTCTTTTTTTTTTCTTTAATAATATACTACTGGTAAGAGATTAAAACATTCCAATTTTAATTTTTGTTAAGAACTGATATTGGAGATGAGCATACTTTGGAGAAAAGGTAGCTGAGAAATAATCAATTTTATTTATAACTTATAGTGAAATTTTTATTGTGAATCGGAATATATGAACTATCCTATAAGGAATGTTAAAAAGTGACACTAACACTAATAAAATCTTAGTAATTGTTTGAACTACATATACAAAGAGGTCGCTGAGACACGACTAAGGTCTATTATCATCAAGAAGAAGAAAGGAAAGAAGAACCAATGCACCACTAGGAACAAGGCACAAACGCCCCTGTGTTTAGACCCATCTAGCCTAAGTAAGCATTTAATTATTCATTTGCTAGAGAATCAAGCACTTACTTTTTTTTTTAATTAATAATTTTATATGCGTAGATAAAAATTATCACTACTAGCGAATGAGCTGAATTACGTTGAGCATGGAATCTGTAAGCTTGAGAAATCTTAAAGAAACTATTGTTATTTAGAAAAATCCTGGGCAAATGCACAATGTTCCGTAGATTTCACATAACATAAATACAGTCAAAAGCTTTTGCGCCGCCAATTTTTAGTTTTAAATTCAAAGTGGAACAAAATAAGATTTTAAAAAATGTTTGATGGAAAGTACATTTATTCTTAAATAGTTAAGAAATTAGAAATAACCCATTAGAGAAAATAAATCACTTTATTAATTGATAAGAATGAAAAAAGTGTCAGCAACTTGCCTTGCATCAGCATCCTTCTCATATTCCGTATAATATTTTAAAAAAATATATATAGCATATATATTTTCCATTCCACATCAATTGCATATTTTATATTGGACCAAAATAAAATAATTTGAGAGGTTGAGCAGTGAAAATAAGCAGAAAAAAATTATGCCACTGAAGAGAAAAGCCCAACGGTTGTATTACAGTGGAGAGTAAGTATGGTAGGGGAAGCTGAGCGTAAGACAGCTTCCAAAACTGAACCTCGGTCGACCCAAAGCTGACCTAAGCAGACCCTTGTTACGCTGCTCAACTGTGCTCAGCTCAGCTTACCTGCCATTAAAAACCTTTGGTTCGGTTTCGAAAGCTAACTCAGCTTCGCTGTACTTTCGGTGGCCGGTCGGCTTTAGTGTTGCCGAAATAATGAGTAGCAAAATAAATAGTTCCCACATAATCCCCTTAATGTCTCAGAAACAATGGTCTATCAGTAAGGACATCATACAAGGGTGTCGAGAAAATGACTTTAGCGAAGTTTCATTTAAATCGGTACATTCGTTTAGGCGGTACTATAGCAACGCAGGTTTTTCTGCATTTTTATTTTTTTCTCCTTTATTAATTTATCAAATTCTTTCAAAATTTATATGTAAAAATGTGTTTCAGCTTTCATATAAAGTGGCACTTCCGGTTAGCCGATTTTAACAAAAACGTTGCTGTCACATCCGGCCCATATACAAATCTTAACTACTTAATATCAGTTTCGTACTGCTTTTCGTTTATGAGCTAGACTGTTAACACACACACACACACACAGATCATTTTGCGACACTTGGTTATTTGGACTCAGGGGACCTCAAAACATGTATTTCCGTTGAAAACTGAGATTCGAAAATTTTCACGATCGCAATACTTACCCTTACTATATATTACATACATACGTAATTGATAGTAAAAATAACTGTCCAAAAAGAGTAAAACTAATTTATTGAGGAAAGAAAAATTAAATTAATGTTGAAATGTCTCTTGGTGATGGTGAGAACAAAAACGCTCCACGATGGAGGCTCTACTTCCAATGAGGTTACCTTGATGTTCAGCTAATGCCAAAAGCAGTTGATAGTGGGGGAATCGATATGCATACAGATCTCGATCGATGACTGGCGAATTATGATACAGCTGAGCTCTTTAAAATGATGCAAGTCTGGCGTAAGGTGAAGTGAGACATAAGCGGCTGGCTGGGTGGGGTGGAGGGAAGGTGTACTGACGATATCCAGCGTAGACCCTATATCTAAGAAAGCTCGCTCCTGACTTCCGATGAAACAAAAAGGCACTATACTAGGCTGGTGGGGTTGAGTTAACTGGAGCGGCTGGTGGGAAGGTAAGGGAAGATTTCCAGTTTACCCAATAGCAATGAAAGCTTGCTCCAGACTGATTTCTGGACAGTCTTGTCGCAGTATTTGTGTCTTAATCCATAAGACTGAGTATTACTTACGGGCTGGAGCTTATACACAAACGCGATAATACATCGCAAATGAAACTAAATATATAATAATAATATATAATTTTAGGGACAGTATCCCTCAGATTTTTACCAAAAAATATACAAACATTTATTTTATGATCATTCAAAAAGGGTAAAAATGGTGAGACAAAATAATTGAAGAGAAGGATGGTTGGGGTGATCAGTCAAATTTAAATGGTAAAAATAAATAATTTAATTTTTATATTGTATATTTTTATTTTATATTGTGAGACAAAATAATGTACAAAAAAAAAAAAAAAAATATGAGCGTATGCGGCGTTACCATACCGCCCACTAAAATTTCACGAAATTTTTAGAGATCTCATTTAAGAGGTTGAGACAGGAGATAGGAGGGAATGGAAAAAGAGGTGCTGCGAACAGAAAGTGTAACGGGATGAACTCAATAATCTGCAGGATCTGAGTATATCGGATGGAGAGGTGAGGTGGAGAGGTGTGATGGAGAGAACAGCTTCGACGGGAGACACTATTGTCGCTAACTGCTCGTAAGTTACGGACTGTTGCCAAAAACGCGGGTGAGGATGCATACGAGAATTCGGAACGATGAGTGCAATAGCTATGGAACGGCGTGAGGAAAGATAAGGTGAGAGTAGTTCACGAACGAATTAACGAAAGGAAACTTTGATGGAAAAATTATAGGAGCGTTATAAAACCTGCCATTCATCCTGACCAAACCAACGGGAACGCAAAACGGGTGAATGATTGGAACGAATTTGGTTGATATAGCGATATATGAGCGGTGATGTGATCATTCAAGAAATCGTTACGCAAACTGCCACCCACCCTGACCAAACCAATGGGATCGACAAACGATTTTAACGACTTAAGGCCAAAATGGAGGCTATGACCGGTGAGGGGTTGATCATCGAACGAATCGTTCCCCGCCGCTAATTTATCGAACGTAACCTGATGCATTTTGGACGAATTGTCCCTCAAAACTTCGTGCTGCGGGGTGAAGCGTCTTCCGGGTGGAGAGGTAGGTGACACGGAGCTCTTGGGGTGAATATGCGGAGCAGTTGCGCAATGGAGAAGAGTGGTGGTACAAGGAATATCGATAGGCGATATGACACTGCTAAACGAGCTGGAGTGAGAGGGTAATACCGAAGAATGGAATTTAAAATCCCCTCCGGCACCGGGACGTGAACTCATACGTTTTTAATCTCTCGAAACTTCGGTTATCTCGCTATTAAATTTAAAAGAACTGCAAGAGACTACAGGAACTTCAGTGTAAATGATCCGAGTGGTCGAAACATTCAAATAAGTAAATAAAATTCTGTATTTAATTAATTAATTTGTACTAAATGAACTTTAGCGTTATATATTAGGCGGATATAGAATTCCTTTGATGTCCTCAAATGTCCAACACCTGGTGAAACATGCTGTGGACCGGAATGTTCCCCATTGGGCCTACGGTAAACTACATGCCTTGAACGCTCAGGGCATCCTGTGACCAGAAAAGGCATCGTATGACCAGAGCCATTCGTGAACATTCGTCACTGTCACTTCAGATTCGCGACTTGTCATTCCCAACATGACCACATGATCCTGTGAACTAGAGAAGCTCAAACGTTAATAACATTCTGTTATCCTGTAACACCGCCTTTACACACAGAGTGCGATACAGAAGATCAAAAAAGTATTTTGATTTTGAATTGTATTTGAAGCATTCAACTTTTTTCAGGTTCATTGTAAAAGAATCTGAAATTGATTAAATATATAATTACTGTGAAAAAAATGTTGGTACTTCTTTACTAGTAGGCCAGCACTGACTGCTATCTCCCAATATTTATAACCTGAACTGTAGTGAGGTTTCAAGCTGGCCTGCTAGCCAAGAAGTACCAAAATTTTAATTTACTTAATTAAAAAAATAAGTTAACGAAAAATTACTTCAGGTTGGGCAAAAGGGTATTTGCAGACTTTAATTTGAAGGTTATTTCACAAACTGGATATTTATTAATATTTTGTCACAATACCAATGGCCTCTATGACATACTGGAATGTTCTAGGTATTGACAAAACAAAATTTTGAGTTGTCTTGTCCAATTTTACGCAGTTCATCTGACAAAGTTTCTTTTAAATAATTTTCAAAGAAATTTTATTTTTCTTACTTTCAAATTTAACAGGTATCATAGGTGTTCTATGGTATTTATGTCCCGAGACTGTGGTGGCGTTTTCAATTGGCTAGGAACACTATACAGCATCCATTCTTTTGTTTTATTTTGGTGTTTGCTTAGCGTCATTGTCCTGTTGGAAGATAAATGCATCTATTATCCTCAAATTTTCTGCTCTACTTGTTAAATTACTTGTTGTCTCAAAATGCCGACATATTGTCAATAAAGGTTAAGTTTCCAGTGCCATGACCTCACAAAACCTAAACACTTCCACCTCGGAGTTATATGATGCGTAACTTCAAAACGCATTCGGAAACTACGTTAACCCTTAATAGTAATTCGATTAAGTCATCTTCTGCTGGCCATTCTTTGGTATTACCCTATCACTCCAGCTCGTTTAGCAATGTCATATCGCCTATCGATATTCTTTGTACCACCACCGTTCTCCATTGTGCAACAGCTCCGCATATTCACCCCGAGAGCTCCTTGTCACCTAACTCTCCATCTGGAAGGCGCTTCACGCCGCACCGTGATGTTTTGAGGGACAGTTCGTCCAAGCAAGGTTTGTATCATTCAACATCAGCTCTTAACTGATGTTTAGATTCTTGTTAAAATCTAGAAAAAAGAATCACCTAAGAAATTCCTACACTAGAGCATAATTTTGTCTTCCTCAGAATGTCGTCAGCTTCTAATGTCTGAGAGGTATCATCACATTTAGACACACCCTTTGCACTACTTATGATTGCAACAGTCTGCTTCTTATCAACAATTACTCCATATTACATGAGGATGTCATAGATTTTGATGCATGCTGTCAAATGAACGCAATTGTGATTTCGTTTCAACCTATTACCTGACCTTTTTTTTTTTTTGTTTTCTTTTAAGAAAAAAATGGTTATTAAATAAAAAAAACAAATCAATTTTTTATTTTATTTATTGTAAAAAAAAAGAAGAGAAATATACATTAAATAGATTCTTTACATTATATTTAAGGCCACACCATTTACATTTATTTTACAACATTTTCGGATATAAAGAAAGTATTTTGCAATAGTAAACTTAGCATAAATTATGCTAAACAAGTGAAAACTTCACTGATTCATAACACGATAGTTCTATTCCTTCATTAGACAAATACAATATCATAAGATATATTGTTGAATTTAGCTGAAATTTTAATAAAATTGAAGGATGTTTGATAGTTCCCAGCATTAATTTTGTTTTAATAATATAAATTTAGCCACCACCCACCCAAATGAATTAACCACCACCACCTCCCAGTTCATCTTCATACTGTTTACGAAAACAGTCACCAACTGGGAAGAAATCCCAACAACGTTGCTGATACATGTTCCAGACATAGGTTTCTTGACCTGTGTATTCAGTATCTGGCTTGTTAATCAGATGCATAAGAAAGAACCTAAAACAGTTTATAAATTATCTTTAGGAATTGGGAAAAAAAAATTTCCAATCAGTTAATCTAGGATATTTTATTTATTGAAAGTTATTTCAAATAAAAATAAAAATAAAATGTAAGTATAGACCTCTTCCCCATTTTTGTTGTGTCATTAACCTTGAAAGAGGGGAAGGTGATCATTTGATAATATTTAGTGTTCTATGCATGTTGTTTCTTGAGAAAAATGTTCTCGGTTAACAATAAAACAGTTATTAAAATAAGTTTGTTTGATGTTGCCTCCTTTCTCTCTACAATAAAATAGTAAATTTTTAATTAATATCTTCTCATTACATGAACTAATTTTATTTATTCCATCCGTATAGACTGAATTGAAGTCAAAACAATTAAGAAGCAGAAACAATTATTTGTTTACCTAAATTTTGCTCAAAAAATAAGGATAGGATTGTGCATCTAACCTAAGCAGGAGTACCCACCCATCTGACTTAATAAGAACTAGAAATATTGTAAACTTTTCACATGTTTTAATAAAGATTAAGTATAATATAAATATACGAAGATTTACTGAAATATATGAAGTAAATATAAGATATAACATACGGAGCTCGAAGTAAAAAAAAAAGCTATTTTGAAATACTCTTTTTGAGCTTGTAGTACTTGAGTCGGAGCCTAAAAAGGGTACTTGTTGCAGAAAAAGTTTTAAATGTAAATTAAGAAAGTTTGTTATATTAAGTAAAATGAAACTTGTCTGTCATTATTGAGGATTGAAATAGAAAATATATTTTAAAAACTTTTTTTACAGTAAAACTAAATTGCTAACATAGACTGCCTTGGCAAAATTTTTTACATCAAAAAAGCTAGATTGTTGACTTTTTTTTTTTTTACCTATAACTCTTTAACAGTGCATCAAAGTGTAAAACTTACACTTTAAGAATGTTAAATTGTGTGTCGAATGAGTACGTACAACTTAATAATTTGATTAAGTGGTATATTCAAAAACCACGGCCAACAGACACTGATTTGTCAAAAGCTGAGACAAATTACCACTATAAATGACCCTGCAGCTTAGAAATGAGAAAAAAACTCATAGAATAAAAGATGTATCAAATTCTGTGTCCAAAAGGAGTGGTCACGGACGTGGGGTCACTGATTTCAATGGATTTTTTTTGGTGATATTAGATTGAAAAACATAAGACCCAAGTCTGAGGGTTCTTGGTAATGCGCCCTAGGAGCTGAGAAAAATATGTTTTTTAAAAATGTATTATTTTTTTACATTCCAATTTTCTGACTTAGCTCTACTTGGATTTCAAAGTTCGTATATATCAAACAAATTCTAATGGATAATAAATTACAAAAACCCATCCGTTAGAAAGATAAATTATTGCTCTTCAAAACCATAACAATAACTTTTAGATATCACGCCTTTATGAAGAATAAACAAAGAAAAACACCCAAAAATTTTTTATTTTTACCTCCAAGCCTAATTTATTTGTGGGCTCCTGGTTTGAGCTATTTCGTGTATATTATAGAGCCCTAAATATATGCTAGTTTTTGTATTGATAAAGAAAATCATGTCCGCAGTTATCACAACTTTTGTGATTTTAAAAAAAAAATCAAAAGCTTTAGAAATTTTTTTTTTATTTTTCAGTTAGTATACAAATTTGTATTTAAGGATTTTTTGAGGAGTGAAATACAAATCTCAACTTTGTTTTTACATAACAAAATATTTCAACACACTTTATTCCTAAGGTCAAAACTAATTGTTTCAATATTTTACTCATACTATAGCTGTATGCCAAATATATATTTTTTTCTATACTGGACAGGTATCAAAAGTAAGATTATAGGCGCATAATCTAGCATTTTGTCGAAATATGATCCAAAAATAAGAATAAAGCTTATATAAGAATGTATATATACAAGTTAAAATAATAAAAAGTTTTCCACATTGTTTGCAATATATTTACCATTTCGACCCTTTAGTTACTGGCCTAATATTCTTTAAATCAACCACCAAAGCAGTGGCCCTGGAATGGCAGCCAAGATTCCTTTTACTTAAAATAACATACACATTCGTAATTTTCATTCAAACCTTCTTCTGTAATCAGTACCCTTTTTAGTCCCTTGTTCTATACCAAATTCCAGACTTGACAGTTAACAAATACGGTTGAGTCATGATGGTCGAGCATGTTAGAGTGTTGCCCATTCTAGCATTTTCCTGTATAAGGATACCAGTTTCTAATTCTAATACAGATAAAAGGAATTAATCATGACCTTTCCACTCAGGTTAGAAAAGGTTTAGTTGTACCTCTATAATAGGATTTTGAGAACCATTTTTAACTTACATGTAATTAGCCAAGTTATGTTCTTGTTGAACATGAGTGTCAAAACCATGGGGAACTTTATCAAAATAATCTTTTCCTATCCCACAAATGAAGCAGTTAGATTCCATGTCTTCTTTTACACTTTCTAACTGATCTCTCAATTCACCAAATGCATCAATGATCAAACCTGAAAATTGAATAAATTTTGGAAATGGGAAATTTTTTATTGGAAATAATACTAGATTTAACAATTCATTTCAAATTTAAATAAGTAAAATGTAAGCTATACATTTTGTTATCATTGAAAATATCTGTGCCTGGAGGTAAAAGACACCATTTCTTCATTAAATAATTTAGTAACTGAGAAACAAATTTTAATTGCTGAAAGTTATGGAAAATTGGCTTTCCTGAACAAATACAAAATTGTGAGAAGGTGTCCTTTACCTCCTAGGTACAGATATATAACAGTGGTGTAGAAGAAGAATAATGTATGATGATAACGGTGTTCAAAAGATGGGACAGGAGGGGGCAAAGAACCCCATAAATAAAGAAGTAGCTCAGTAAAAGTTAATTACTTGTGTTACAATAAAATATATAATTTTTCAAATGTGTTATAAATCTATAATTATAAGTTAAAATTTAGTCATAAAATTAAAATTCTATGATGGAACTATTATTTTGAAGATTATCTTTTCCTTCAGATGGGAAAAAATAAGCACATCCTCCAGAAAAATCAGGAGAGATTTTGAAAGACTTCTGAATTTCCTACAAAATGAAAAAAAAAATCATCCTAATTGGACCATTTTTACCAAAGATACAAACGATTGTGTTTTCTACACATAGTTTGGTTTATTATTTTAAATCAAATGTTATCAACCAAGGATACAAAAATTAATTCCTCTTTATTATAATACATTTAATTTACTTATTTTCACATTATATTGCCATTTATTCACTAACTAATATACTATATGAATTATTCACATGGACCAAATTGTAATATAATTATTATCTATACGGTTTATTGAATTTTTATTAGTTATCTTGGGAAAGAAATGACTGTGCTGGAAGGGCTGGCCTCCTTCATAAAATAATGGGAGATGGAACCAGAAAGTACCAATCTAGTACTAGTACTATGGACCAATCTATAATGTACGAGGGTGGTCTGAAAAGTTTCTGACCTAACAAAAATACAAGAAATTTTTTATTTTTCAATATAGTCTCCTTGTAACTCTACACACTTCTCCCAGCGATGCCCCCATCTCTGTAACCCGTCCAAAAAGTACTCAGCGATTTTCTCTGCAAAATAATTGTTCATGAAGGAGATTGTCTCTTCATTTAACAAAAATCTCTGTCCTCCAAGCTCAATTTTTAGATAAGGGAACAAAAAGAAGTCACTTGGGGCTAGATCTGGTGAATAAGGTGTGTGGTCAAGCAGTTGAAACCGTAATTCGTGGATTTTTGCCATGGCAATTGCTGAGGTGTGAGACGGTGTTTTGTCTTGGTGAAACAGGATTTTCTTATTCTGCAAATGTGACCGTTTTTCCGCAAGTTCTGCCTTCAGCTTGTTAAGTAATGATGCATAGTATGCTCCTGTAATGGTTTCATATGGAACTCCGATGGCATTAGCTGCATATCTAATAGAACGTCCATTATCAATAAGTGCCACACCACGCGCAACATTCTCAGCACTAAGAGGCATTTTTAAACTTAATATTGAAAAAATTAAAAGCCGGAGTCTAAGAAATTTGCTGCAAGAAACGTCACTGAACTAATGATACTGAATAAACATTGGAGTCTAGAATCATTTCATTGAATTAAGGATGAAGGGTTATTGTCCTCTATATTAACATCCCTAATTGAAAACAAACAAAAAGATTACCTATTTATTTATTAAAAACAATAGACCAATCCAAAGCAGAAATATTTTTAGATGAAAACATGAAAAAATCAAGTGGGTGGAATTTTTTGTCTGTCAGTGTATACATTTTGTATTGTATATTGTTAATTGGAATAGAATGCTTCATGGAATACTTGACAAAAACATTTTTTAGTCTTTGTGGTAAAACAAAAATAGTCACAAATATTTACTATATAGAATGTTATGGCATCATAAGTGGATTTATTTTGTTCTCACGGTCGTGAGAGGAGTTGTAATTTTGGCACTAGTACTGACGTAAATGTCGGCCCCTCAAGAAATTTATGGTGCTACGAAACGGTGCTTTTTTATTACTATACTGCAATTAAATCAAACGCGCCAGGTATATAAAATTACTCAAGATTTATTCCGTTTCTTAATATTATCTGTGTATAAAATTAAAGTTATAAAAATTATATTGAAGCCGATCCGAGCAATATTTCACATGAAATATTTTAAAGTATGTTTCCTTTTTGAAGATAGTCGATTAAAATAACTCCATGACTATCCCAAAAAAACAGAAGACATTACTTTTCCAGCCGAGAAAATAATTTTTGCATTTTTGGAAGCCGGTTCCCCCTTTGCAATTCACTGTTTGGACTGTATTTTTGTTTCGGGAGTATAATGGTGTATCCAAGTTTCATCTACAGTAATTAATTGGCGCATAAACTGCTCTAACAGAGCATTGGAAATATTCATTCGAACACATTTTTGGCAACTCGGCATCCAACGGATGCGGACAGATATCTCATATCTAAATGATAATTTAATATGTAACAAACACGTTCTTTTTACATGTTCATAACCTCTGCTATCTCTCTCACTTTAATTTGGCGGTCGTCTAGCACTATTTGGTGAACTTTGACGATGTTTTCGTCGGTAGTAGCAGTTTTTGAACATCCCGAATGTTGATCGTCTCCCAAGCTCTTACGGCCACGTTTAAATTTAGCTGCCCAAAATTTCACTGTGGTAAATGATGGTGCTGAGTGCCCATACACAGAATCCAACTCATCTTTGATTCGCGTAGGCGTATTGCCTTTCAAAAACAAATATTTAATGACAGCCCGATACTAGATTTTGTCCATTTTCACAAAAACACCCACATCAACTCACTGAAATGGCTGTTACTTAAAAACTGTGAGTCCAAAATGGTTGAAACTTTGCTGGGTAACTGTCAACAGATGAACAACGAAATTCACTTGCTTTTATTTACGGGTGTTGCCATCTTCACATTGGGGTCGGAAACTTTTCAGACCACCCTCGTATATAAAATAAAAGTACGAATTTTTTTTTGCTTTTTGTTTCCTCTTTTTATTAAACTATACTTTTGAAAGATATGAATATACTGACTTACCTTGAATGATGGCTAGCAAGATGACAATAACAAAAAAGAAAAACGTAATATCAAACATTATCCTGTAAACTTCATAATCATCACCATCAGGAGGTTCAATCTCATCACCAATACCACCACCAGCTCTAACTCCTTTGTAAAGGTGGAATACAAAACACTGTAAAAAGTAAACAAATAATAGTTATTTTAATATTGGAAAATATTAACGAATAATAGATTTTCTCAACAAAAACTATACTATTACTGATAAATAGTAATATAAAAGAGCTCAGTCAGGATATGAGGCTCAACTATCACATTCATGGACATGGTGACAAAATGATGTTAGTTGATGCTATGAAAATCTGCTGTGACTACCCTAATTTTTACCTAGTTTAGGTGTTTATGGTAAGAGAAATTAGTTTAATAATTTCAAAATTATCAACTGCAGTGTATTGGTAGGGGCAATTAGGTTGTATGGTTACAGTTAAGAATATTTTTGACATAATTTGTCAATTTTCATTTAAAGTATTCCATCAAAGAAAATACAAGCTTATCTTATTAATTTTTATTTTTAAAATTACATGATTCAGTTCCAGCTTAAAATAAAGATGACTTTAAACTTTTCTTGAAAATAAAACAAAGTACTTACAGTTAACATATCGTGGCATTTTTTATCCACTTCCTCATCCTCTTCTTGGACATAAAATTTTCGGAAGAAGTTGAAAGCAATGACAGTATAGATGTATACTATGATGGTTAGCAGCATTACAGTCAATACAAGCTTTAAACAAATAACAATAATAAAAATTAATTAAATATTTTTAATATTTAATTAAAAACTAAACTAATTGAATAACAATACTTTTATACTAGCATTCATAATTCCTTTTCCATGATAACTCTTTATTAGAAGAGGTATTTTAAAAGAAAAATGCCTGTATGAAATTGGAACCATATGTTTGTGTTTTTTAATGTCACGATAGTCTTTAGCGACACAAGTTTTTAAGGCACGATTTTGTAATGAAAGACCGGATAATAATGAAATGTATATAGAAACAGTCCTAAATTTAATTGATATGTTGTATCAAAATTAACTTTGGAAAGCTGAGTTACTACTTCTCAAAATCATATAAATAACTTCTAGGTTTAATGTCTTCGAAAGAAATAAATAGAGAAAAACATTTTTATTTTTTTTAATTTGTGGCATTTCGTATCATTTAGTTGGCCCTAAATTTCTGCTAATTTTAGTGTGAATAGGTGGAGTGGAGTCATATTGAAGTTATCACACATTTTAGGATTTCCAAAATAAAATCGAAGGCCGGATAACATTTGAAAATTTTTTGATTGAATCAGATTCAAATTTGAAAATTTGTTTTTGAAGGTTTTTGGAGGTACCAGTACTAAATATATAATAAAAAAAAAAATGCAATAAATAAATCTCAGAATGTGAAAAAATATAATTTTTCTCCAAGTATATTCTTGTAGAGTGTAAGCATTAAATTTGGTAAATAATGTAGTACAACCATTTATGAACAAATTTTTTAATATAAATAATATTTTCAGAACAAAATATTTCATGATTTTGTAATTCTAACAATGAAAATACATTGGGATGTGTTAAAAGTCATCAAGACATGTATACGTATTGTAACTTGAGGGCAGTAAGAATAGAGAACAGCTTAAAATTAAATAAATAATAAAATTGCTGTTTTGAAATAAATATTTTCGTTGGATGTATTAGGAGATATTTTATTCAACAATCCACATTAAAAATATTAATTACTTTTACACATAAGACAAAAAATGACTGACTCAGTAAGATAATCTAATGTATAAAGGATAGATGGTAGGAGTAAGTTTCTATTGTCAGACTGTTTTGGAATGAATCAATGTAGGTAATTATTAACTCCTTTACTCAACATGGTATTTTGCTCTCTAAGATGTAAATAAATAAGAGGGTTTTACTCATTTATATGTAAAATTTGAATTAAATTGATTACATTACATATTAAATTTGGCATGGAAGAATTTAGCTCATCATGAAAATTATAGAAAAGATCTATTTTAGTGAAAAATCTCAAAAAAGAATCTATGGGATTTTGTATTTTAAATCTACTATTCTAGTTTGGAAAAGATCTATTGAAAGGTCTGCTTTTCCTTGAACACATCCAAAAAATAGTAGAAATCTTTCAAATCCAAGTCATTATGATGAAATTTCTTAACATATTAAACCATTTTGTACACTGAGATGAGAATATACCTGTTTTCCATTGTGTGTGACTGATTGCAAAATAGTCCTCAATGTTTTAAAACCAACTGCAACATCAAGTAAATGGGCAGCAAAGAAAAAGTTATTGAAGTTTCCCAAAATTGAAAAGATGAAGTATAATAAACTGTACAAAAATGCCTAAAAACACAAAAAAGTAAACATATTATAATTCAACCAATTTTTATATATATCTAAAATTTCAGAAATGGTGTTCTTGTCTCAATTTTTATATTTTCACTTCATTCCAACATTTTGGCCTGATGTCAATTATCAAGCAAAATGTTTTAATGTTATTACAATCTTATTTGAGCTAATTTGTCTAAGTCTAATTTTTTATAGCAAGATATATTAATTACATTTTTAAGTTTTATTACTGATTACAATTAAAGTTATATCAAACAAACATAAATTCTAATTATTATTGGTAGATTTAGTACATTATCTGTGATTGTGACTCCTGCTTTCCAAAGCTGATACCTCCAGTCAAAGTTCAAAATGCTAAAGGACATAAAAAAAAATTATTCATCATGCAAATTTAAGACATTTATTATTTACTCCCTATTTTAAAAAAATGAGTAAAATTAAAACCTAAATAATTACGATTACTCACTAATGAATAAGTCCCGATCCTTCTTCAGTATCTTGGGCACTGAAAGATGTTTTTTCCATTCCCAAAAGATTACTTATTGAATCAAAGTCATAAGTTTCACTGTATTTCTGTCGAACCTTTTTCTTCACAAATTTATCCCAGTAATTAACAGGAAATGATCTGAAAAATATTTGGTTTATTTAGCTATATTATACAACAATCAACTAAACTAAAAACAGATCTGATGGTGCTGACTTTGCACAGATAACCAGTTTATCCCAATGTGATTTAATATCATCATCTTCTGGTTGCTCAGCAATGTACAAACCATCAAACTCAAGTCGACGAGCTATTTCTTTTTCTCTCTTGAATATAGCTAGAGGGACCTAAAAATAGAATATTCCGTATGTAATCATCATAAAAAACAATAAAAAAAACAAAAAAAAACTTTAAGATAAATGTTACCTTCAAATGATAATATGCAATCAACATAGCTAAAGAAACAAGAGAATGTAGGATTGCAGCCAATCGCATAACGTGTGCCATATAAAAGAAATCCTCATCCACATGAACCATTTCAATTGGATCCTCTTCACCACTTTCTCCACCACTACTTCCTCCGCCACTCACATCATCACCTTCCCCTGTTAATTCTTCCATTAGTTGTTCAACACTCCCTTCTCCGCTAGCAGCATCATCATCTTCACCCAATGTTGTTACCTGGAGAAAAAGTTTTTCAGACATTGTAGAAACAATATTATATATGAATAATTGTTATTAAAGTAATTATGATTAATTCAAACAAAAGTAAATAAATAGATCATACCTTGTAGAACAGTAAAATAAAGTTAATGCAGAAAGCCAAAACCAATGCTACATATTTAAGATTATAGAAATTACGAGCAAGGAAACTGACAGCCCGGTGAGTATACTTGTTAAAATCAATCTATAATAAAAATAACAATTTAAAAAAATAATTAAAACGATACTTAAACTCTATTTGATAATAATCAAATCAAATCATTAACATGTTACGTACTTGAGAGACAGCAGAAGGCTCTGAAACTTTTTCTATTTTAGATTCTGCCTCAAAAGCAGCCATAACTGCTTCTTGTTCAGCAGCGACTTCTGCTCTTTGTGCTGCTTCTTTTCTTGCTGCTTCTCCACTGAAAAATGTCCGAATAATATTGTAGGCCACATTACTTTAAATAGATTGGAAGGTTTTAAAATTTAATTTAGTAAATTTAAGATACCCCAATATATCAGCAAGTGTTGGTGTTGGAGGTTGCTCTTCATTTTCTGGTTTTACATGGTCTCCCGCATGTTCCTCTGAGCTCCTCTCACCTCCTTCTTCTATGGGAATAGCCCCTTCTATGACTTTTGATCTAAAAAAAAAAAAATAGAAAAATATTAATAAGATTATTTGGACCGTTATACTTTTCAACATGTGTCTATTTTATACTGTTTTTCATTTTCAAAGTTGTTAGCATTACACCATCCTCAGCAACATTTGCCACCTTGTGGTATCTGATGTGAGGTCACTTCTTAGGGCAGAAACTCAAACTATCTTCAAACAACTTGAATGCAGTTTCTTCAATTCAGCTTCAAACCACATGCTCAACCCAGTGAATAATTGTAAAATTAAACAGTCTAAGACATATATTTGTGTAATTGAGTTCTTATGATACTCCTTTTCAGTGCCATCACTCACTGTCAGTTATATTGTCCATTATACCTCCCTGAACTATCTTTTTCCATTTGTTGGGGTTTTTCCACAATCCTCATCCATGTAATAATGTATTAGATTAGTTTTCACAGCTATTGTATTAGGTTGGCAAATGAGTCCTTTCAATTTTTCAGGTTGAAATAAAACTCAATGTATTACAGACATAAAATTTATTTTAATGTACAATATATTGACCATTATTTAATATGACTTTTTCCCATCTTTTCATTAACTGCATAATGCCATGTTCATAGAATATCTGGAGTTTATTGTTAAAAAACTGATCCAAGTGGTTTTTGATGTCCTCTTCTTTTTGGAATTTCTTGGGGCAGGAATAAGTGATAGTTACTTGGAGCTAGGGCTGGTGAATAGGGAGAGTGGGGCAAAGGGTCCCATCCAAGGCTCAATAATTTATTGCGATTGACCAATGAGGTGTGGGACCTACCGTTGTCTTGGTGGAACACAACACCCTTCTGATTTGCCAGTTCTGGGCGTTTTTTATTAATTGATTGATCCAATTTTGTTAATTGTGAGCAGTATAGAGTTTAATAAATTGTTTGTTCTGATGGCAGTAGCTCATGGAGAATAACACCCTTGAAATCCCACCATATGGAAAGCATTATCTTCTTTGGATGCATTCCGGGTTTTCACATTCTTTTATGGACTTCATTATCGTAAAATATACATTTTTCATCTCCTGTTACCAACCTTTTCCAAAATGGGTAGTTTTGCTGCTTTTTCCATAGTAAATTACAAACAGAAATGTGTGTTGCCAAGCTGACTTCGGTTAGAAAGTGAGGGACCAAAACATTAAGGCTGGAAACATAGTCGACCTTATGCAACATGTTTCTACAGTTTTGTGCGACACATTTAGAATCATAGCAATCTCTCGGACTGATTGGGTGGGATTTTGATCAACAATGGCCTTAACATTGCTCCCAATTTCATGTGGGCGAGCAGACCGTAAAGCATTTTTGACGTCAAAATTTCCTGAATGAAATTCAGCAAACCAATTTTGATAGGTGCGTTCGGTTAAAATATCATCCCCATAAACACTGCAAATTTTTCTATGAGCTTCTGCGGCATGCTTACCTTTTTTAAAATAATACAACAAAATATGACGATAATGAATGATATTTCCTTCCATATTCACAGTGTAATAGCAAACACAATACTAAGCTAGTTTCAACAAGAGTTAACAGATATAGTTGTTGACATATTACAAACAGGATAAACAATCCACCTTAAGGATTAAGTCATCAGGTAAGAAATGTATCATAGTGACATAAAAACAAACAGAAAAAACGAAAGGACTTATTTGCCACCCAATATAATAAAAACAATCCAGAATTGAGAAAATGTTCCTGCTTGTCTGTGCCACAGTCTAATAGCAAGGTTGAAAATTGGTATGATAAAATAAAAATAAAAATGACTTACGGAGGTTGACTGTCTTCTTTTTTCATGTCTCTTGACCCATCAGATGGAAGCAGAGAGCTATCTTCAGGTGGTGGCAAAGCAGGCATTATCCTCAGAGGTCCAGATTTTTCTTCCTCTTTAACTTCTACAACTGGCTCTTCAATTTGTGGTCCCCTCATCAATGAAAATATAATACCCCCAATATACCTAGGTAAAGATTTTTGTCAATATCTATCCATAGTATTTTTTTTATTAATATTTGATAATAAATAGAGTAAAATTGGAAATACACAAAGTGAAGGAAAATTAAGTGTATATTATGTCAGAATTATATATTGTTTAGTTTTTCGGTCAAGAAAAAAAAAAATTAAAAAACATTGAAATAAGTTTTTAATTATTATAAGCAGATATTTCAGAGTATACTTGTTCAACGCTACAATATATCAGAGAGATTTATACAGATTAATAAAAAATTACTTATTTGTCAGGAGAACTATTTCTTAGAAATGTATGTATTTCTTATACATACATAGAAATGTATGTATTATTTTTACTTTAGTTTGATTTTTAGTTATTTAACTTTATAAATTAAAATTGTAGAATGTTAAAGCTAGGCAGTTCTTCACTAAATCTAAATTTTGGGAAATTAAAAATAGAATTTCTCAGTTATATAGTAGAGAAGGAATAAGAATTTTTTAAAGGAAAATGTGGAGGAGTGTTTACAAATAGAGATGGTTTAAAAATTTCGAAAGAGGTATCACACACTTTCATGTTTCTGATGAAGGATTCTCAACAAAAAACATTTATATGAGAGAATATAAATATAAATTTATAAATAGGTACATATCTTGCCCACTGGAGGGTCTTATGCACTTAGTACGAAAGTAATATTTCTTTGTCAACGGTTGTGAAAAGTGATTTGATCGAGATCACCCTTAACATCCATGTTTTCTCCCTTAATTCATTATTTAAGATACCCACTCTTTAAATCAGATCTCCCTTTTATATTTCCTCAAGAAGGACTTGTAAGAGAAGACGAGTTTAATAAACTCATCTTTCCAAATCATCAGGTGTGAAAGAAAACTAGGACCGAAGAAACAATGAGGTGGATATCATACTAAGAGCAATATTTATGTAAGACACATCTATAAAAAGTGTAAAGTCTATTACGGTTGAGAGTTAAGAATGAACATTGGCAGAAGTGGTAGCTTGCTACCTGTTAAAAGAGCTGATCTCTGGATTTCTGCCCTTTAATTGCAGCTCTCTGAAACAACCTAAATTGGACCACTCCTTAATGGCCATAAATGTCTCGGAGAATGGCAATTTATACATCTTAAGAAGCGATACATCAATTAGAACTAGATTGTGAAGATAACTCATATATCCCAACAAATTGGAGAACAGCTCTTTTAACATTCAGTGATTCTTTGGTTTCTCCTTTTTGATTTTTCCCCTAAATTTTTTTAGCTATGAAGATGGTCAACATGTTTAGGCAGAAATATAATCCTATCCTAAAAAGATTTTCTTTTTGTCATCTTGACTGATAACCTGAACAACATATAATCCTCTTAAAAGTAATATAAAACCATAGAACTCAATTTGATAACTTAATTTCTATATAAAATATTGTTTGAGTACAGAATATGTTCATATAATATATATGTGACTATTTGCTTTGTGAATAAAAAAAATCTGGTGCGCCAATTATTATTTATATTTTTTTCATCACTCTCCGTTTCCTTCTACAACTTTCTATATTATATATTGTTTCTGTTTTTTTAATTTTCTGCTTTCCAATGATATATTATACGTATACCTTCTGGCTATTATTTCCGAATATTCATTTCCAACCTGGATAAGTATTTTTTTTTTTCTCCTTTATTTAATTATCAAATTCTTCCAAAAGTTATATTTATAATAAACCAAATTAAATGTACTTTAGAGGAAGACATGATAATGTTGGGATTTCACAAAGGGAAAATTCATCAAATTATTCACTAATTTAATTTTCTAAAAAGTTACATGACAATTTTCCGGAATAAATGTTGATACCTAATTATTTAAATATAATATCAGATCTATAATCACTAAACTACAGTAAATGTATTTAAGGTTATGAACATATGCTTTATACATCCATGAAATGATTTTACATTTTACTTCTTCTTTCACACAAGTACATTGAAATAGTTTTTTAACAATGCCATTGCCTTGATTAGGTGGATTTTAAATAATTTTTACAAACTTGAAAATATTTTTGTTAAGAAAGTTTACATTTAGTAAGTAAATTTCATTTAATTTCTTTGAAAACGCGTGATTTACATTAAATATTATTAGTTTTAAAAAATTATTATCAATATTTTTTTTGGCCACGCTCCGTTACCTTCTACAACCTTCTATATTAGATATTGTTTTTTCTAAAATTCTCTGCTATCTAACGATATATTATAAGTATACCTTCTGACTAGTATTTCTGGAGATTCATTTTCGACCTGGATAACCATTTTTATTTTTTTCTCCTTTATTCTATTATAAAATTCTTTAAAAAGTTATATTTAGCATTTTTTCCTAACATTTAATAATAAGAGATAGTTAGTTATTTAAAAAGAATCATATTAAAGGTACTTTATAGAGGAAGACGTATATGAATATTGGACATTTAAGCCTTGTAAAGTGACATCAACGGGAATAAGACCTAAATGATATTAAAGACCACTTAATTATATAATGATACACTGAGTTTAATCAAAATCATTAGAGCCGTTTTTGAGAAAACTGTAAAAATATGTTTCAGCGTTTATATAAAGTGGCACTTCCGGTTAGCTGATTTTAAGGAAAAAGTTGCTAGGACATCTAAGGCATATAACTATCTTAAATATGTAATATCAGTTACGTACAACTTTTCGTTTTTGAGCTAGAGTGTTCACATACACACAACCATTTTTCGGGACTTGGTTATTTGGACTCAGGGTACCTCAAAACATGTGTTGAAAACTCAGACTCGAAAATTTTCATGATTACAATACTTACCCTTACTATATATTACATATATAGATAAGCAAAAGTAAAAAAAAATTAATAGAAGCCAATAGCCTTATAAAAGGCTGAATAAATTAAATAGTGATGTAATAGACAATATGATAATGAATGTTAAAATTTATGCATTAATGAAAATGCTTATACTTACTTTAGTACAACTGATACAGAATATCCTGAGTAATAAAACATGTAGAAAAATAGTTTTATAAAACCAATCATTAGTTCAATAATTGACATTTGCTGCATTTCAATAATTTTATGTTTAATATTGCTAGGAGATAACATTGAGAACATAAAGTAAATTCCATCTTTAGTTGCTTGCCAACCACGTCTGATTGGATTCCTGGAAATATTATAAAATAATTAATTGTCATTGAAAAATAAAAAAAAGAGTAAAATAATGAAACAGTAAAAACCTTTCTTCATCTTCATCTTCCATATAAGAATAAGAGGATGCTCTTTGTTTTCCTCCTCCAGAACCTGTACCATCATCAGTTGCCATAAGCCCACTGGCATGTGTCATCTCAAATATCGCGTCTTCACAAAAATTAACAAAAGCTTCCAATTTTTCTTTGTCACCTCCTTCAGTGACAATTGAATAGAAAAATGCTCGTTTAGATTCCTAAAAATAAAAAAATAATGTCACTTATGCTTTAATAAATATTTTATAGGTGTAACTGAAACTATCAGAACATAAATTATTTGAAACTGCAAGAGAGTATTATATTGAAAATGTAACTTCTCTATTGAGTCAATCAGTAAATCATGAAAAAGAGGCACAAATTACTTCAATTCATTATTAATTTATTTTTTAGTTTTAGTTTATCACGGTAAATTGGATCTAGATCACTGTCTTCAAAATAATTTTCTCAATATTGTACCTTTCTTCGTTAGTATGTAACTTCCATTACTACATTGTAGCAATAAAAAATCTGATTTTTCTTTTTGCTTTAAAAAAAATCTAAACTTTTGGTTGCTTAGAATATTCAGTATATATATAGAGAACTTTACGATAAATACCTTGATTTGAGGTTTTTCCCACTGTTCAATATTTGATTCTTTAATCTCGAAATATACACGCTCGATTCGTTTACTACTACCTAATATTTCAATTCGTCCCAGGAAAGGTTCAAAGTAATTAAGAACACTACCAGCTGTTTCTAAAAAGCGAGCAAGTCTGAAATATCAAACATCATTATTAAAAATATATACAATTTTATTTAAATATATATATTTAATTATTTGACTAAACAAAGTGTAAGTTAACTAAAAGAGATATCTTGAAGTTAAAAACCAAAATTATAATATGTTCTAGATAATAGTGAATATTTAGGATAGGGCTCAGAAATATTTAACACTTTTTTTTTTAAACAGTTTTTTCTATATATTAAATGCTTTTTATACAAATCTAAATTTAATTTTTATTTTTTAAATGAAATTGTCTATAACTGAACTTCAAAACTTTAGAAAGATCACTTCTATAATCAGATTTTGTAAAACAAATATGTATAAAAAAAGCCAATAACTTTTCCCCTTAAAGCAGAATTTTGGCACACATGACTGGACTTATGTTTGATTGTCTGATGCTGTATAGTAAAATTTTGTGGTAAAAATTGATATTATTTCTTTTAAATGAATGTTTTTTATAAATAACAAAGAGCAGATCAAAACAATACTATTTAGAAATATATTTTCTTAATTATTTATTTTCTTGTAGAACTAACTATATATAATACCTCGGTTCATTTGGCATATGCTCAGATAAATTTGTGAGAAGAACAGCTAGGTTAAAACCAATTTCCTTGGCCGGCTCATGGAATCTATCCGTGAAGCCAACATAGTCAATTTTACCGTCATGATTGGTTTCACAGCACTGTAACATGAAGTCTATTTCTTCTCTATAAAACAAATAAATAATTAATAAATTATAGAAATAATAGAAACCACATTAAAGTTAATATAAATGTGAAAGTAATTACGGAGTATAACTTTTCTGCTGTTCCATTTTTTCTTTAAAATCTTTAGGTGTTACCCAGCCTTCATGGTTTGGATCAAGTTCCTAAAAGAGAAAGTGAAAAAAAAAATAATAAGAAAACATTACAATAATTACATAAGTAAATAAAAACTAATTCTTCATATTAAATATACATTATTTATTAACCGTCTTCAACGTTAAGATTATAATTTCTTTTGAAATCATCTCTATCTCTTAGTAGAGTCAAACCAGAATTGGCTGACCCACAAACGCAATTTCATTTTATATTAAAACATCCAGCCCAGATGCACACACACATATTGCAGTGACTTTTCAGACTTTAAATGAACATTAATTATTTGTAAAATTTACGTTTAAAGTAATATTTCATTAAATTTAATCATTGCAAAATGTAGGAACGATTAATAAGGTCTTCATATTATTTATTTACAATTTTTTGTTTGCTTGATGTTTCAGGCTTTTGTTGTCCATTTTCAAAAGATGCTAATTATGAAAAAATGTAATTAATATTATTTATATCTTAATTGTTATTATAATAAATTATGTAATATTTACAATATAATATTGTATTGTATTGTTTTGTATTTGTATTGTATTGTATATAGCTCATTGTTTCAACAAAAGCCAGAAATGCTAAGCAAATAAAGAATAATAAACAAAGAATATGAAGACCTTATTAATTTATTACATTTGTAATTATTTTGGATATGAAACGTTATTCAAAAGATCTAGATGGCTAAGATTATTTCTGTTAAAGATGCCACTGTGGGAATGAAGTAGAGGAGGGAGAGGGAAAGAAATACATCATTGTAGTAATGTTAATTGAGGAAACACATTCAAGCATGATGGGATTGTCTCAAGGAAGGATGAAAGTACCATAACAGCTCATGAGGATTATCGAGAGTTATTTATTTAACAGAATATCCAGGTAATATATAGATGCTAGTTTAAAAACTTCCAAGATTAGAGGTTCTCTTTTAGGTTGCTAGTTATGGAATTTGAAATATGATGTATGGCTTAGGCTCTCTAAACTGTAAGAAACTATTAAGCTGGACTGCCTAGACAATCTTGTGAAAAAGTCTTGCATATTATAATATAATTATAAATATAAATAATTATTTACAAAGCTAACAAGTCTTTTATCACTGTTGATTTTTCATCAGTGGATCAGCTAGCCCATCATAAAACTGAGGCAGCACTTGTCACAAGAAAGTATGGGACAAGCTAGAGCTTACGATAGTATACAAGGATATAAATATTTAAAAATATGTAATAGAATAAAATATATATTTCTTAATTTCGGGCCTTGATTTTTGAAAGGAGTAGGGATGTTATTACCGAACAATAGTATTGATACGTATAGTATCTATAGATAATTACCAAGTATATCAAAATATCAATTAAAATACTGAAAAGAAAAACTTGGGCAACAGGTATGCTTGCTCATAGATCCTCACGTATCATCAATAAAAATCAAATTAATTTACAAGTAGTAAAAACAATGCCAATTTAAATCAACAGCTATACTCACCAAGAAGCTAGCAGAGGATGTTAAATCTTTCAATTTCAAAAACATGTCGAAGTACTTCAAAATCAACTATAAAGAAAAAATTAGAATAATTATTGCTGTTAAATGATTTAAATTTTAAATGGTTTTACAAAGATCTTATAAAATTAAAACTGTTTTGATCTGTCTGATCTGATAACAATAAAACTTACTTCCACATTTGAGGCAGATTCAACTAATGTGTCTACCATCTGTTTTCCAATAGTACCATTCACAACATTACCTGTAAACAAAGTTTTAGAAAAATAAAATCATTGCAATGAAATATAAATAAATAAACATACATTTCTTAAAAGCATACCTTCCAACATTGATAGCATCATTGTTATCATATCTTTCTGTAAATTCAAAAGTTCTTTCAGTAAGTCTACTTGACTAGAATGTTTTGATAGCTTATCTTGCATATGAGAGAAAAGAAACAAAAATCCTCCAACAGCATCCCACAATCTGCCAATAAGAAGTGATGAAATAAAAATAGCTGTATTAGATATTACAGAATGAGGTTTGTATAAATATGTGTATATATATTTAGTAATGTTGATTGAGGAAACAAATTCAAGCATGATGGGATTATCTCAATTTCACTTCATGTCAAATATATATATAAATAAGCATTTTATCAAGAAATATGCACATGTACTTTAAACCTATACAATATTTACTAATAACTTTTACTTTCATGGGATTAAGTAAGTATTTTTATTAACATTTGAACCATGCCATAAAGCATTTAATCAGCATTAAATGCATAAATGTATTTAATCAGTTGCTGTTGACCTAGAAAGGTAAAGGTTTCTCATAAAAGGCTTGTAATATTATTAAAATTATTTAAACTGAAGGTAAAAGTGTAATTGAACATTATACAGCCAGTAGAGTTACAATGGAAGAGGGGCTTAGAGCTAAATCAGAGGATATTGATGGACGATAGATACCTAATTATTTAAATATAATATCAGATCTAAACACTAAACTACAGTAAATGAATTTAATGTTATAAACATATGCTTTATACATCCATGAAATGATTTTATATTTTACTCCTTTCACACAAATACAATGAAATAGTTTTTTTAACAATGCCATTGCCTTGATTAGGTGGATTTTACATACTTTTTACAAACTTAAAAATATTTTTTAAAGTTTACATTTAGTTAGTAAATTTCATTTAATTTCTTTGAAAACATGTAATTTACGTTAAATATTATTAGTTTTTAAAAATTATTATCAATATTTTTTTTGCCACGCTCCGTTACCTTCTACAACCTTCTATATTAGATATTGTTTTTTGTAAAATTCTCTGCTATCTAACGATATATTATAAGTATACCTTCTGACTAGTATTTCTGGAGATTCATTTTCGACCTGGATAAGCATTTTTATTTTTTTCTCCTTTATTCTATTATAAAATTCTTTCAAAAGTTATATTTAGCATTTTTTTGTAAGTTTTAATAATGAGAGATAGTTAATTATTTAAAATAAATCATATTAAAGGTACTTTAGAGGAAGATGTATATGAACACTGGACATTTAAGCCCTGTAAAGTGATATCAACGGGAATAAGACCTAAATGATATTAAAGACCACTTAATTATACAATGATACACCGAGTTTAATCAAAATAGTTAGAGCTGTTTTTGAGAAAATTGTAAAAATGTGTTTCAGCGTTGGTGTAAAGTGGCACTTCCAGTTAGCTGTTTTTAAGAAAAAAGTTGCATCACAAAAAGACATCTAAGGCATATATCTATCTTCGAGCTAGAGTGTTCACATACACACAGACCATTTTTTGGGATTTTAAAAATTAGATTGGGACTGTTTAAAAATTAGACTAAACAATTTTCACGATCACAATACTTACTCTTACCATATATTACATACATAAGTAAGTGAAAGTAAAAATATAATTACTACTTACAAGTTAATAGTACAAAACCTGAAAAATCACTGCAATATGTATACAATGAAACTTCCAGTAGTGGACACTTTCCAGTAGCGTACTTTTCAGTTTCTGTTAAATGGACATTCCTCTATAGTGAGTAAAATTTTATTCCCCGTAGCTCTCCACTACTGAGAAATTTTGCTGTGTATAAATAGATACATTACTGTTAATTAGGTTAAGAATTGGAGTAGCTCGGTGGAAAAGGCACTATGCACTTTACTTCTGTTTAGCTATGGGCAGAAATTTCATTTTCTGTAATATCTGCCATGAATCAACTCTCCATGGGTGCATCCAGTCTCTATTAAGTTGATAGCTGACTATTGTTATGTTAGGAGATAAACCTGTAGGTGAATGTGGTGTATGACCACATCACTTCCTAATTTAATCTTAAGTCAAGGAATAGTATATCTTTACCTATGCAGTAATACAGATTAATTGTTGTTAGTTAATTAGAGTGGTGTATACAATGCCTATAATTTATATTTATTTAATTTATAACAAGTCTGGCATAACAATTTTTACTTTGGTAGCAACAAACCTTGAATGAGCCAGAGCTTGTTGATTTTGTGGGCATGGCCCTTGAATTACTTCAGAGAGTGTATTAAATACTTGACTAGCCACACCAATTGCTTTGAAAAAGTTGGCTTTTCCAGCAGGATCAATTAATTCTTTACTCGAATAGTGCCAATAGAAGTCCATAATTGATTCCTAAAAGAAGATTTATACAAGTGTAATGCAATGAATGTAAAAATAATTATAACATATATCAATTTCTTCAATTTTTTTTTAATTTTGCTTAGGAATGTATTTTGACTGATAGGCTTGCAATTAGAAAATGGCTTATTCGATTTGGCCCAAAATGAAAGGGAACAGATAAGTTTATAAATTATAAATATATAAATACATATTAACTGTATGACTTGAAATGGCTAACTATCCTATATAGCACAAACTATTTTAATAACATTATACATTAAAGATTAGATCATATCTCACTCAAAGTGACTTCTCATTCATTTGAGGTTTGAATTATTGAGTGTTGACTTTATTTATTATAAATAGATTGCATATAATAAATACATTTCTGTAAATTAACATCTCTCTCATTGTGCAAGAGAAAAAAAATATGTATAAGTACTAAAGAATATTATTTAGCAATAAAATTACTTATTTTTTAACTAAAAAAGTTTATTAATTACAAATTTTTTACTTTGTGTTTATAGTTTTGAATATAAATTTTTATTCTAAATTAATAGAATATCATTACAAAACGTATTTGCATTTTGTTTACCTGTAATCTCAAAAGGTAATCAACAGTACAAATAACAACATTAACTGTTGTTGTATTTCCAGCTTGGGTTCTAAGATAATTCTGCCATTCTGAAAAAAAGAAGTACATAGAAAAAAATTAATTTACTTTTAATACTATGACATTACATTTAATAATATGTATAAATGATTCGTACAATTATATTCTTGATTTATTTACAAATAATCGCTATTCAATAACTAAATACAAATGTTGTGTAAAGAAATTGAAAAAAAAAAGTGATGTACCTGTATTTTAACATGTTTAATCCCTAGTTAGTAATAAGAAATGCACACTCATGAAAAAAATTGTAAGGAGTATAACCATATTTATATCATTCAATAAATTGAATTGCAGTAAATAAATGAATTTCAAAGGAACAATCTGAGAAATGCAACTCAGGGTTTACAATAATGATATTGACAGTACTAATACTCTGATTAGATTGTGTAATGCTTTCAGATTTAACTAAATTAAATGAAATAATTATTACTGCATCACTCCAAGTACACCACTCTTTCAATTTAACAAAAAAATATTTATATAAAGTTAATTCAATCACTTTAACTCGTTTATAAACTGGATTACTTTCATTCCAGAACATTACTTGTATTCCTTAGAGAAGTGGACAAATATAAAGAAACTAGCAGCAATATGTGCGTTTATGCAGATAAAAGTAGGCGAAGAGAATGCTGTGGATTGTCAAAAGTAAAATGGAAAAAAGTTCCATAAAATATATTATCGCTGCTACAACATCTAGCATATCTTTGGCATTGGATTTAAAGTGAGAGAATGAGCTAATTAGCTATTAATGAAGTTCACACTAATAAACCAAATAAGTGAATGAATGACCAATGGTCAGAAATAGACCAGTTATATATAACAAGTGCGAACGGCGCTTTCTTCTCTTTCAAAGGTATTGAAACCCCAAAAGATTTCTAAAAATATCATATTAAGAGTGTATGATAAAGGCAGTTCTGATATACAGCTATGAGACCTGGACACTATCATCCTAGAAAGAAGATGATTGGAGCGAATTGGGATCACAGAACTAACTCATGGAGATGAAGGACCAATAAAGAACTGCACACATAAATTAGTCGATCTAATGACATGGAGGCAAGGAAGTTAAGATGAGTAGGGTTTGTAGCTCAGAGCAATCTATCAGAAAGGCTCTATACAACAATGAATGCCTTAATAGAAGGCAAGAGACTACATGTAAGGTTAAAAACCAGATAGATTGAATAAACAAAGATGTTGCAGAGCTGCATGCAGATAATTGGAAAGTAATGGCCCTGAAGTACTCAGAGAAGAAACCTGGCCTGGTTAATGCGATAAAGATTAGCAAGGATGTTGAAGCCAACAGGAAAACAAATTCAAGGAGTAAAAAATGGGGTCAAATAAAATCGACATCATAGTATAATTAATAAAAGCAAAATTTTCCTGGATAGAAGAATTTTACAGAAGGATGATCAATTTTAAAAATGATGTGATTTAAATAACAATAAATCTAGTTATTTTGCCTCTCCTATAAAATTGTATAATTTGCAGTTCTGTCACTGTTTCATCAGATGAGCGATACAAATTATTTTAGTACATTGAAACTCACAGGTAGTTTCATGCTTTTTATAAATGATAAACCATAAAATAAATAAATTCTGTTTATGTTCTAAACTAGAAAATAATTTTAATTTATTAACATACAAAGTTATATAATTAAAAATTCATTAAAATAATAATAAAAACAACAAATTTTTTATGAACAAATAATAAGGCTACTGAAAAAATAAAATATAATGATATGATTGATTGATAACTTAAATTGTGAATACTATGTTTAAAAATTTACCTAAGTTATGCCCTTCACAGGTAAGTTGAATAAATCTGAAAAGAGTACAGGTGAATTCAGCATCATGCATGTTCTTTTCACCAGCAGCACCTTCTGAACCAACTCCTAAGCCTTCAGCTTTTGTGTTTCTTTCAAATGCATCTAAATCCAACACACTATAAAGAAAATATCTTGTAAATTAGTTCAATTATCGGTACAGAAAATTTTAATTCCATTTAAACCCCATAGAGGGAGTGAGTTTCTAATGCTTAACAAACTTTCTGACAAATAAAGCATTTTTGAATAATTATATTATTTGAAGATATTTGGAACTGTAGACCATCATATATTGGCTAGTTGATTTTTAGATGTTAAACGCTAATTTATCAGGAAGTCAACTCAGTATTAAGTAGTGATAATATGTTCTTTCTATTTATTTATCATAAATTCTTTTCAAATATCATTGTAGAAATCGACAATGAATAACATTTCAGAAGGTTTTCAATGCTTTTAAATTATCAATGAATTATTAACTAATTACGTAATTTAAAAAAATGATCATCACACCATGAGGTTTAAGTGTGTTTAAACAGCCCCATGCACCGTTTCCATATTAAGTATTCCTGAAGATTATGTGATTAATAACTATAAAATATATTTAAAAAATTGGAATTTTATAGGCATTTGTGGCATAGTTTTAAACAGATATATATTTAGCCATACTATCTCCATTACCAATTTTGTCGAAGGGAGATTCACCGCTATAGAAGAACATAAATAATTTTACAGAATTAAAAATATTAAATACAGAATTAAAAAGTTATAATTGGGAACATTAATAACGAATGCTTAAGTGATCGATTAACACCCTAGGATTCAAGTAAGAGGTTAAGAAGTAACTATGATATTTTGTTTCCTAGTTGTTCTGAAAGTTTATCTCAAAGTACTCTCTACATTGAGTTATGCCATAGGAGACATAAAATACAGAGTGTAACCATAAACAGATTCAGAAAGTTTGTTTTACCTGCAGGAGTTCATCAAGCCAGCTATAGAAGTAAAAAATCCAACATCCTTTTTTTCTTTCAAATGATTTAGCATACCCTAAATAAATTAAAATGAGTTTACATTAATAAATACATCATTTAATATTGGAAACTTATTAAATATTTACATAATTTATTTTAATTACCATTTGAATATCAAGATTACCACCACGTAAAACAGAAATACCTAGCTGGAGAGTTTTCATAACCATTTCACTGGGAACACCTTTACAAGCTGAAATATGTAACAATACCATTTCTGCAACACCTCTGTTGGCTAGCCGAGCTTGATGGAATAAGAGTTTCTGTTTTTCCATTTCTTGTTCCTTTAAAAATATAAATAATAAATTTAATATTCTACAAACATTTATATAAACCAGTCAATTACTTAATATTTAATCACTAATTATCTTAAGATCTATCTACTTACAATATTCACAATACTGGATTAATAGGTACTATTCTTTATTTATCATTTTTAAAAGTCCCAGATGTTCTGGGTTTAAGTAAAATAAGTTTTCTTGTTTAGAATAAAGTTTCAGAAAATTAAGTTTAAATATTGAACTAACTATCCAATTCAAGAGAACCAAATCTTGATTTAAACATGAAGGTATATATACAAATTATTCCGGGCTCATAGCTGGGTATGAATTTTGAAAGTTCTAAGAGAAATAATGATATAAATTTGAAACTTCAGAATATTCCTGTGTTTATAAACTGTGTATATATGAGTAATCCTAAATAAAAATATTAACCACAATTTTACAAAATTAAGCAAAATGATACAAAAATTGCCAGACCTAAAACTTAAAGCTTGTGACCAATAATGTCTTATAGTTTTTAATATTTTTAATATTCATAATTATCTTGATATATTATTTCTCAAAGATATGATTTGTTGGAAAACCACATCTTCCATAATATTTATCAAATTAAATAATTGAGCCATCATTTTGAAGATTATATTTTCCGTCAGAGACGAAAAATAAGCACTATTCAGAAAGTATTAAAAAAAAAGTTATGAAGAAAAGAAAACTTTATTTGTACTTAACTCAAAAAGTAAATATTTTATGGCTAATTATATTCATGGTAATTTGAACAATTTATAAATTTCTTGCAAAGCAAAATAATTGAAATCAGACCATTATCAGCAAAGATACAGTCTATTGGATTTTGTACACATGTTTATTATTTCAAATAATGAGCCATTGTAATCAACAGAGAAAAAAAAATTAATTTCTCCACCTCAAAATTTAATCTATTTGCTAATTTCAATTTTTTTATTGCTATTGGATCACTAACCTAAATATACTACGCAAATTGTGCACATGGGTCAACTAGTTATCTGTAATGAAGTTTATAACTTATTTAAAACATTAATTGTTTATTCCATGCCCATAAATGTCAAATTTTAGACAAAAAAATATTAGAATAGATATGATATAAATTATACTATTAAGAAAGTTATCATAATGTTTAAAAAATAAGTTACCACTAATTTTGCCATTGTCTTCTGAAATGAAGCATTAAAAAGAAAATGATATGTTAGTTCATTACATTAGAACTATGATATTTTTACATATTTCTAAGAAAAAAAATTATTTTTACATGGATAGATGCCCCTCCTTCTTCGTCTCCACCTTCTTCCTCATCTCCACCTTCTTCTTCTTCTTCTCCACATGATCTAATGGATATATCACACAATTTATTATTAGTTATGACTTATTTAGCGTTAATTTTAATAAATAAAAACATATTTTTGAATGAGCTAGGATATGCAAGATAAATGCATGGGTCCTGGAAAGATGGATAAGAACAATGACAAACAGTGGCTTAGAGGAGTAGTTTAAGAGGAGTAGCTTGTGAAAATGCTTCAAAAATGGTCAGCGTATATGTGAACAGATTTTTTAATTCTGATTCAAGATTACAGTCATTTTAATGATCTGATCATAAAAAATTAGTGTATTTTATAATATTTAATGAATCTAATATTAAAAGAATCTTAAATCTATTATTGAATTAACCTAAAAATCTAATATTAAATGAATCTAAAAATCTAATATTAAATTAATTTAAATTGAATGAAATATTGTAAAAGGATACATTAACCAATTTTCACAGATATGTCAATTAACAAAAGATCAATTGAGTGGCTTCATATCAAAGACGGACATCTGTCATTTTCAGAGAGTGGCGTGGAGCTTGAGAAGCCAATAATTGTTTCCAGAAAGACATCTCAAATTTTCATTTTTTATACTTACATCTCCATAGTGGTATTAAGACGCAAATTATGAAGTTGATTCTTTGTGAGTGAGACAAAAAGTGAACTTTGGGCCATTCAGGGAGATGGTTCGAAAATTGAAGTTGTAAAATTATAGTTTTATTGTCCTTAATATAATATTAAGGGCAATGGTAGCAATCAATGGTGGCACAGTTCTTCCTGTATTTGGAGTATTGTACGCTTCATTGTTGTATTTTTAGCTTCAATCTTTGAGAACAATTGAGTGGTTTCATATCAAAGATCTCTCATTTTTAACATGTTGAGATTTAATTTAGACCAATTCTAATTATTGTTTTTCGTAATTCAACTTGAATATTCTTAAATAAAATCATCAGGAACAGTTCGAATTCAACCTATAAAACAAAAATTGACTTTCTCTCCACTTTCTGAAAACAGATGTTCGTCTTTGATATGAAGCTACTCAAATGATCTTTTGTTAATTGATATCCGTGAAAATTGGTTAATGTATCCTTTTACAATATTTCATTCAATTTAAATTAATTTAATATTAGATTTTTAGATTCATTCAATATTAGATTTTTAGGTTCATTCAATAATAGATTTAAGATTCTTTTAATATTAGATTAATTAAATATTATAAAATACACTAATTTTTGATGATCAGATCATTAAAATCTTGAATCAGAATTAAAAAATCTGTTCACATATACGCTGACCATTTTTGAGGCTCGTTCCCCATTCTTAAGATAAATAAAATTTTAATTCTTGGAATAATTTGATATTGTATCCTCCACATTTTTATTCTAAACAAAACAAGAAATGTTTCTTGGTGAAATAAGTAGTTATATTATATTTTCAAATTTATTTCTCTTAAATGGAAATATAAAATAATTTCACAGAAATTTACTGGTACAGATAGAATATTGGTACAAGTAACTTGTGAAGATAAATAAAATTCTATCTGAGAATCAGAATAAATTAAAATTCATAAATTTCAAATTTCTATTTGTAACAGAAGAAAAATAAGAAGAAAGGGTTTGTTGAAAAATATAGATGAAGTACAGAGAAACAAATTAAGGAAGTGAGTGCTCATAATACTAAGGAATTAAAAAAAAAATTGTCCTTAGTCTAAACAAATCTTAAATCTATTTTTAACTTACTTTGCAGTAATTTCTGCATAGGACATATAAAGTGGATCTTCTTGCAAAGCTCCACTCCTTTCAGTCATTGCACCCCGACAAAATGTTGTAACTAATTGGGTAAGTGGATCAGGTTTGCTTTCATCTTCTTCAGAATCTCTTTTTTTCAATTCAGCATCTTCAAAAGTTTGCTATGGCAAGAAAATATAATAAATTAACATAAGAAAATTAAATAAACACCATCAATATTCTACAAAAAAATAATCATCAGTTTAAAAAATAAATTATCCAATTTCTATCAAATGAAAATATAATGGCATATTGAAAGGTTTGGCCAAATAACAGTTTATGTGGTTTTATTACTTTCACTTATCTATGTATTTTTCTTTTTTTGGGTCCTCCCTTTCCTTGCCGTTAATGCTATACAGGATTTTCCCGGGCCAGGGAGTGTGGACGGGGACCAGGACGTGAACTCGTAACTAATTTTTATATCATTTGAGTATATATCAGGTTGCCGGGCAACGGCGGTGCTGTGCACAAGCTTTTATTTATCTATATATGTAATATATAGCAAGGGAAAGTATTGCGATTTTGAAAATATTTGAATGTTTTCAACAGAAGTACATGTTTTAAGATCCCTTGAGTCCAAATAACCAATACCCACAAAATGGTCTCGGTGTATGTTATCAGTCTAGCTGAAAAAAAAGAGTCGTATGAACGTGAAATTGCATATTTAAGGTTTTTATATGCTTGAGATGTTACAGCAACTTTTTTTTTTCAAAATCAGCTAACCGGAAGTGGTACTTTATAGAATTGATTTAACACATTTTTAATTTTTCTCAAAAATGGCTCTAACAATTTTGATTAAACTATCAATCAAGATGGCTTTTGGTCTTCTCGTCGTTCAAAGTGAGCCTGTTGAGGTTTGACAAGCACTTATTCTGTCAATATCTTCTTGGAGTTTTATGGTATCTGAGGAATCAGACACATTGAAAGAGAGATAAATTTGAACGTAGTCGGCATACAGACGGTATTGAAAGTGCAGGATAGAGGATGGGAGGTCATTTATATAGATGGAAAAAAGGGTAGGAGATAGGGAAGAGCCTTTTGGGACGTCTCTGGACAAGTGTAGAGATTCTGATGGGGGACTATTTGAGATTACAATACTCTGGGAGCGACCGGTAAGGAAGGATTGGAATCAATTAAAGGCACTAGAAGAAAAGGAGATATTTTTTAATATGCTCCCCTCAAAAATTCCAAACCCCGTCAAAATGTGCTCCCCTCAAAAATTTTAATGACGCAACTTGTGCCATAAAAGATGTAAGCTTTAAGCTATAGCTCCGTTAAAAATGCACTTCAAACATTTTATAATAGCTCAACTTTGCCAATAATAATTTCTATTCAAAGTAGAGCAGTAAGTGAATGTTGTGTGATTTTTTTTTAATTTACAGGAGATCAATAAAAGTTGACCCTTAAATAAGACATCTTATTTTTTCTTGAAAGCAACTGTGGCCATCATTTTGCCAATCTTTTATGGCCAAAGCATTATGGTGACTTTGTGTTAAGAGCATTTAATTGAACCTACATAAAATGCAATTTAGTCAAAAATCCAATTTTACAAGGAATGTAACATGAATGGTTATTTATGGTATCTGGCCAAAAAATTCTATTAATTACTTCAGTTTTTGTATATTATTATGATTTTTAGATTCAAATTTAAAATGTAGTGCCAGGTTTGTGTGAATAAGTAACCTTAAAACAAGAAAACAGGGTATGAGAAAGAGTTGGGGAACACTCTTTTTTTTTCAGCTAGACTGATTTGTCCACTAGAAATCCTTGAGTCAAGCACATAATAAACAATAGCAAGACATTAACACACCTCCAATAAATGGCATTTTTAAGATATGAAGAGTGTCATGTTATTTCTAATAGAATTCAGAAGGTCAGCAATAAATCTGAATGATTTGTGGAGTGAAACCATCAAATGGATATTTGTAATAATAATTAACTTAACTTATAACTATATTAACAATTATATACTGAATAGATCTTAAGTAATTTTTTTTTTTAATTTCATTATAGGACTCATAGGATCATGCATGAATGTAACGGAGCCTCAGAAAACAAATTAGAATTAAATTTATTTTAAATTTCATTAAAAAGTTAAGATAAAATGAACAATTTTGTTAATTAACAAATTTAAAGTTTTTATAATAGGTTTGGGAAATAATTCATATTAATAAACAAACCTAGACCCACTACAATAATGTGGTAAAGGAAAATATCTTCCTTGATGTAATGCTTATGTTAAATGCAGAGTTGATGTCAATAAAAATTATGTTTAAACATATTTTGATTTAGTCAATGGTTGTAGTAAATTAGTAATATCTATTCTAAATTACACTTTGACTTTTTTGATCTAAAATTTTGTTTTTTCCCTGATTATCCAATTATCATTAAAAGGTATTAAAAGTATCCAATTTTAATTCATTAGAAAATCACAATTTCATCTTCAAATAAATGTATATATTTTGTAACTTATATTGGAGAGCTAGAGAAATACAAAATGTTGGTTTTAACTTAGTATAATATGAATTCGCCCTCAGACTGCTAACTGATCATGTTTGAACTAAAGCACAAAAAGTATGTCTTAAAGCTGTACAATAAAGGATATATCACTAAACATTTGAATGAAGGAAAACAACTTACTGTAAGATCTTCAATCATAATTTCTTGACCAACATTCTCTTCTTGCAGCCACAGCTCACAATAAGCACGAGCAAATATGTTAATTACTCGATGCCTGTAAATGTAATGAAATTTCAAGTAAGAAAAATGGTAATGAATAATTCCAGATAACTACAACAATAACAATTTTATTTTAATTCGAAGTCAAGAAATTATTAATATACTAAAAAGCAAATTTATAAACTAATGATAAATGCATAAATTCCAAAATCATTTTAAATACAAAAGAACATTGATTATCAAATGTTTTAGTTTCATAAAATAATTAATAAGAGTGACAACTGAATAATAGTTTAATGCCATTTTTATTATTATTATTATTATTTATTTTTTACCTTGGAAGAGTATACAAAGGTTGAGTTCTAAGACAAGCAATAGCAGCCCGTTTTCTCGCTGCTGAAAGAACTCTTTTCCATCCAGATTGGTGAGGTGGAGGTTTATTTGCATGCTATTAATAAAAAAACCAAGAACAAACAAAAAGCAAATTAAGAAATTAGTCAACTCAGGAAATGTATCAGTAATTTGTGAGGTGAAATACAATTTGAACAAGGACGCAATCATAATCAAGTCTAATAATTGGAATATAATCTACTGGATCAAAATCAAACATTAATAAATTACATTATTAAGTTCAGGAACAAAACAGCCTTTTATTCATCAGAATAAAATAAAGAATCACACTAAGCATAAGTAATATTATTATTTCTTAATCTTTAAAAAGCTTTTTCTTGAATCACTTAGTTATAAAAATCAATCAAACTAAGTATACTAATATTATAAATAACAATATGCTAGTAAATAAAAAAAAAACTTTATTGATCTTCTGTCCCACAAATCTCCTTTATTATTTAATTTTAATTTGCATATACCTATCAGCCATTGGCCATCTTCAGCATATCTGAAAAAACTTTTTTTACATACATTTTGCTCAATATACAACATTTTTCCTAACTCTCAATTTATCTATAAAAGTTACATATTGAGCAAAATTTATATACTGTTTTTTTTCAGATATGCTGAAGAGGGCCAATAGCCAAACGTACATATAAATTAAATTTACACAATAAAGGATATTTTTGGGATAGAAAATCGAGAAAGCTTTTTTATTTATAAACATAATTTATTGGCGTCCCATCCATTCTATTCATAAAAATTATAAATAGCTTTATGAATCAAAATTTTAAGGAATACCAATGAAATTCAGGCCATGCAAACAAGCAGTGAAGTATAGTCAACATTTTATTTAAATTATGATTAAAGAAAAGCATGAATAAATCAAACTGATTTTATGAACATAAAAATAAACTAATATTTTCAAACAGCCACAGTAAAAAAAATTCAGTCAGACTATTATGTATATATTTCTTATTTTTTTGAAAATAGAATGAATTGTTGATTATTCATACAATGTAGAAGTGTTGTGTTGGATTTATATTAAATGAATGTTTTCATTAATAATAATCATATTAATTTTTAATTCTACCACAGTCTGGTTCTAAGCCAACATAGAGAAAGGAGAAGGGTTGCACATGGGGCTTCCAACTCTACCTTGTTAAAATACCTACCGCAATGAGACCTAAAAGAGTTGTAGCCCAACCGAATTAACAGAAAAGAACAAAGAATTGTCATATAGACCTAAAAGTGGAACAATGGAATATATAGTCACTTTGATAACTCCTTTAATAATCAGAACAATATAAAATGTACTTAGTCGCTATACAGAAGGGAAGATGGAAAAGAAAGATAATTCTAGAGAAGCATTCCCACACTGTCTACTATAGCTCCTAAGAACATCAACATTAACTTGGAGCAGAATTTTTTGTCAATGGAAAAACCAGAGGTCTGTTGACTGATTCATCCTGGTCAGCAGAATAATTAATACCTGAATAATTATACCATTCTCAGCTAATATACGTAGTGTGAGGTATTACCTGATGATGAAAAGCAAGGCTTTTATGATTATTTGGACAGAAAAATTAACTACAACAAAGATAACTATAACCGAGATTAAGGTGACCAGACATCTTGCTTTTGACGGATCCCACTGTGTCTAGAGACCGTGTCCAGCTGTTTTTTAAAAGAGTCCGATTTTTGGAAAGAATGTACAAGAAAAGGAATGGCAGAACGGAAAGAGAATATAAGGTTTTCAGTGGCCATGCAGTTATTTCGCCAGGATATGAGTTTAACAAATAATTAGTGAGAACTGATTATCAAGAACTGCTGATCCAAGATTGCATTGTTGATGAATTGTTAGAATTCGGCCACCATTGTTCGGACTTAATAAACAATCCGAAAATGACCTTTTAATGAGGTATCATTATTAAGACAAATATATTGATAAGGAAAAGAATGAATCTTGGTCATCAGCAAGTTAATTTCATTTGCTACTTTGATTACCGAAATTTTTTCACCTTCAATAAGTTTTGTAGCACTTCGAAAAAGATCTTGATTGTTTACAAACTGTTGGCACAAAATATCTGTCATAAAATCTGTGTTATTATTGAAGTCATAAATTAGTTGTGTGACTGCAGTGAAGAGAGGATAGGAGAAGTGATCCTGGCTCCAGTGGAAAAAAAACCAGTAATAGTATTACCATCTTGGAAGTTGTTGTTTGGCAGAGACTAGTTGTTTGGAATATATACATTATTTTTAGTTTGTATAACTTTTTACATTACTTTTTAATTTTTAATACTGTGTATTGTAATAATAGTTAAGATTCATGAGCCATCAATCACTACAGTTTATTATTTACCAGTATTGGTCATATAATATTATATCTCTAATTGTATTTTAAAATTTTCAGCCCTGACGATAACCTACATGTTTGGGTTGAAATGTTGGCACAAATAAAAAATTTTTATAATGACTACGTCCTGAATATTTATCACCCATAAAACATTTATGAACTTAAATTGAAAATTTAAATGATTCAGATACCCATCTCATATGGAATCACATTTCTAAAATTGAAAAAACTCCTATAATATTCAAAGATTTTGACGATGGATTAGAAGTAGCATAAATCTTAAGTGAAGAGAAAATTTTAGATCTATCTGAGGACGTTGGTGGGGAAGATGAAGAAATTCTTATACGTGCATTGTTTTACATTTGTTGTAATCATTTTTATTGTTTTTTATTTTTACTCCATATTATTGGAAATCTTGACAATTCACATTTTACTCTCATTTCTTTGACAATACAAATTATGCAGGGATATCTACTGTATCATTTAATATATATTATATAAAAAAGTTTTAAGTGACTTTCATATTTTATTTTATTTTAGTGTTAAGAAAGTAGGATATAACAGGAGCTTAACTTAGTGCTGCTATTCTATGGTAATTATTTATATTATATTTTAATATAATTATAATTATTATGAAATAGAAAAGGCAGCACAACATAACATTCAATGAAAATATTAGAAATAAAAGGCTCAAATTATTGTTGGGTTTATATGAAGTTGAATATATGTTATGGTTAAAAATTGGCAATAAGGCGCGATGTATAATATAGCTTTTTAAAGAAATTAAAAATGTATCTGAACTGTGGTTTAGATCAGTTTATTTTTTGTTGATAAAAAATAATACAATCTGAACTACAGAATACATGTAAATTAAAGTTATATAATTTGAGCAATGATTAGTATAATTAAATATACAGTTGTATAATTTATAAAATGGGGATTGGTCCGCCATTAGGTGGACAGGGGGTATCCCCTAGTATAATATAAAAATATTATATCATATCATATAAGTAATAGAAAATAGAAATATTGTGGATTAAACAGCCCAACATTCAAATAAAGGTAAGGAAGAGAAATGTGAATCAAGAAGGCTGAGCAAATTGAGAGGGAGAGAAAGTCTTAAGAGGACTGCCAAAAAAGAGAACATAAACTTACGTGTAATATTACCAGGATTATCAGTTCTTTACTTACTAATTAATCAGATGAAACTGTAGTAGATAGCTCCCTGTATTTACTCCTTTATGTGACATTGTGTAAGGGAATGAGAAGGAATATATAGGAATGTAAGGTTGCACGATGAATTGTACTCAATTGTGCAGTGGACAAATTGTTCATTGAAAAGTCTCATATTGATAAACAAACGATGAAGAAGGGAAAAGGTCCGACCAGGTAGTAGCAGCTGGAGAAGGACGCCAGGGAGAGAACAAGGCACTTGAGGCTGGGACACGAAGACGAAAGGATGTTACCTGAGAAGAGAAGCCTACTACACTGAAGACTAATAAGATAAGACTATCAAGCCTACAGTTATACTTTAATAGATTCATTTATTACAGTTGTCAAAATAAATTATTTTATTATACAGGAGTGAAAAGTCATTTTATTTAGTTGTCCTATATGCCTCACAATTGAAGAATAACAAATCAGGTGAATCAATTCATTCAAAGTGTATTTACTAAGTCCCACATTTCATATATATATATTCTTATTGTTTCTTCTCACTCAGTATCACAAAAGTATTAGGTTCCCGAATTCCCAACAACAGTTAAACACCCTCAAAAAGTCTATATCCAGTGCCGGGGTTTTGTTTTAATATTCATTAATGTAAATAACCTAGTCTCCGATAAAACGGAAGGAATATTCATAATCCCACCCAAAGGAATATTTACATAAACCCTTAACAAGTCATTTACAAAACTGATAATGAAGAATCAATAAACAATAATAGGATATCATAGGACAGAAGGTTATTGAACAGAAATCATCAGGTTTAATTGCTTTAAATAAGGATTCAGAAGAACATTTGAAAGTCGAAGAGCTTAGTACTTGAGAAGCACATTTGTTAGACTGTTATGGAAGAAAACATATAATTTCTAATAATATATTTTAAATTTAGAAAATTGTGTAATTGAACTTAATTTTATTTTTAACTTCAGTTTAGTTATATTTATTTACAGTGTTATTAGAATATCCAAATTAAAAATAATCCATAATAACTTTCAGAAAGATCTGAAATTCAAAGCATTTATTTGCTGAACAAATTATTTATTGATCACTCTACAAAAATATATGAAATGTAGAGTATTTTTTACTTTATAAATTATTTATCATCATTTTCACATGTATTTATAACAAATGCTCCACATTTTCGTTACTAAATATATTTAATGAGCCAGCCTTATCAATGAAACAAGGTTTTATAGAAAGAACATGAAAATTTTTTGGAATGATGGAAAAAGTTGAAGATAGATTACATCCAGAAGTTGTATTATGCTCCATTTAAAGCCAATGTAACCAATGGCAAACAAATTCAAGCTCCAGTGACTTATTTACCCATTCAAGATAAAATATGCACAGAGACTGGCAATAAAGGAGGTGAAAAATAAAAATGGTCTAATTTTAATGATTTTTTTTTAGTTTTGTATGTAATATAGATATCTTAATCCTAGATTATAGTATACTTTTTGAGTTACAAACAAATAAATTGATTCATTCTTGAATAAATAATTTTCTACTTTTTCCTGGAGGATGTGCCTATTTTTTGGCAATGATTAATCTTAAAATGATAGTTTAATCTGTGGATTTGATGAAGAAATAAAGAAACTGTACTATGGTGTATAAAAAAAAAAAAATAATAATAAAAATAAATAAATAAAAATAACTTAGAGAAACAGTATATAAAGATAGGTACTGCACTGCAATTCTGCTCTGGTTCCAATGGGATCTTTTTAATTTTTAATTAACTTTAAAACAATTAATTGAGGAAATAATCAGAGATTTTAATATCTCCAGAAATATTTCAGTTACTAATTACACAATACCATATAAAATCAAGTTCAAAATAAAGCAGTTTTATATAAAACCAATTTGTCCCATCTCAATCTATTGATTTACCACTGTTCCAATTTAGAAGCCTTATGGAATAATAAAATGGAATAAAAAAACTGAGAGTATGATTTACTAAACTCCTGTGAAATTCTGAATGCAACAATAACCCCATTCATGGTATTTGAGCTTTACATGACCTTATATTTGGTAGAAAATGGATTTTTGAGGCTTGGTGAAATAATATATGTGGGGATACTACAGTTCCAGTATTATACAAACATTCATAGTAATAAATTAAATTAGTTGAAATTATATTTTATATTAGCTGGTTTTTATTATTTTGCAAAAAAATGCATTGTTTATCATCATCCATTTTCTGTGATTTGTAACTGGATTATTTATTTATATCTAGCTGTTGAGTCCAATCTCTTTTATGATGTTAATGACTTTATAGAAATGCTTTATCCCTAATAAACATTTTAATAACTAAAATTTAAAACTTTTGAGAATAAATGGTAAATTATATTTCATACATGATACCTACATGTTTAATTATTGTTTGCTAAATATTTATGATGTAAAAATCACTGGTTAAAGTCAAGGATTTATCAAAAAATGTACATTTTTCTTCATCATTGGTCACCTGCCCTTATTGTTGGTCCATGGTTTTTTAATGAACCATAAGTGTTATTTATTTACAAATTTGATTAAAATTTCAGTCGTTTTGAGGTCTTGAAAAATAAATAATTATTAAAAAAGACTTCATGAGCGGTTACACTACAATTCATAGTGTAATCATAGCTGATTTGTATTAAGTCTAGAAAAAGGAAAGAAAAACAAAGAGGGAAACAACTGTAAACTTCCAGAATCAAATAAAGTTAAGACACAGCAATACAAAAAAAAAAAAAAATAAAATAAATAATAAACAAAATAAAAATACAGAAAACCAAAACATAAAAGCAGACCTTGGTAAGGCATGTAGTGATAGTTGCCGGAAACAAGCTATGACAGCACGCTTTCTCTGTGTGGATACAACAGATCTGTATTGTGTCTTGCTCTGTAGTTGTGGATGATCAATCTAGTGAAACATACAAAGCAGCTAAAGCTCTATCATTAAAAAATAAAAATAAATTAAAATATAAACATATTTACAGTCTTTGTGCTTCTAAAAATTTAAACTGGAATATACCTATACTATAGATTGAAAGAAAAGAATGAAAATTTAAAGTGAAAAGAATATAAAGCTGTACTAATTTAAGATCATAAAGATGATTCAAAGAGAAAATATATGCTCAAGAAAGAAACCTAACTAAATTAACTTCCAAAACTACAGCAGAACTATATAAAAAAGTTTAGCAAATAAAAATATTAGATCAATGATAAATAAGGGTGGATAATTAAAAACACTTACCATATGAAGCCCAAAAAGAACTTTTGCCATAGCCACAATCCTATCAACTACCTCATCGATTTGCTGTGGTTTTTCAGAGCTGATATCTTTTTTATTTCCCAGTTTTGAGTACAAATAATGCTGCCAAGACATCTCATCTCCAGGATCTATTTTGTCAGGAAGAGTTAATTGGATTTTGGCAAAATCCACTATTTCATATTCTGGCATTTTCTATAGAATCAATTAAATAAATGATTAAAAAAACTAATCAAAAGCCAATCAGTCAAAAAATTGAATAAAGTAAATCTACCTTCAAATATCTGTCTTTACAATGCTGAACTAACTCTTGTTCTCTCCCAGCGAATAGGTTAAGACCAACTGGTAATAAACGTTTTAAGCAAGCTACCATTAAGCTTGCTTGGATTTCTTTATTCTTATCTCTTTTCTTATCACGATGCTTCTTTTTTTTCTATATAACATGATAAAAAGAATCAAAGTAACGAAAAATCATATAAAATAATACAAACTAACATAATATCACAATACTGCAATATCACCTTTCCACCTCCAGCAGGAGCTGTTCCATCCAAAACAACTGCAGATCTCCTAGTTGCAGTGGGCATAATTAGAGCCATATTATCTATTTCATTGGCAGATATGAAATTCTGTTCTTCTTTTAGAAAGTACTGTGACTTAGACCAAATATTAAATATATCAGCAACATGAGTATACAAGTATTCAGCTTCCGGAATATTATTACGTAACCAGTGATTTCTTTGTAAATCAACATATTTAATGAGTAGTGGGTAAAAAGAATATATATCTCTAACAATAAGATGCCAGCCCTCCTGAATTTCTGCTTCAACCTAGAAATTTATAGAATAAGTGAATGAATTTATTGAATAACTAATGAGAACTGCATTAAATCAATTTATTAAAATTAACTTTTAAATAAAACAGACAAAAATTCTTTCATCCATACATGAGAGAGTACCACATCAATGGATGACCTAAAAGATAACTTATTTCAAGTAAGGAAATAATCAGTGATGGCAGTCATAAAAAGACTGAAATAGTGAAAAAAACTATTTTTATTTCAAGCCTACATTTTGACCCAACTTTACAGGTCTTCTTCAGGGCTAAAACAAATAAGATACAAAAGGATATAAAAATGTGAAAGTTACATGATATTTAGATAAATACATACAATTTCATGGTGATATAATTTTTTTAAAAATCAAATCATACTATTTTGGAATTATAAACGAAATATGTGAAAAAAAAGTTCATGATGTGATTTAGAATTGTCTATCTTTATTAGTTTTTGGTTTGTAATTCCCATTTAACAAAAAATGTGACTTGCTTAGAAAATATAAAACTGGAAGCTTAGTCCATACAAGCTTTTTAGTTGCTCTTGAGATCTATTTGACAATAAACTACATAAACATTTATAATTTGTTTATATAGTTTATTTTTCTTAATATTCCTATGTATTTTCTATTCACACTTTTTACAATTTCAATAAATTTATTCATACTGGTTATGTTTTTTATTTATTCACAATGTTTATAATTTTATCTAAATATCATGGAACTTTCACATTTTTATATCCTTTTGTATCTTGTTTCTTGTTTATCCATCTTGTATCTATCTATCTATCTTGTATGTTGTTTTAGTCCTGAAGAAGACCTGCAAAGTTGGGTCGAAACGTTGGCTTGAAATAAAAATATGTTTTTCACTATTTCAGTCTTTTTATGACCACCACCCCGAACCATTTCCTTACTCAATAATATACAACAGTCAACCATCAAGTATTCAATATAACTTATTTGTGCAGCTAAAATAAAATTTGTACTTCTTTTTGATGATTACTATATATTAAAATTATATTTTTTAAGTTGTATTATAATTATATTAGATTAAATTGGCTCTTTAGACAAGGATCCTGAAAGGGATTTTGGCAGCCAACATGTTAATTATACCAATACTAACATCTTCATTTAATTAATAAGATATGTTTATCTAATTACAATTTTGATATTAGTTTAGATATTAATGATAATGAAATGAAAAATTGATGTACATTCTAAGAAATTTTGTTTTCTAAGAATAATAAAAATGGACAATTGAAGCAGCATATGTCTGGAGGCATTAATAGAACTTCATTAATATTATATGATGGATAATATTGTTTTAATTAAGATTTGTGCAATGAATAATGAAGACATACTTGAGAGGTATCTTCAGTTGAAGATTTTAGAAATCCTCGAAGAGATTCTTCACGGTGAAACATATTGTCTATCCTCTTCTTAACAACTTGTGTTAATGGAAGGAATGGATCTTTCAACAGTTCTTCAGAAGAGTTTATGATGATCTGCTGGGTGTAAGCTATTAGAAAATACAGTCAAAATATTAAATATATTTTTCTTAAAAGCAATACTGAGATAATAAAATTATCATACAAATAAAAAAAATATATTTTACCTGCTATTCTCGTCATCCAGGGAGCATTTTCATTTCCAATATTATTTTTGATTAATTTTAGTACATTTTTTAGGAGTTGATTCATATGATCACTAGTAACCATTGTTACATAATTCCTGAAATAACAAAAAATATTTATGGTAATTAAAAAATAGCACTATTTTAATGGCAAATTAAAAGTTGTAGAGAAATTATAAGAAACAGTTTTTCGTTGTAAGCACTATAAAGAACTAAAACTATATTGATGATTTTCAGATAAACTATTATTTTCTGAACCATATAATCAATCATAAATGAACAAGTTCAATTCAACAAAGTTTCCTAAAAAATCTATTGTTGCTACAGCAGTGGAAAAATTCCTGAAAAAAATAAACATTGCCAAAGTGATCCAATGGTTGTAGGACAGCAGTTGTGCTTTTGGGAAGATACACTGGTTGCTCATTGTCAAGGGAAGGCCTGGAGTATTATCAAGTTGTAGAATAATTTTAAAAGGAACTCACATTTTCATAAAATGATGCTGTGGTTGGTACTGGTATTCGTGGGGCTAGTGCAGCAAGTATGCCTTCTTAACCTTTTTACCAATCCCTGACAGCTTCCCAGTGCTTGCCACTCCCTACTAACTGGAATAGGAGTGTCAAGGTTTATTTCTTGGAACTTCCAATAAACAAGTATTAACTGATTCAGATGAGAAACTGCTTTGAACCAGACTCTCTGATGCCTTTCATTTCTCTCTCATACATACAGGACCGTTCAATTTTTTCTTTACTAAACCGCATTTTAACCACATTGAATGTTTGTTAGTCCGGGCAGTAGCTATCTTTCTTCATTATCCCATTCAATGTAATATATTTTCTTTCAAAATTGATAGCTTGGTTCTTAACAATTTCATGGTGATATACTTTTTAAAAAATCAAGTCATAGTATTTTGGGATTACAAACGAAATATGTAAACAAAAAAATTCATGATGTGATTTAGAATTATTCATCTTTAATAGTTTTTGGTTTGTAATTCCCATTTAACAAAAAATGTGACATACTTAAAAAATATAAAACTGGGAGTTTAGTCCTCACAAGCTTTTTAGTTGCTCTTGAGATCTATTATCACCTCTTTAAATATTTCTGATCATTATCAAAATACTTTCTAGGTATGTTTTGTTTGCATGCATATGAGTATGAACGCTTTGTGTTAGTGTCTATCTATGTAATAAAATTATTAAAACACACCCTGCTGTGAGACTGACATTATCAGGACCTTGACTCCACCAACTTGGCAAATAAGCACAAAGCAGAGGCAAAATCACATCAATAACATGTGGTGCTGAAGTATGACTCTTTTCGGATTCAATGAACTGATCAACTTCAGAAAGGATCGCATCCAATGTAGGCATGGTGTTTTCCATTCTAGCTAGAATATCTAATAAAAAAAAAAGAAGAAGAAAAATAACTACAGAGGAACAAATATGTAAATACAATTTTTATAAACATTAAAATCTGTGAAATTTACCCTGTGCTTCAAGAGAATGTTCAGCAATCCTATTAACTAATGAAAACTGATTATGTTTATTTAAATGGGGTTCAAGATAAGCAACTGGAAATGTTGACGAAAATGCACCAAGACAAGCACCAATGGCAGGTCTATGCCTTTCAATTTCTGTTTTTAAATATTTTCTGCAAAAAAAGAGTTAAAAAATGATTTTTTTTTCTTTCTAATTTTCAATATATTTAGGTTATATTTATCTTTAACAAAAATCATAATTAACATAATTGTAAATTTGTCTTGATAGGTTACAAAAAATGCATATATTTTTAGAAAAGAAACTAATTAGCTTCATAACATAAATTTAACAATATTTGACTTATTTATGTCAATGCATACCTATAAAATGTATAAAGTAAATATACCTGTCATGAGTTAAAGTTGGATCAATTCCTAAATTATATAAACTACCCAACATTCTATATGAGGCCACTTGAATTTCATCAACTAAAAACAAAACATAAATAAAAATTTGGATCTAACATTAATTAACTGAAACTGTTGTAAATCTTGAGATCATTTGCTTAAACAATAACTTACGTAACAAATCGCTACCGTAATCGCACACAGCCAAATGATCAAACATAGAAGTGAGAACAGGTAATACAACATCATTTATATAAAATAAAGAAGTAGATGTTTTAAGATGAGTGCCTCTAAGGTGACTGTAACGACCCTAGAATAAAAATATTTAACTGAAAATCACAAGATTAAGAAATGGTTTATATTTAAGAAACTGTTCATGAAAATAACTAGGATATTTTTTGTATTGGTATTGCCAGCACATTACATATTTTTGTAGTAATATTGCCAAAATATTTTGAAGAGCTTTACTTTATTTATTTATTTTAAGGAAAATTTATTCAGGGGAGGGGAGGAATGTGGTCAATTGTCACTCACATAGTAAGTTGGATAGTGTAACATTAATTGGATAGCCAATGTTTCAACCTATATTGTTGGTCTTCATTAAGGCTTTTGTCCAGCAATGACGGAAGAACTAACAGAACTGACAAATATGTTTATATTTTATTAGTTAATGAGTGTAATATATGGTACTATATATATATATATATATATATATATATATATATATATATATATATATATATATATAAGAAAAATGAGAACATTCGGAAAAAGATGGACAGAAATTAGAATAAAAATAAAGTAATTTTTGAACTCATTTTTAATTCCTTTTTTTTTTTTAATAGGATATATTCCAATGTATAATAATCTTAGTGATTTGTTTTGTGTACCTACTTTTTATTAATATGGGTTTACCATTCTTATGTACTCCTAAGTATAGGATATTGGACGAGAGGTAAAGATTGCCCTACAGGTACACAACCTGACCAGAGTGGAAAGGTCAGAATAAAATAGATTTCAACCACTTCTTTCCTTTAAATAGGTAGTGACTTTATTTAATTATCATTTATAATTCAATAAGAGAGAGTAAAGCTAAAATTACTGTACTACTACATGGAAATCTCAATATGATATACCTCTTGCAAACACTGAATAGTTTGGCCTAAGTCATCAGCTGTATTATTGAAAAATGTCAGCATTGAAGTCCTTATAAATTCAGGACAATTCTTTACCAACGACCTATACAGTTAATAGATGAATTAAATTACAGTAAAATTTCATAAAATATAAATAAAAAAATAATGAAGTTGACATACTTGGCATCTATAGCTTTCACTAGCACTTGTAGACAACGGACAGTAATTCGAACATCTGCACCAAAAGCAGCCAGCTTTGTTCGAATTAAATTTGCAAGCTTACAGAACAAACTGCAAAAGTTAATAATCATTAATTAATGTTATAATAGCATTAAATTAAGATTTTATAAATCATTACAATCAAATAATGTTTTCCAGTAATTTTTTTTGTTCACTTGTCCATTTCAAGATGTTCAAAACTTAAGATAAGTACATTCAGCAAATATCAGAAGACTTGTTGGATTGATAGGCTCATTTTCTTTAGGGTCCAGTATAAGATTCATATCAAAATCTTAATCCTCTACATTTTGTGAAGTACCAAATCCACACTGAACAATCTCCCAAGTGATTCTTGAGACAAGTTGAAGAATGTTTAGTTACCTAGCTTATATAACTATCCTTTGAATCAAACAGTTCTTTTGAACTCCTTTGCAGTCTTCCGAAGCTCTATAGTGTACAATGGGGTTATTAGACGCCACATTAAACAACATGCTTGTACAATAACTTATAACTAGTACTTCAGATTGAAGTAATGATATATATTTGCTAATGACAATAAATATTCCATCTAGTGATTTTTTACATTTTTCTTCTCTAAGCTGTGAGAGAGCCTTTCATCTATCAACACCATTTTTTGGTCTTATCAACACTATACTTTGTGACTTTGACATTTGTACATCAGAATGCATGAAATATACTCTTTGTCTCTCACTATGCTGAAATAAGCTACGATAATGAAAACATAGAAATCTTCTGGAAAGAGATAAAAACCCTGAAAAGCAAGAAGTGCAAACGTATGAGTAACATGAAAAATAGTGCAGGAATAGTTCTGACCAGAGAAAACGATATTTTGGACAGATGGAGAGAGCATTACGCACAGATGTTCGAAGATCCTCAAGGTCAAGAAAATAAGAGGATAGAAAGTAGAACAGATAAAAACATGCAATATGATGGCACCATATGGGAGGAAGAAGTGATGCAGGCTATAAAGAAACTCAAAACAGGAAGATCAGGAAGAGGATATATAATATAAACTTGCTGTATTTTATTTAGTTCTGAATAACAAAAAAACCTTAATTTAACAATTTATTGATTGTTGTTATAAATGAATTACAATAAAATTATGTTTTACAACTACAATCCTAACTGGAGACCTTATGTTTATAATTATAAATTTAATTATATAATGTCTGTGAATTTATTCTAATAGATTGTGAAGTGAAGATTGTGATTGTATACAAGGTCTCCAGCAAGGTTTTTATTTTAAAATAATAATTTAAATTATAATTAATTGATACCTAATCAATAAATTGTTAAAGTTGCTGTGGGTATTTCAATCAAAATTGCTAATATTATTAGATTAGACAGAAATGAATGAAAACAAGTAATATTAAAATATATTCAAGAGTAATTGAAAGTACAAAATAATCATTAATGTTTATAGGTCTGGCTATGTTAATTTAATAAAAGTGAGATATATAAAATAACCAAATAAATAATAAAAGGAAAATACAATACCTGGCAACCATTTCTTTTTCTTTTAAAGAGGCTGCTCCTACATTATTAGAAGCAGTGGCAACAGCAATGAAGTAATTTCTGTGAGTGCTGAAATACTTCTCAACCAATAGCAATACCACCTTAAAAATATTACATTAATTATTAGAAATAATGGTGTGATTAATATAAATATTACAGAATAAAATAAATATTTTAACATGAGTTTCATAGGTAGGAGGGCACGCATAATATTAGTGGAGAATGTGGGGACAGTGATGATATAAAAAAACCAAAAACAATATGGTGTGAAAGGAACTCTGCCTGTGAGAGTCGCTTTGTGGGAATCACAGCCGGTCCCAAGCTCGGATAAAAGAAGTTTGTTGTGCGAAGGGGTTAACAATCCCTTCCACATAAAAAACCTACAGTTATGAAAGCACAAAAAAATAGCCTCGGATTATGGACTGATCAACGGCAAAGACCCAGCAAATGTCAAAAGGACACATCTCAAGTTTACAAATTAATTATGTGGAATGTGAGAACAATTTTTAGACCTGGAGCCTTTGATGAACTTAGAATAGAGTGCACTAAACAGAATTTTGATGTAGTGGCTCTTCAGGAGATAGGATGGTTAGGAGTGTGCATGCTTAAGAAGGACTACACTCTATAGTACAGTGGTAGTAAAGATCGGCATGAGTTTGGCTGCGCTTTCCTGGTGAAAACAAGATATAATAGTGCATTAAATGCCTTTGAGACAATAAACAATAATATCTGTAAAATAAGACTATGTGGGAGCTTTTTTAATGTATCATTAATGTACATGCAGAAGATAAAGATGACAGCACAAAGGAAGAATTCTACACAAAGTTGGAGACTCTTGTTTTTGTTATGACATCAAGATCATAGCAGGAGATTTTAATTCCAAAATTGGGAATGAAGGCTTAACTATTGATGATGGAACAAAATGGAGGGGATAACTGTAGCTGCAGAAACTCTTGGAAGCACAGACTCTAGAAGAAGAAATGAATGGTTCGATGATGAATGCAAAGAAGCTGTCGAAAAAAGGAACACTGCTCGTAAGTAACACCGAACATAAGTGCTTTCAGCGACAAACAAGACAGCAGGAAAAGGAATATTGTGACACAAGACAACAGGCGAAGAAGACAGTCAAGAAGAAGAAAAACAGGCATTAGAGAAGCAGTTGAAGAACATTGAGGAGTTGGCCAAATGAATGAAAGCAGAAAGTTTTACAAAAAAATAGGAGCCATCTAGAAAGGACAATCACCAAAGAATAATTGGGTGAAAAGCAAAGAAGATCAACTGCTGAATTTGAATAAAGAGTTTCTTCAGAGATGGCAGGAACACTTCCAAGAGTTATTGACTGGTGACCAAGGCAACATAAATGGAACAGCAACTATCCCAGATAGTGAAATAGAATATGGATGGGAAGAAGAAATATCTCCAACACTAGAAGAATTGGAAGAAGTGATTGGTAAACTAAAGAAAAACAAATCACCACTCATGGACAATATAAATGCCAAACTCTTCAAATACATCAGATCTAACATGCTGAGATAGTTACACAGACTCATGGAAAGGATATGGGAGGAAGAAAGAATGGCAAAAAAATGTAGTTGTGGAATAATCACAGTGTTACCCAAGAGAGGTGATTTAACAAAATGCAACAACTACAGAGGTATCACACTGCTTAATGTTCCCATATCCAATATTGTTTGCTTATTTTAGAGCAACATATGGCAGGATCTACAAATCCATGGTGTATGAGACTATGGAAGAAGCAAAGATCCCTCCTAAACTAATAGCTTAAATGAAGATGACAATGAGGCACACCAATTGTCAAATAAGAGTGAATGGGAAATTGTCAAAACCCTTGGAAATAAGGAATGGATTGAGACAGGGAGATGCCCTGGCCCCTTTGCTGTTCAACTTAGTTCTTGATCAGGTTGTTAAGAAAGTAAGGATAGAGGGTAATATCATAGTCATCAATAAATCATAACAATTAATGGCCTATATAGATGACGCAGTGATTGTGGGAAAAAGCAGACAGACAATCGAAGAGGCATATGTCATTTTGAAAAGGAAGACAGGAAGAGTTAGGTTATAAATAAATGTCAGCAAAATCAAAGTGGCGATTGTAGAGAGAATGAGGCAGCAACCCAAGAAGTATATAAAATCTACAACGATCTGTGTCTGTCAAATTTTATATGAATAAGCAGGCTGAAGTGGATTGGCTATGTCAACCGAATGAATGATGACAGATAAGTGGAAAAGGTAAATAAAGGAAAATTCTTCGCCACTAGAGCAAATGGTTGACCAAGAGCAAGGTGGAAGGAGAAGATGAAAAGACATGAGACAGGTGGGCATCTGTTTGGTGGAGGACACAGACTTGTGACAGTAGATGTTGAAGCTGGCCAAGGACCACTTTGATCTGTAGCACCAGAAGAAGAAGATGGTGTGAAAGGTAATTATTTTTAGTAACCGGTTATCATTTTTATGGAAAGGAAATTTTTTTTATTAAGGAAATATTTCCTTTCCATTCTAAGTTATGCAAATTTATTACAGAATATTGGAGACCATGTTTCAGGGATTCTGGTTCAAAATTTCTACTGTTCTTAAAAGAATTAAAAACTTAAAGGAAGGATAATGTCATAATAATATTTGAAAATAAAATATTACATAGAATATATAGACTGAAAAAGACAATTGTGCTGGAGAATTTCGAATAATGTAGACTTTTGAGACACACAACAGTTAAATATGATTGAATTAATAACAATTAAATAATTAATATGATCAAGTAAAGTTGTTTGGTATAAAATTAATGAGTCCCTAAAAATGTTATCAGCTCAATAGGTAAACATAAAATATGTAGACAGAGAGACAGGTGAGAGGATTGTCCTAGCTCTAAACGCATAAATTTGAGTTTCGATAGGATTCAATGCTAGAGCATTGAAATTTCAGGACCACTAAGCATTATTAATAGTAGTACTATAAAAATAAACATACTTTGGAAAAGAATTTGATGTCTCTTGAACAAGTTTTAAAACTGGAGCGTCTACTGAATGTACCAGAAGGCTTTAGTAGTTTCATATTAATAGAAGCTTTATCAGTATATTGTATAAGTTTCTCGAGTAGACTGTAAGCAAATCTGGACTCTCCTGTGGCAGCAGCTGCAGCGGCCTGCTGCTCATCAGCACTTCCTCGAGTAGGCCTAATACAAAGTAGCTTTTTAAACAACATATAATATCAAAATATATTTTAATTTTATTAATTTTGTGGTAATTATTTTATGTTAATTGCTTATATCAAATAGGGAAATTTGAAAAATGTTTAGTAATGGCATATATTTTGTTTATTCCTCATAATAAATTTAATTTAAGTATTAAAACTAAAATTATTTAGATGTAAAAAATAAACATAATCTTAAAATATTTATAAGAGTGCTATCAATGGATAGCACTCTCAACAAGCGTGTTTTATGTGATTATATTCCTCTGTACACATTTACTTGATGTATTCATACTAAAACAGTTGTAAATATCATAATAAAAGTTAAAAAAAAAAAAAGTCTTAAGATAAGAGCATGGGCATAATAAAATCTATGAGGTATAAGCAATAAACGTGTTCTAAGAATTACATTTTTTTTTTTTTTATTATTATAAGAGTATTTAATATTTTAACAGCTAATAGAGATGTAAGGAGGGTAGGATGGAGTGGCAGGTGTGACTGGTGTGACTGGGAGAGTGGATAGTTAAGAGTGAGATAAGACAGCAGGTGCCGGTGTCTTTCGTTGATATTTTCTTCTTGCTTTTAGGATTGTTTCTTTTTTATTCGATCACAATAGTTTTCCATTCCCCTCTTTTAATGTAGACTTAGCATACATCACTAATTGAGTCCAAAACTTTTTAAAACTCCACAAACTCAGGTTGCAGAAAAGGGAGAATAAAAAAAAAAACACCCAAATTTATAGCTATCAAGTAAAAAATTTCAGAAGTAAGAATTTCTAAAAACAGACACCCACAATAGAGCTTTGCAGTTTTAGGAAAGGACAAAATACAACCCACATATATGAGGGGAGAGTGGTGGGAGCACAAAGCAGTTAAAGGAACTTTGTTATATTATTTTTTCTAAAGGGATTTGATCAGGAATAAATAAAGAATATATTATCAAAGGAATAGGCGATGGGTGACAACCCCAAACGGGTCCACACTAAGAAAATTCTTTCCCACCATTGAATTGCGCTTAGAAAAGAAATGGATCCTCCCGGACTACTGGGTCTCACAGATCCTCAGATGGCATGGGGGTTTCAGAGCGAAAATTTTTAAACATGGTAAAAATATCGATCCCTTAAGCCCCACTTGTGGAGAACCTGGAACCACTGAGCACATCCTTGTAGCCTACACCAGCTATGAGGTATTGAGGGCCAAATTAATGAGGGATACAGGGATTTTCATTCTAACAGAAAGGCAATTACCGCAACTGATGTCTCAACAAAACTACCCGCACTTTACAAATTTTGTATGCGGGTGGCAAAAAACTGTGGGCCCAACCCACTTCTTCCTGGGTAAGCGTGAAGAAGCAGTACCTGAAGGTCCGCTGATTAGGACATGAGAAGAATATGGAGGAAGATAAAATAAGAGAAAAAATTATCAAGCAGGCTGTGTGCACAGCAATGTAAAAAGTAAAAGATAACGCAACAGTGATTTGTTATGCAAAAAATGTGTATCAAGTCACTGCTGCAAACTCCCGTATTATCTTAAAGGCAGGGTAGGGAGGAAAATAAAATAAAAATAAATAATAAATATTACCAAAGCAGGTATGCCAAATTTGAAATTAAACACATTGGTGGAACTAAACTGTTTAGGAATAATTCTCTTCTTAAAAGTTACTATACACATAGGCACAGACTTCAGATGGATGACAATTTAATTTTGCCTCCCCAATAATTTGAAATAAAAAAAAAATTAAAATTCACAACAAATATGGTACATGAATGAATAAAATATGTAAACTAAAACAGATTAAGAAAAGTTGGCAAGGTGAAGACTAGAAGTAGGTATGTAACTATTTTATCATGGCCAAAATATTTCTATTACTTAAATTTTCATTTATATTCAGGGGTAATAGTTTATAGCATAGGTGGGGAACCTTTTGATAATTAGAGGCCGCAATAAGGTTAGGCAGTACTAATGGAGGCCATAACAATTTTTTATATTTTACTGTTGCTATTTTTATTTAGCACTTAATACACTCACCCATATACATATATTGAACTTAATTCTATTAATTTTAAAATTTCTGAAATCCAAATTATTAAATATTAATTAATAGTAGCACTAGATTAATGAATATCATGTAAAAATGTTTGGAGGGGCCACAGGTTCCCCACCTATGGTATATGTATCATATACTAGGATTTTATGGATCATTCACACCGTTAAAATAAGGAATTTTATGAAACAATAACTGTTCACCTGTATGTTAGAGACTCATTCATGACTTTGTACTCTGGATTTTTTTTTACTTATAGTCTAATCACAATATGTATCTTTTCGAGCAATATGCTTATTTCACTAATATAAGTACAAATATATTTTATAGAGGATGTTTTTTATAGACATTATTACATAACTACTCAGGCTGTCAAAACATTATATTTTAATTTTGGGGTTGTATAAACTAAGAAACCAAAAGTATTTTACAGTTAACATTATTCAATTAGTTACAGTTATAGAGGCCGTTTCTCTCTCCCCATATTTAATGTATACAAACATGTAATATATTCAATCGTTTAGTTCAGATATCTTTTAGCATATATCCATAAACACAATGAATATATATATATTGTAATGTAAATATTATATAGTGACTTTAAATAGTGGCATGAAGGCAGTGATGTCACGAACTACTGCCAAAGATGGACCAGGACGGATGGAAGGGGAAGCAAGTGTCAGATGTTAAGGCAGAACGTAGCCAGCCGGCTAGTAAAGAGGATCGAGAGAAGAAAATGTGACTAACAAGTAGTGAGTGTCAACAAAGAAAGAATAGAAGATTGAAGAAGTAGAAGTACACAACAATAGAGAGAAGATTCACTGCAGAACAGGGTGAGTGAAATATAAATAGTGACAGTTCGAAAGCGCGCCAAGAGTAGACCCCGACAAACAATGGAAATTCATAAATGTTACATAAAATTAATATATGTTTTTATATTGTATAATTGAGGAATGTGTGTTTGTTGTCTCAACCCAACCTGAGAAATAATTATTGTGTAAAATAAATATAATTTGATTCAGAAACTGTTTGTTTACTTTTCAAAGGAAATGTAACCTTACAAAATATACATATATATTTATATATATATATATATATATATATATATATATATATATATATATATATATATATATATATATATATATATATGTTGTTAGGTTACATTTCTGCTGAAAAGTAAACAAACAGTTTCTGAACCAAATTATCTTTATTTTACATAATTATTTAAAATTATTTCTCAAGTTGGGTTGAGACAATAAACACACATTCCTCAATTATATAATCTAAAAGCATACATTAATTTTCTATGAAATATTTATGAATTTTCATTCAGTTTTGTCGGGGTCTACTCTTAGCGCTTTCTAATTGTCACTATTTATTTTGCACTTACCCTGGTCCACAGTGAATCTTTCTCTGTATTGATGCTGCAGCCTATTTCTACAATTTATACTACGCAATACAACAAATGTAAATGGGAACCGATTGGCTGAATTTGCGGCATCAAGAGACCTCAAAATTAAGAGCACAAGTTTTCAGCACAGAAATATACATCTTGGTACATGGAAAGACCGTTTATACAATGATACACAGAGTTTAATCAAAATCGTTAGAGCCGTTTTTGATAAAATTGTAAAAATGTGTTTCACCGTTTATATAAAGTGGCACGTCCGGTTAGTCGATTTTAAGGAAAAAGTTGCTAGGACATCTAAGGCATATACCTATCTTAAATATGTAATATCAGTTTCGTACGACTTTTCGTTTTCGAGCTGGAGTGTTCACATACACACAGACCATTTTTCAGGACTTGGTTATTTGGACTCAGGGTACCTCAAAACATGTATTTCCATTGAAAACTGAGATTCAAAAATGTTCACGATCGCAATACTTACCATTACTATATATTACAGGTAAGTGAAAATAATAAAATTACAACAGAAAAAAAAAAATGTAGATTATATATGTCCGAAGCGAGAAAGAATTATGGAAGAGTGGATTGATTATTAATATATATATTAATTGAAGTTGACTATGCGTGATAATAAATACCTGTGGAGTTTGTATCCTTGATATTGTAAATACTTCAAAAATTCTTGAGATCTTTCTCTATCTTTCCTCTTCTCTTTGTCTGTTAAAAGATCATATGGAACAAGCTGTGGGTGTATACCACCACCTGTAGGAAATAAAAATAAAATGGTATTTTAGATACAATCAACGTTTTTTATTGGGAACATTTTTTCATTTTCATAGACAAAATCTTTTAAATAATATTAAATTTTTTTTTAGAAATCAAAGATTTTTATAAATAAATTAAGGTATTTGATCAAGTTTTCCCCATTAAATTATCAGCTATTGTTTAATATACCTCTACCACTCCAAGAATTTCAGTAATCCACCACTATCATTCTTGATATAGCACTGGATTAATGAGATCCTACAGTATTTTGGATTAATTTTTACGTATGTCAGAGTAACAATGAGTACTTAGATTTTTAAGGTTGAAATATGAGACCTATGGTCGGTATATTAAGTCGGCAATCCTTACACAGCACTATCTGTCCACTTATAAGATTTTCATGCAGTGAAAACCCACAAAATACGCCATATAATATGCAGTAAAAATCTTGAAATATGCAGTAAAAAACATGGAAAATGCAGTAATTGGTATCTAAATATACTAAACTTACTAATTACTTGATTACTAATAAATCAATAATTTATTTAAATATAATGACATATCTACAAAAGTTTTGAAACGAAAAGAAATTATGAAGGTGTTGAAAATTACAATAATTTCAGTTTTTTTTTATATCTAAACTAAAGAATGAAAATAACTAAACATATACAGCTAATAAGGTTATATTTACATACATATCTTATAATGGTAGCAAAAACATAACATGAATCATTTAAAAAATTTAAATATCGAAATAGTACAAAGTATATACAAATAGATATTTGATTAGCGGTAAAAAAAAAATAATGCAAACAAAATATGCAATTGCATACAAATCCGGGGCCTTGGTTATAATAGTTGCAAGAGGAAACCAAATTTATTTTATTAGTTTTATCTTAAAGTTCACTACATTTTTAGCTTACCACATGAAACAAGTTCTTCTTTCTTCTTTTTTGCCCAAATATCATGTGAGTTTTCAGCTAACCTCTCTGCCATATTTTGCATTTCTCTACTCAATGTTAAATTAGTCATATCAATCGGGTTGGGATGATAATTAAATGGTGTTGAACCATCAGACTGAAACAAAGCATGAAAAGAAATATTTATTTACTGATAATGCAGTAAACAACAACTAAGGAGGGAATATTGGCTTCCTATGCTCAATAGCTCTGGTTCAAATTGTGGTTAAGTTCACTAAATTTTCTGTTGACTGAGAATAGGAGGGCCCTTTTGATGTGGAACCATAGATTCATAGATCCTATGTGGTTCAACTCAACTCTAATACGAGAACCAACAATAAGCCACAGTTGTGCTAACTACAATGTTTCCATCCTCTCAAGAATATCATAGATCTAGATAATAATTTTGAAAAGAGCCATGGCAGCAAAATTGGCTCTGAAGGTGGAAAACATAGTTCGGCTGAAAAGCTAGTTGGTACAAAAAATTAACAAAAACTTCTCAATTTTACCTTCTTCTCAAGTACATATTCACCTTACTAATCCCACAACATTTTATTATTTAAAGTTAAATAAAAAATAATTTATTTATTTATTTAGAAATATAATAATCTGTCATGTGGACAATAATTATAGTGATATATAAACACATTCACACCATAGTTAAATTACTACATTGCCAAAGTTAAATTAATGCATTCATCGGGTCCTTCATTAGATACCCCACCCTTTAGATATTTACATTTATTTTATATTAGATAAATAATTAGATATATTTTCTTTAAAAAATAAATAATTATGGCGATATTTTAACAAGTCTTTGAAAATATGTAATCTGAACTTTACAGAGAATTGAAAACAGTTAAGACGCTTCCAACCAAGATAAGAAAATGTGATTAATAATATGGAAATCCTCATGGTTTTAAAAAGATGAATATATAAACTTATTTATTTATCAATAACTTTATATTTTCTTAATGATCCAATTAATATTACAACAAACATAAACCTACATTAAAATTTAAATAAAAACTCGAAATAATGTTGATAGGTGACTTTTAAAAGCTTCTTTGGAGTCCTTTTATAATAAGATGAAACCTCCTTTAAATTTTATAGGAACAAAATGATCTAGCCCAAAAAAGGTGATCCTATCTTTTTAACATAAGAAATAAATGAGGTTTTAAATAATATCCTTATCTCTATAGTTGCATCAAGAGCATTTGACTTGTAAAGAGTAGAAGTGTAAATCAGACAATACCTGTCTGATTGTAGGATGATCTAATTTAATTTAAAAGAAAAGAGCCTTATCCATCATTGAAAAGGAGTTCTGTGAATACAAACCAAGCCATTTTCAGAGATAAATTAAGAAACTTACTACACCACAGTATGGGGAGACTTATTAGAGCTTAAGGAAATACTGAGGGCAATCTTCTTGAATTAGCTGTTACCACTTGATGTTAGTGTCCTACAAACAGATCATAAAGCAGTCTAATGATCTAACTAGGTAACAATACAACGGCATAAATTCTATGACAACAATGGAAACTAATATTTATTTTGAGGCAAAAAAACCCGACCAATAGTCCTCAATTAATTTAAATTTATAACAGTATGATATTTCGTTGTCTTACTTTTATGAATGTGTCAATGTAATTATTACAAGTTGATTTAAGCCATTCAAGTTCTCATTCTATATAAGTATCATTGTACTTAAAACTATAGTGCTCCAATCAGGGACATTTTCTTGAAAATGGAAGATGATCTGAAAGGTATGTTTTTCTTAAACTTAAGATTGGGTTTATTCACAGTTAAATAAAGACAATTGTCCATGTTATATATGTCTGTCTGACTTCCACAGATGATCCACTGATAATCTCAATGGATCCAAACTTAAGATCATTAGTTTTATGGTGCAACCTTTTAACTGACAAATTCAACCAGTTAAAAAAATAAAAACATAATAATTAATTGGTCCTATTAAGATGTTTTCCAATGTTTCTTCTGTTATGTTGAAATAAACTTATTATTAAATAATACAACATACTGTATTTGCTTTAGAAGATCTTCTGACTGATGATCCTCTGTTATTAGAAGGAATATCAACTTCAGTATGCTCTACATTCCATCCTATAGCTAACAGAGCTTTCAATGACTCTCTAACCGGTTCTTTGTATCTCTCTTTTTCCTATGACAAAAGAGATAAATGTTAATAATATTAAAATTTGAAAAAGAAGATAAATTTTAATAGTACCGTAACATACATAATCATTAAGCAATGTATAAGGTTTTAAACGAGGATGAGTTTTAGAGCTGTCAGACCACTGCTCACCATATACCCAACCATTTTCCATTTTTCGACTAGCCCATGCATCATGATAATGTTCAGAAAATTTTTGAACAATTGTGTTTAAATCATTATTTAGAGAAACCCTAAAATCAATAATATTCTATAATAATATTTTCTTTGAACACTCTTTCCATATTTGCAGACTAGATATGATAAATGCATTTCACTCACATAGAAGTATTGATGGGCAGTGGATTATAAGGCCCATCAGTCGGTTCTGAACCCTTTGAACTATACCATTCTTCATCATAATTCTTGGACAGTGAATAATCGGGTGGAAGTGCACATCCTATAGCACTCAAGCAGGGAAGCGCTTTTCCAAATAATTCAGGATCATAATCCTATACCATTTTAAATAAAATTAAGAGTTGGTTTTAAATGGGAATACAAATAATAATATTTTAGTGGAAACATATATAGTTAAGCTAAGTAAGATTAATTTCATAAGAATGCATTAGGTCACCATAATAATTAATAATGCATTGTAACAGAAGAAATTAAAAGGAACAATTTTCTGAGTAAACATTACTTATATTTTTTTAAATTGTTTAAAGATATTTTTTTTTTAATTTAAAAATAATAAAATGTTATAATCATTTGAACAGGAAATACAAATGAAATTGCTCTTTATATTAATTAAAGAACAAAATAATTAAGATGTACATGAATTTGTCTTGGTTATGTATAGAATTAAAAATTTGAACAATATCTAGCAATTTTAACTGACACATAAAACTTTATTTGATTGAATAGACACATTTAATTTAAAAAATATAATATTTAGAGTATTATCCATCTTAAGTTATCAATTAGATAAAATTATAAACAAAAGAATAGAAAGCATTATAAGTTTATACCATTTTTGATAAAGAATCAAAAATATTACTGAAGAGTAACATAGTGAGCCTTTTTTCTTCATCACTAGATCCACCAGCTTGTCCACCAGTAGTTCCATAATATTTTGCACAACGCTCATAGTGTAAAGTAAGCAACTGAAAAACAAATGAAAGTTAAACAATGATAAAGAAAGAATGGAAAAATTGTTTTCCATAATTTGAAATCTACATTTTAAAACCAAACATACCCTTAAAGCAACTGTGGTATACTCAGAAAGCTTTGATACATCAACGGTTAACTTTCGAAGAAGTTTGAGTAACATGCTTGGCTGTAATTGACTGAGGAGAAACAAAGCAAACAGTATATATTTAAATTCAATATGGAATTACAAAACATTTTATACAATTAATTAACATATACCTTGTGAGAGCAACCAAAAAATCTGATACTGCCTCTCGCTGACCTTTAGTTAGCATTCGATTTTTTGATAGGCGATACACTGTATGAAGTGTAGCATCTAAAAGACTTGCATAGTTATCTGCACCACTATAAAACTGGTAATGCTTTATCAACAAAGGGAGAATAGAATTTCCAATATAGCGATTCATAGCTAATGCCATTTCTGATTCAGAACCATCAGTCTGAAAAAAAAAAAGATAAACTGAATCTAAAGAACGTTCATAATTAGAAAGGGACATGTTTAAACAATACATATTTTCATTATATGTACATTACAAATTTATGAACATTCGTTAATGCAAAAATAGACAAAAAAAAATCACATCCACCTAATATATTGCAGAACCCTTCTTTTGAGTTCAATTGTTCTCTTTGGGATTAACATAGGTTATATAATAGATTTTTGTCTAAACAATTGAATTGAATTAAAAACAATTGTGATAGCACTTTTCAAATATCAAAAAAAGATTTATACTATCTAGAAAATTGAAATAACAGTGCGTCTTGGAGGTATGATGGTACGGATGGAGGGTGGCATATACCAATGTTACACACATTGCAATTAAACATCTTTTAACCCTAACTTTATAAACATGCATTTATAAAAGCTAATGAAATACATTTTAAAATAAATATTTCTATTCAGAGATGACAGGGTGAGAGAAAAAACAGAAAGATCTTTCTTGGATGGAAGTTTTAAGCTGGAAACACGTTAATAAGGTATAAGAAACCCAACTATGAGCTAGGTGCTGGCATGTCATGAAATAGACAGTCACCACTCTTGTGATGTAGCTCCGTCCTCACCATTTTTCTATAATGCTAATAATCTTTGCAAATATGCATCCAAAATTTTTTGGACTTTTTACTTTTATAACCTAATATTTACCAAAAAATAAAGACAAACATTCATTTAAGTACCACATTGTAACAATCTTATGTAAATATTTCAAGGAATTGTTTTCCTACCACCAAAACCTTTTTTTGTATGAACACCAGTTACTAAACCTCTATTGTTATGGCTCTTACTGATATACATTATAAAATATTAATTATAACATTATTTTTGAATTTTCATAGCCAGAATCTACTGATTATAAATTTGGTTACTTTGATTTATTTCTATTGTCCAATTGATATTCATTAGCATTTGGCTATAGAAATTTTAAAAAACAACTTTATAACTAATATTTTCTAACGTATAACAAGAGCCATAAATATACATATGAAATAACTGATATTCACATAATATAAGTTATGATGTTAAGGAATATATGAATATATTTTTAGAAACACAAACGTAAAATGTCACAATGATGAAATAAAAACAAATTAAAGGAAATTTAAAATCACCAAATTGGCAAATTGAAAATTATAAACTTCCAATCAAGAACTAGGAACAAGTTGATATTTAGGTTTATTTCAACTAGAACACGAGAGTATGAATTTTCTGCAATTTACAATATCAGGAGTTAAAATTCCAGGTACTGTGCTGAGCCCTACAAATAAAAATTGTTGTGATCAGACTGGCTTATTTTATTTATAAAGGATAGATGAACTTTCCCTATAAAGGATTCTAAGAATAGAGGGAAACTTGGACTTTTTCACATAAACGTCACGCATTCAAACAATAATGAATAGTCTAGTCCAAATTAATCAAAATTCCTTGTAGTGGATGGACCACTTTATTACAAATGAGTTAGTCACACGGTCTCTGAAAGTGATCTGGAGGGGATGTGAGGGCATATTTTTTTAGTGACATTGATTGAAGAAATAATAAGTAGCGGCAGTAGGTTGGCTTGAATACACAATGGATTTGAGCTATACAGTTGTAAGGTGAACAGGTTGTTGTGAGAGGATTGTGAAATGCGTGCAGATAGATGATTGGTACAAGAACATAGGAGCTTAGGACAGTGCCCGGCAGGTGGCATCTTTTACAAGTGTAAATCAAGAAAGCCCATATAGTGAGATTCAGAAAAGTAATATGAAAATAAGAGTGGAACTTTGAATATTTGAATAAAGTGATGTACCTACATATTAACTTTCTTTCTTTCTTCAAGAAGACCACTTAAGAAGAATTTTCAAGATAGAAGAAAAGTAAGAAGAGTGGAATAGGAATAACGAGCTGGATTCAGGAAAAGAAAGGACATCGCATGACATTAACATTAAATTACAACTTTATAATAAAAATTAATTACATACTCTATCTAGCATAGTTGCTGCTCTTAAATCAGGTAAAAATGCTTCCTCGAGTAATCTGAAGAAGAGATCTTGCTGTTCAATACCATATACTCTCTCTAAAAATAAAACAATACTTTGCTTATGAGATGGTATTAGACCAGATGGTATATCACTTTTTGGCCTTTCTTCTCCAATAGCTGGATTGGTAAGTGTAAACTTTAAACTCAAGACACCAAATAAATCTTCAAGAGGTACTAAAGATCTCAAAATAGCTCTAGCTCTAAGAGACTCATTCTTTCCCTGTAAAAAAAAAAAAAAATAAATAAAATAAAGTAAAGATTATTAGACACAAAAAGGTATTTTATAAAATATTTACATTAATCCTAATTAACCAAACCATGGGATATGCCAAAGAAATTATAAGAGACTACAACAAGGTTTTAGAGGAAACTATTTAAAAAACATCTTCTTCATCAGCTTGATATTAATTTCGAAAATGCATTAAACATCAGAAGCTGTATAAATAATATTCTGATTGAGCTGGGATACCAAACAATTTAGTAAGGATGAGCATGATGGAATGATTCATTAAAACTAGAATCGGTAATTATTTTTCAGATAAAACTTTGAGGTCCATTTGGGTTCAGAACAAAGTAATTATCTTGTTCCTGTCCTATTTAATTTAATACTGGAAAATGCCATTGAAGAGATAATACGTAGTGAAAATGTTCTGAATAAGAGCAGAAAAATGCTTATGATTTGGTACTTTTAACAGAAGATATAAGAGCTAGAAAAACCAAATACAGCAAGGTAAAGTACTGGGAGCTTGAAATAAACACAGAGAAGATAAAATATATAATTAGCTGCAGAAATTATGACACTTTTAGAGATATAGATATGAAAGAAAATATGTTTGAACAAGCTGAGAAATTCAGCTATTGATAGTCCAAAATAACTAGAAAAAAACAAAATTAAAGATAAACTTAGGTCTACATTAAAAGGCTACAAATACTTGTTATCTTTTGGTTGGAAAATTACTTAGCTTGTGGCTCTTCCCCTGAAACTTAATAGAAATTACAATTCTATTGTTTTCTACAGTTCTTTATAGATGCATAATGTGGTCAGTAAGCATTGAAAGCCTTAAGTTTTTTGAAAATAAAGTATTGTGCAAAATATTTGAATCAAAGAAAGAAAAGCCAACAGGAAAATTTAGAAGGGTAAATAATACCTAATTGTATGATTTTTTCCCCTCCTTCCTTTTTGGCTATACAGCATTTTTCCTGGCTCAGGGGAGAGGCCGGAAATAAATGCCAAAGTTAAAATTCCCCCAGCACTAGAATTTGAACTCACAACCTTTGGTTTATCAGGTTGTTGAGCTACAAATGTTTTACAGCCTGCTTGGCCACCCTACACCCCCAAATTGTATCAACTGCACCCTGTAAATATAATTCAGGTGATAACTGTTCAGTAAATAAAATTGTTGAACATAATAGTGAATGAATCCCTAAAAAGATTAATAAGCGCTGTTTTGAATGGTAAGTGTCTGAGGGTTAGATCGAAGTAAAAGGGGGAGGATGGTGTTAAGACTAATCTTTCAAAGTTGGTTTCGGATAGTGGTTAGTAGATGGAAATATGTTGATAGCGAATGGCAGTATCAGCATCTGACCTCCAGGTTTGCTAATCCATTTATTATTACCATTCAAAATATTAAGTACCTGAGCAATCACACTAGCATCTGGAGCACAGCGACCTAAAAGATCGACCAGAGTACAATAGAATGCCAGTATTGCTGCTCCTGTATCAATATAGTCCTCATCTTCATCAGACTCAGGAAGTGGATGTTCAAACTGATGATGGGCAGAATTTTCAGGTTCATCCATCATTTTTCTGCGATCTGAAATTCTTTCAGACATCTAAAATAAATAATAACAAATTAATTCTTATGGGAGTGAACATTCTTCATTCTACATTTTTAGATCATTAATATTTGAAATGGTACACCGAACCTTATTAGCATCTATAATTGCTCTCAGTAATCCTTCACCTTCTCCACGAAGTGCAGGACCCAAACATTCTGGTCGACGTATAAGGAGCCGTATAACCAGATTTGCATTTTCTTCAACACTTTCACCTATAACAAAATAATTGAAATAAACATATGTTAAATAATTATATATTTATAATAATTCCATATGCTACACCAGATTATGTACCGTTAACCCAAACACAGAAGCGTAAAAAGTCTAAATATCTTTCTCCCTCAACTGGATCCCAACCCAAATCAGGGTAACCCTTTTCTACCAATTCTGAATTAGATTGTAATCCACAGCGAGACAAGTAAACAGCTATCTTCTCTAAATAATGTTCTCTGAAAATGATTAAATAATTAACAAAATATTATAAACAATAAATAACGAAATATAGTGATTTGACCTGCCTTTCAAGTGCCTTCAAATCATAATAGATAGAGCTATTAAAACAATGTATAATGCTAGCATTCAAAATTGGTAAATCAGGAAATAAAAATCAGGACTTGGCTGAATCTTCATGAATCAATCCTGATCGCTAAAAAGCAATTTGATTTTTTTATGTTTCATCTGTGAATGGATAGCAATTTTTTTTAACCAAGATGATGAAAAAACAACCAAATAAACAAATAGTAGGGTATAAATTGCATAAATGATACTATATAAATGGTATTATCAGTGGAGTTTTGGATATGAGATAAATCAAACTCTTATGATCGCATGATTGGGGTCAAAGAGCAGTTTTCATAATTGGCTATGGCACACGATTGTGTCTATAAACTCTGGTATTGATGCAGAAGTAATCACAGCATTCATTGGTATAGGCAAATGATGAGAGTTGTTGATCAAAACTAGAAAGAATGTGGTAGATTCATCATATTTAAAGTCATACTGTGCAGACATTATAGAGGTTGGTAAAACAAACCTAAGATTGTTATACAACTCCATTTTGCATTTCAATCCCCATTTAGTATAACAGTTCTTCGAATTTTTTTATAATTGAGTGTTGTGATTGAATTTTGGATATAGATGAAACATTCTGAACTGTAATGCCAAATTGCATCCCTTGAATTAGTTATCAGTGGGTATTTGATTACCTACATTACAATATCAATGTCATAGAAGTATTTATGCCAAAGTTGTCTACTGACCATTAATTTCACCATGGAATGAGGTAACATGTGGAAAAATTAACTATCAGCCATGCAATAAGGTATACAAATAATTTTTTGTATGGTTAAAAAATTTGCAATTTTTTAAAATAAAAAAAATATTTAAAAAATAAGATTTGGTTATTTATTTTATTTTAAAAATAAGAAGATAAAATAAGTAACCAATAAAAACTAGTAGTTTACATTTTTTTTTACCTAAGAGCTAATGCCAGTTCGGTATTTTCCATGAGAGAGGAATAGGCAACATCAAGAGGGGTACTTCCTCTAAGTGAAGGTCTTGAAAGTAAAATATTACTGTTTTCTAATAAAAATGTTAAATGGTCAAACATTGCTTTCTGATTTTGACGTGAAGTTCTGCAAAAATAACACAGGAAACGACAACATGCTACCACCATTTCATGGGACGTATCCTGAAAAGGAAAATTTATGTAATTTTTAAATGAATTCATTACCCTCAAATGAGGCAAATTAATTTTTATTTGAATTTAAATATTATTAGTGAAATAAAATAACTAAATAACACTAATAAATTTAAAATATACAATAATAACAATTTAAAATATACATGAAACTTTTAGGCAAGGCCCAAAGAAAATTTTTTTTTTTTAAATTTTAACTAGAAACATAATCTTAATAAAAATAAGCTGAAGAAATTACTTTACACAACTGAAGAAATTAATGTAGAGAAATTAGTAAATTCTCTCATTAAAACTTAGGATAGTAAAAAAAAAAATGTTTTTAACAATGCTTTTCATCATTAAAAATTTTAGGAGCTGATTAATCATGTTAATCATAGGTATCATGTTGCTTGGATGTTTTAGTTTATTCTTTGATAAAGATTTATAATGTGAAAAAATCAAATAACATACAACTATAGAAAATATATTTTGTTTTGGAAAATTGCTTTTTTATTACTACATCAGATCTCGATTGCTTTACTTAATACTCTTATAATCCAACAACAGGTTTCATTATGATCATCTACAATCCATCACCACTGATAAAACTTCACTGTCAACTATGAAAGTAAAAGGAGTATTATATTTATAATAGCTTAATTCATATTACCTATTAAAATTTTTTATTGTTGAATTGGTCATTGAGTATTCTATTAGAGATTAATTATTAGAGATAGTTTATTAACAACAATTACTTTCTCCTTAGCTGCAGGTTCACCTTCTTGACCAGCTTGAGAAGCATCAGATTGTGCTTGTGATCTTCTACCCAAGGTATTGATCATAACAGCCATAACATTTTCATGAACACGAAGAACTCTAATCAAATCAGGATGTTGAAAGAATGTGTGATTGTTAACTAATTTCCTACAACAAACAAAACAAAATATGAACATAACGCAACCAGCAATGTATAATAATTATTTGAAGCAATTTTATTTTAATTAACAGTCCTTTACCATAGCCTCATTCGCATAAGACCTTCTTCATCTTGAGACATTTGAACAGGTAGGAGAGCTCTGATCTGGCTCAACCCTACCCACATCTGAGCTACATCTTCTTTCGTTTTGTCATTTATCACATAAGTGTTTCCAAGAGATCTGATTAATTCACCTACAGTGTCGTACTGCCTTACCAATAGACTGAAATATGGGAATTATAATTTTATTTTGAGTTTTGAAGTTTCTGTAAATGATAATTAGCAATAAGTACCTGAACATTTCTCTGACTAATTTTGGTGTTTCAATCTGGGATTCTTCAGCCCATCTAACAATTGTACTAATTAATACTTTTCTAAATATTTCTGAAAATGAAAATATTTTTATAAATCAAACTGTTAATGATAATGTTCTATTGCTGTTGAAGTGGACTTATAGTTACTATACTACAATTTATGTTCAATCAAGATAATTAACGCAAATATTCTTGATATTATTTAAGTTCTAACATTGAAGTAATTAACATAAATCTGACAGCACTGTTGGTGATGTATTTGCTTACTAGAAATATAGCTTATAAAATACAACATTGTATGGAAGCATTTTTTACTAAATGTTGTTTTACAACCTTGGGAGTAACATAAGTCCATCTTCCTGATTACAATATTTGAAAATTAAACCAGTAGCCACATTTGTACTAAACCAATAATATTTATATAAATTTTTATAAAATCTTAAACAAATTATTACCTTCAGGAGTTTTCTTAACAGGTTCTTCTTCTATTTTAGGAGGTTCTTCCAATTCTTTAACAGCATTAATAAAATTGTATAATTTTTTGAAAACACCCGGCTTTTCTGGTGTTTCACCGTTCTCCTGAAAGAATAATCATATCATTCAATAACTCATATAAGCTTTGAATATTTTTAAGTATAACAAAAAAATAAAAAGTGAAATTCGATACATTTAAAATAGAGCCGCAACGGTCTAATGGCTATCAATGTCTCTCGGTGGGGTATGGTATGTTGATACCCATACTAGCACTGCAAGAAATCCGATCGAGAGATACAGTGCTCACCAAGAAGAAGCACTACACAATTATTAATTGCGGCAATAGGCAGAACATTATGAGCACAGGTTTTGCTGTAAGAAACTCCCTCCTGCACTCTGTTATCAAATACATAACAGTAAACGAAAGAAAATGTGTATTAAGATTGAGAGGGAAATTTTCAATATTTTCCTTATTAGCATTCATGCACCTATAGAAGGTAAAGACAATAAAGAGCATGATGTCAAAATAATTCTGGGAGATTTTAATGGTAGAATAGGAAAAGAAAAGATATTCTTTCCAATAATAGACCATCACAGCAAACATGAGAAAACAAGCGAGAATGGACCGACAATGGTTGATTTGGCAATGGCAAAGAACCTTAGAGTAAGAAGCATGTTTTACCTCATAAAGATGTTCATAAGGAAACATGGACCTCACCAGATGGCCTGACCATACCAGACACGCCCGATATTTTTGATCTCCACAGTTATAGGGGAGCTAACATCACTTATACCATTATCTGGTCAAGAGTTTATAAAAATAAAAGCTGGCGCTAAGAGAAAAAAGGAATGTAAGAAACACTACCACTTACAATGTTGAAAAACTAAAAGAAGAAGATGTAGCTCAACAATTCCAAGGAGAAATAACAGAAAGGTAGAGAGAAGAAGTGTTTACTAATATGAAAATAGAAGAAAAGTGGAAACATCTTAAAGATGTTCTCAGAGAACTGCCAGAGGGTATTGTAGGCACCACACCAAAAAGAAACCGAAAGGACTGGTTTGATGATAATTGTGCAAGGACCACTGAAGAGAGAAACAATGTCTGACAGAAAATGATCCAACGGAGGACCCAAAAACAGTCAAAGATTGCAAAATAAAGGTTGCAACGACCATATACAAGCAAAAGAAAAGGCTGTATGAAACTAAAAACGCTTGCCGTTAAACAGACCAGAAAGTTTTACAAAAGTATGAGAGAATTTCGGAATGGCTATGCACCAAGACTGGAATTCATCAAAGATAGTGATGGGAATCTCGTAGGAGATAAAATATCTGTTTTGGAAAGATGGAAGCAGTTTTTCGCAGAACTACTAAACCCAGAAACAGCATCATCATCCAATAAAGACAAACTGTTCCAGTATGAAAGAGACTCAATGGCTTTGGAGGAAGAAGAAATACCATCAGACAGAGGTCTAGGTCTTTATGGATCTAGGAAAAGATTAAATAATCAAAGCATTCCATCATAACAGAGCTGCTGGAATAGACAGTATTCCGAAAAAGATGAAATATGGTGGCAAGGCACTTGGAGATATGGAACCATATATATGACGTCTGGACGGAAATGAAGATGCCATATGCCTAGAATGTGGCAGTTTTGTGCCGGATAAATAAGAAGGGAGACAAATTAACCTGTCAAAACTATCAAGGTATTGTACAGCTACCCACTGTCTACAAGGCTCTCTGAGTTGCCGTAAACATAAGAATTATAGCATAGGCAGAGAAAAATATTGGTGAATACCAAAGTGGCTTTTGAACAGGAAGAAGTACAATAGATCATATTTTCTCTATTTGACAAATGCTGGAGAAGGCATATGAATATAATAATGATCTCCATCACCTCTTCATCAATTTCTATCAAGCATATGGTAGCCTCGATAGAAATGAACTGCTTAAATTAATTAAAGCACTTAGAGTTCCAGAAAAGCTACCAGGATTGAGTGCAATGACCCTTGAAAAAACCAGATGCAGGTTGAAGATAGAGAACATTCTATCAGAAGAATTTGAGGTAGAGAATGGCTTATGCCAAGATCCTCTCTCTCCCCTGTATTATTCAATATTGCATTTTATTAAGCAGCCAGAGCAATTAAGACAGATCTGTGAGGAACAATATATAATAGACTTATCCAATACTAGGCGTATGCTGATTACGTGGTAATATCATCAAAATCTAAAGCCACACTATCAGGAGCTTTATAGAAGTTTGAAGATGCTGGAAAAAAATTGAGTTTTAAAATAAATGAAAATCCAATATATGATATCTCAATAAGTGAAGGACATGATAGGACCACCACACTTATAAGAAAGCTGGTTCAGTTTCAAATATCTTGGAGCCTTAGTGACGGGGAAAAATGACATTATAGTAGAAATTAAAGCCAGAATCACAGTAGGTAACAGATGTCTTTTTGCATTTCAGAAAACATTGCGTTTTTGAAATCTGTCACGAAAGCCAAAGCTACTAGTTTATAAAAAATATCTTGAGACTAATTGTCACTTACACAGGTGAAACATGGGTCCTGATACAGAAATGAGAGAAGATCCTCTGAATCTGGGAAAGGAAGACCCTTCAACAAATCTTTGAGCCAATAAATATAAATGGAAAATAAGAAACGATAGAGAACTCCAAGAACTGTATAAAAACCCAGACCGAGTCACTTATGTTAAATCAAGCTGTATAAGATGGCTTGGGCACGTAGAAAGGATGGGTGAAGATTTATACCCGAAAATACTATTATATGGTAAACTAGGAGGAAAAAGAAGGAGAGGAAGGCCCAGACTAAGATGGATTGATGATGTGGAGGATGACTTGTAGAAGATGGGAATTGGACAATGGAGAAGCCAATGTGCCATTGGGTGGCTGATAGGGATGATTGGATTAAACATGGATAAGATTGGTAAAGATTAGTGCTTGATTATAATTTGGTTCATTCATTGAAGTCCAAATAATGGGGGCAGGGTGGCCGAGCAGATTTACGCGTGTACACAGCACTATGCATTGCCCGGCTACCTGATAACCAAAGTTTGAAATGAAAAAGTAATTACAAGTTCAAATCCCGGTGGGTCTTTTAATTCAACATAATTCCCCCACCTTCTCTCACAGCCAGAGAAAAGCCCCATGTAGCCTAAAAGGCAAGGAAGAGAAGACCAAAAAAAAAAAAGTTCTGTGCTTTAGATCACACTATAGAAGTGAAAACATCAACAAGGTGAAATTAATAATATGAAATATAAATTATAAATAATAGTTAATTATAAAGAGGATGAAATACTGAACATTTCCCTCATGTACAGTATGCATGTCCGATTTTTAGTTTCTGAGCTATTTTAATCCATATCTCCCATAAAACTCGTTTGGTTTTCGACACTATTTTTTTCCTTTTTGCCTCTCTAACACGTCGTAGTGTTAAGATACAATTTTGAATAATAGCTCATTACAAAGAGGACAAAATGATGAACATTTCACTCGCTAACATTGTGCAGGTCCAATTTTTAGTTTTTGAGATATTTTGATCTATATGCAAAAATACTTCAATTACTCGACTTTACCCGAGCGTTACAAATCAGAGATCTGATGGCTTGTTCTAATTCACTCCCCACAAAAAAGTGTAAAATGCGGCTAATGAAGTTTTCACTTTTTTAAAGACTTAAATGTTTTGTGCTAGCAGTTTGTACACTTTCAAGTACATCTTTTATGTGCCCCTTTTCCTTCATGCTCTGGAAAAGACAGGGACATTCAATTGATTGTCAATGGGAAAAACCAAAATATAACCCAGGAGATCCCAATACAGGATAGTGTGAGGATAAATTTCAGACTCTACCAGTTAATAGGTTACAAAAGTTGCACATTCAGAACCACAGATAACCAAAGATACAATTTAAAAACAAATTTAGAACATAATGCAAATGAAATAAATCTCCTAGAGGACTAAATGATTCATTTTTAGAAAAATATTAATAGACAACTTTAGGAAAATCATTTAATAATTAGATAATTACATCTTCTTGTGGCTCTTGGAGAGCAACAAGTGAAACTTTACTCATAGTTTCTTCATGAAATGTGTTTAATCTCTCCCTCAGTTCTTCACCACATGGACAGTTTTCTTTGTCATCTTCTTCTAAATTTTTAAAATTTATGATAGCATTCATCTAGACAAAGAAAAAAAATCATTTAATAAATCAGAATGAACTCTTAAAAATGAAACAATATTCATAGAAACTATTAGAATACCTGTTCTCTTGGAGGGCAACGAAACTCTCTTGTTTTTCTTGCAGCAACTGATGATGGAAGATCAGACTGCTTAATATCAACATATCTTCTCAACTGATCCTTTAGTTCAGGCAAAAAAGAAGTATATCAAATTATCAGTCGAAAATTGTTTTATTTTAGTGAAATTATCAAAAATTACCTGCTGAAGATCAGCAATATAGTCATAACTAAAATTAATAATGGCTTCAACCCGATGACGCAATTGTATATCGCATAAATGCTGTAAGAGATAGCACATCTGTAGTTTTGCCCCCTCTGCCATTTTCATTTGAAGTAAACCCTTACGATGTTCATCTTTGCCATCTGTTAAGAATTGAGAAAATGTTTTATTTAGTTTATAATGAATTAGTTTTAAGAAAAAGAATATTTATTTTTGTTTTATATGTCATAGATTTATATTATAAGAGGTTGTAGATGGCGACATTGTCATAATTAATTCATGGTTGATGTATCATGATTTGTAACAATTCACAAGTGTGTTTAAACTAAACTTTAATTAATTTGAGACAACTTTTTGTATATTATAGCAGTAATAATAATACAGAGAGTATAGCCGCATCATATTTTATTTATGCCAGTCATAGATTGGTCAAAGTCATGCTTGGCAATTATCTGTGGAACCACAAAGGGTTGATGTGGTTGTTAAATTATACGTATCAATTGCCTATGGTCAATCAGTCAGGCTTTCAATCAGCAAACATTGATGGGTGAGGAGTATGAGTCCTAATTGGAATATAAGTCAGTATCACTTTTTGTTGCCTGCCAATCTGAATTGATGATTTCCACTGATGAACTATGTTTTTCAAATCTTTTAGTATGTTTTCTGTTAGACTGATCAAATTAATTTTTGCTGTCATTTTTTTTATTATTTTTGATAATATTGATCAATTTAGAATATTTTGAAGGTTGTCTAAACAGTCCAATAGTGGAATCAAAGAACCAGCTTTTGCCACTTTGTCAACTTAGAGTTGCTATAAATTTACTTTTATTTATTATAATAGCCAATGCAATGATAAATCAGTACATTTTAACTAAATATATAATATAATAACTTGAAATTATTTTTTTAAAATAATTAGTAAGTAGCAGTAAGGTTAAAAATAAGGTAATAAAAAAAAATAAGAGATTTTAAAATTTTAAGTACAAGACCTAGTCATTATAGGTAAACATGAAGAAACTTCAAAGGCTTAGAGATATCAGTGATTGAGTTGTTAGTGGGAAAGGCAGACCACAATTTAGATCTAAATGTAGCATAACTTAAGTCATATATTTTTTGTATTTTAACAGAGTATAAATTAATTCATATTTTCTGTTTCAGTTTGATTACCAAACTCATTTTATTTTACAAAACACATGATTTATTCAGTTATGGTTAAAATGAACAGACACCCCACTTTTGGTGGAACAGTCCCAATTTTTAACAACTTGTCGAGCATCCCGCTGCGTTTTAAAAAAGTCTCAATTTTTGAAAATACTGCATGACAAGTTAGGGAATGGCAGGAGAAAGAAAAGAAAATATACAGTTTTCAGCAGCCATGTGGCTACTTTGCCAGAATATAAGTTTTATATTAGTTTTGTTAATTTTATAATGTAAAACATTAATAATAAAGAATAACTGTTGAGAATTGATTATCGAGAACTGCTTATAAAAGTTTGTATTCTTGATGAGCTGTTAAAATTCGAACATCATTGTTTGGACTTAATAAACAATTCAAAAAGTATCTTTTTAATGAGGTATCATTATTGAAAATATATATTGATAAGGAAAAGGATAAATCTTGGGCATCAGCAATTTAACTTCATTTGCTACCTCGATAACCAACACTTTGTCACCTTATATAAGTTTTATAAAATTTTGAAAAAGAGCTGCCCGATGGTGTACAAACTTCTAACACAAAACATATAAGTCATAAAAGCTGTGTTATTATTGATCATAAATTAGAAGGCAAATGCATCATCAAATTATTCTCTCTCAAAAATAAGTCTTTAGGAATAAATTTCTTTTTCTGTTGGCAATACAGACCACGTAGATCTTTTGCCGTCTTAACAAGCCTGCTCCATCTCTGCCTGTCTTGGACTATTTCTTTCCATTTATCTGCATGCAGCTCTATTGCATCTTTGTTGGTTGTATTTATCCTTTTGGCCTTCCACGTGGTCTTTTGCCTTCTATTGAGGCATTCATTGTTACGTAGAGGCTTCCTTCCAGATGGATTGCTATGAGTTACATGCCCCGCCCATCTTGACCTCTGTGCCTTCATATCATAGGATATTAATTGACCAGTTCCTGTAAGCAGTTCTTTATTGGTCTTTCTTTTTCATGTATTAGTACTCTGATTCCAGATCGCTCTGGTTATCTTGTGGATTTTCTCTCAAATCTTTCAACACTTTTTTTCTAGGGTGCTGGTTAGTGGCCAGGTCTTGTAGTCATATATTAGAACTGGCTTTATCATAGCATTGTACATCCTTAATTTGAGATTTCTTGTAATTTTTTCGGGATTTCAATACCTTATAAAAGGAGAAGAAAGCTCTGTTTGCGCTAGTTATACGCTGGTCTATTTCTGCCCATTTGTCATTCATTTAGGTTATTGTGGAGCCGAGGTATTTGAATTTTTCTACTGTCGGGAATGATTTTCCTTCTATGCAGATCCTGTTATTGGAATTGAATTTTTGGCTTATTATCATATATGTTGTTTTATTTGTAGGCCAATCTGCTATGCCTCTCTTATCAGAATCTTAGCTAGTTTCTCAATGTCCTCTTGACATTTAGAACTAAATTATCAATCTCATTTCTGCTGATGTAACAATAAATTTGGACCAAGTTTTTAATCAAGAACTCTCTCTCCCCCTCCCAGTCAATTGTGTCCCGCTTTATCCATGTTAAAATCTAGTCACCTCAGTTACGGTTGATATTTATTTTTATGATTCAATAAATGTATCAAACATTTGGTGTTAACTAATTAAAAATATAAAGTAAGGATGCTCGAGATTTCTTGAATACTCACAACTGGCCACATAGGATGGAATCATATGGCGAAGCTTGTTGAGGAGGCCAAGAACCACATCAGTTTGTATGCCATGGAGGTAGCTCACTTTATTAGAACACTTTTATAGGATAATGAAGAAAATTCTGGATAACCAATAGAAGACAATCATCTTGAGAATAATGAAAACCAATCAATAAAAAAAGCAGGGCCCTTGAGTCCGAAAAATTGCAATTTTAGTCACAGGTCAGTATCTGTATACCACAATCAGTTCTTGAGTGGTGCATTGATTTTTTTTTCTTTTATATTGTTTCAACCACAGATAACTATTTACCAAATAGCCGCTGTCCAATAGCTTAAAAAATCTTTTCCTATAGATTGTAGAGAATCAACTATATAATGAAACTTTCTTAAAAATCTTCTCTTTAAATCCCTACCATTTTTCAAATATTCTAAATCCCATAGATGAAGCAAAGAAAAAAGTGATGATGAAAAATCAATTCTAATTGTGCTTAACTCAAAAAGGATGCAATCGTATAACAAATTCTATTCATTCTCTTGAAAGGTAATTTAATACCCTAAAAAAACAAAAAAAATCTAAATTGGTCCACTATTGACACAGATATAGTGCACTAGACTTTGTACTCATGGAAATTTACTTAATTTTTTTTTATTTAGTTTTTTAAATAAGTCTAAAAGTATAAATCTAACAGAAAATTCGAGATAATAAAATTAAATTTTTCATATTCTTAAATAAATGGAAAGTAAGATTTATTCTAGGACATAAAGAATAAAGGAATTGGCCCCTAAAAATAATAGGATTGCATAATGAACATAAAGTTATAGTAATAACTAAATATCTTGTAATAATAAGAATAGGAACTGACCCTTTTCAAAATTTGAATCCCAAGTTTCAGGATCAAACATAATTAGTAGCTTTGTAACATCTTCATCTCGTAGTATCCCAACAAGCAATAATCTATCTACCAGTTTCAACAAGGGTCTAAAAAAAAAGATAACAAACTTTTAATGACAGTCTTTAATAACAAATTGAGTATAAATAATCATTATTTCATAATTATATACCCACAAAAATATGCACAAGTGAACAATAAGTATGATATGAATAATCCATAGTTTTTTTAGAAATTATTTTACTTAAATAAACAGTTAGCTAAAAGTTTACAATTAGCATTCCTATAATATAATTAAAACTACAAATATGTTTGGGATTGAGGTTACTAAATTATTTAGTATTTTCAGTAAATATAAAATTCAAACTTAAAATCAAATTTAAGCTAATATCTGGACAAACATTTTATTTTTTTTTTAAAATAATGCATTAAAAATGGGTAAAGATTTCATTATATCAACACTTTAAGGAGAAATGTACAATGCGCAAAAATTTTTTTAAAATAAGAATGCTATACAATGTTGTCCAACATGGGTGCTGCAAATATTTTTCAACCCAATAAGGGTGTCATGACAAAAAAGTTTGAGAATAGCTAATCAATACACCAAGCACCTGTAGTCTACATCGAGGGGAAATCAATCATGGAATTTTGGAGCTGTTTAGGATTGAGATGGATTATTGCATAATTTAGGAAATAGGATTATTTTAAGTTAGATAGTGATCAAAAGTAACCCCAAGGTTTTTTATACAGTGCTTTGTAAATTAATAGGGAAATGGTAGAGAAGGGCGCATTTCTCTATATATTATTTTTCTTTCACTTACCTACATATGTAATATATAGTAAGGAAAAATATTGCGATCGTGCAAGTTTTTGAAACTGAGTTTTCAATGAAAATAGACATTTTGAGATCACATGAGTCCAAATAACCAAGTCCGGCAAAATGGTGTGTGTGTGTGTATATGAACAGTCTAGCTCAAAAACGAAAAGGCGTACAAAACTGATATTATGTATTTAAAATAAGTATATGACTGAGATGTTACAGCAACTTTTTTCTTGCAATCGGCTCACCAGAAGTGCCACTTTATATCAACGGTGAAACACATTTTTGCAATTTTCTCAAAAATGGATGCAACAATTTTGATTAAACTCGGTGTATCATTGTATAATTAAGTGGTCTTTAATATCATTTAGGTCTTATTGATGTCACTTTTAAAAGGCTAAAATGTCCAATGTAAACATTTCTTCCTCTAAAGTATCTTTAATTTGGTTTATTTTGATTAATTAACTATCTCTCATTGTTAGGAGTTACAAAAAAATGCTAAATATAATTTTTCAAAGAATTTGATAATTGGATAATAGAGAAAAAAAAAAAATGCTTATTCAGGTCGAAAATGAATCTCCAGAAATAATAGTCAGAAGGTATACGTATAATATATCTTTGAAAAGCAGAGAATTTTAGAAAACATAATATCAAATAAATAAAGTTGTAGAAGATAACTGAGAATGATGAAAAAAATATAAATAATAATTTCAGAAAACTAACATTATTTAATGCATATCACATGTTTCCATGTAAATTAAATGAAATTTTCTAACTAAATGTAAACTTTAATTTTTTTTTTAATTTTGAAAAAAAAGTATTTAAAATTTACCGAATCATGCCCATGCCATTGTTTAAAATATTATTTAATTGTACTTCTGTGAAAGAAGAAGTGAAATATAATAGTATTTCATGGATATGTTTATAACCTTAAATATTTTTGCTGCAGTTTAATAACTTTAGATATGATATTATATTTAAATAATTAGGTATATATCGGCCATTTAATCTAAAAATCATCAAGTAACCTTTTAGAAAATTGAATTAGTGAATAATTTGATGAATTTTCCCTATTTGATGAATCCCAACATTATCCACTTATAATTAGTGTGATAACTTTTGACCTATCCATAGTGTAAAACATTCTTTCTAAGCTCCTTACTTCTTTCAAAATGAATTGTGACAATTGTCACATCAATTTTTGGGACGGAAGAGAAAGAAACCTCCAAAGATAATTGTGTTACACAAACTGTTACAATATATTGGATGGGACTCCAAACTACTAAATTAAGTTTGAATCCAGATTTGTCAGAAAGCTTATTTCTATCAGAAATAATGTAGAAAGCTTCCATAGCACACCCATAATCTATAACTTAAGTGTCTGGGCCTTCATTGAGTTGGGGGCAAAAATCTTGTGGCTGAACATATATGCTTCCAACTTCTTCTTAACTGTTTATCTTACTAATGGAATCCTCTTTTGACATCTATTATAAAAATATAATTCATAATTTACATGGTATTCTTTTATCGTAAATCATAAGTAATCACAGTTTCCTAGAGAAACATTATATTCCTATATAATCAGTAATTTTATATTTAATTTTTTTATTCTTAACTAGATTACATTTCAGTTAAAGAGAAGCTCTATTTCAAATATATACCTAAGTTTTGTACTTACAGAAACAAGTTTTCATTTGAACCACCTACAGGGTCTCTATTGTGAAGTTGATTCATGCTTACAGCCTCTTCTAATGCAGTCATTCCATAATCCTTAACTGCATCAAGAGGAAAATAAGGACTATATAATGTATTGATGCTTTCAATATTTTCCCTGAAAATCAAGAATAAAAAAAAAATTGTTTATGAATAGTAAAAATTTACATAAACTTTTATGAATATACAGTGAAACTTCCCGTATATGTATATATATATATATAAACAAAATGTATAGAAAATTCCTTACGTAATGTCTGTCATACTCATTTGAGGTAAAATAGAGACAGTTTTTAAAGATCGTAAGCTGTGCTTCATATCTGGATCTTCATATAAATCTTTCAAGTCTAGACCAAGGGGTATTATGAATTCATTTTTACAAACTTCCCTGAAAATTCAAATTAGAACTGACATTATCCACAATTTATAAATAGTAAAAAGCATATTATGCAGTAGTTACAAATCCATTATTAAAGCTGACTCACATGAGATGACCCAATTAGAGAATTTATTTTTATAAACTTTTATTGTTGTCTTAAAATTAGTAAAGTAAAATTAAATATTAACTGCTACACAGTCAATACATTTTAAAAGACTAAATCTATAATAATATATATAATACTGTTTATAGAGGAAGGATTTAATTTTTACAATATCACTTTATTATCACCATCCATAGAAACAGAGCAATATTCATAAACCATAACGCTAGCACAGCTTCCCATAGATATTATTTACCTACATAATAAATAAAGCACAGGGGCTAACTTTTAAACATACATATATAGAAAACAGGTTACTTGTAAATAAATTAGGGATATTCAAGCTGACTTAAGAGAAACTGTTTTTCTCACAGATAAGTATATGTTGCCTTATCTATATGAGGTTGTGGAGAAGACTAATGTATACTCATACTACAGAGAGAAGGAACAAAAAATACTGTTTAAGCCAAAGTACTGTTTTCTTTTAATAGTTCTAAGGGCACAATTTTCTATAAAAAACTTAGTATAAATCCATTAAACTAAAGACACTTTCTGTTAACAGTTAGTTTTAATAATTGGTCATTTTGGTTTTCCACATAAATTTGGGATGTTATTCAGTTAGTCGAATGCTCTTGGTTACGTATATATAACCTTAATTTTGCCAAAATTGTTATGATGTTTCCAGTTTATTGCATCATTTGTTTAAACGATCCTATTTAAGTTTTTTGGTCTTTCCTTTGATAAACTTTAAATTATAACAATTTAAAACGTTGAGCATTGGAGAAAAATCAATTGATTATAATTATGAGTGTAATGGTGCAAATATTCAAAATTGTTAATCACAGCTTAATGAAATAAATAAAATTTGATGATTGATACTCACATTGTTGTTGCATGTGATTCAATGTGTAAAGCAATCAAGAGGTCATAAAATCCCAAGCGTAAAGGTCCAGATATATATTCAGACCTAATAGCATACTGAAGTTGCTTTTGGTCTACATGTTTGCAGAGAACATGTCCTGCACGATAATTGGATTGGTAACATAGTGCTGCATAAAGTGTCAATGTATGAGCATGGAATCTATATGGGAAAGAACAAAAGAAAAATAATCTTATGCTTTTCTATTTTACAAAAAAAAAAAAAAAAAAAAAACAGTGAAAATTTAAAAGTAATTTAACAAAAAAATATATATAGTAATAATTAAATTAAATTAAAATAAAGAAACTCACGAAAGTAGTTTGTCCATTTCAATAAGTTCTAAAATATCAATACATCTATCTTCTTCAGGTATATGTAATGCTAACATTGAAACTGGATCTTCACAAAGCATACTCCAACCTCTTATATCTGATAATTTCAGAGCGTGGACATGCAATGAAATATTAGGAACACGTGCCCACTGATGTGGTTTTAGACACTGAACTTTAAGTCTTGGTGGAAACTGAAACCAAAATAAACTAATGATATATAATTATTTAATGTTTAGATAAAAATTCCTTTCCTTGTTACAATGTGTGTGTGTTTTTAAAAAATCTTTTTCTTATTTATAACAGCTGTATGTAAGAGCAGTGCATTTTGTAAACACAAGTTGTATAAAAATAGGGTACTTGTGACTGAATTGTTGGCCATGGAACCTACCTTCTTATCTTGTGCAACCTCTTCTATATTACTCGTCTCTGCTAGTTACCTGTGTGTTCTTCTCATTATTAAATTGTTTTCAGATTTTTTTTTTTGTTATTTTCTATTTAAAATTAGTATAAACACACTTTGGCAGAAAAACAACAACTAAAAACTAAAAAAAATGGAGGGCCTGGAAAAGTAGTTGATATAGATGAAAGTCATTTTTCTAAAAGAAAAAAATTGTGTAGGGAGAGTGCTCCCTGAACAAAGGATGTTTGGCAAGGTTTGTCAAGAAACAGACGTGTGTTTCATTGTAAAAATAAAAGACAGAAAAACAACAACTCTATTAGAATATATTAAAAATAATATAGAAGAGAGAACCATTATATATTATGACAGTTGGAAAGGATGCAACACCCAACAACTAAATGAAGCAAACTATAACCATTTTCAGGTGAATCCCCGGTATAACTTTGTCGATCCTTCAATTGGGATACATACTCAACACATAGAACGATTATGGGGTATACCTAAGTGGAGAAATAAAAAACATTGAGGAACTGCGAGGTAACACCTACATTCATATTTATATGAATATTTGTGGCAGCGGGTCCACAGAAAAGAGAACCCGTTCCTTACTATTTTTAATAGCATTTAACTATTTTGTCTCCCAAAATAAATAAAATGTTGTAAAACAAGTGTTTTGTTATTATTACATTTGTTTTTTATATTTAAATTTCCATAAATACAAACAAGAAGGCAGGTATTATCAGTATCAGGATTATCAGTGTTCATGTTATAAACAATGGCGAATAGCAGACTGTGGTGACTGGTTAACCCACAAGTACCAAAAATAGTTGTACAGTTGACATTAAAGAAAATCAAACATGAAACAGACAACAAAATTATTAATCAAAATTAAGTAAAGTGAAAATATGAACTAAATTGATAATAATTATAATAGATAAATATGTTTCCAAAAATCTAACAGAAAGATTTTATAAAGTTAACAAAATATTCAACTCCCACGCAGTTGGGTTTTAATCCAGATGGCAGACAATTTATTTAACCATCAGTTGATTGACTCTGAAGTTGAAAAACAACCCTCTATAAAGTGGATAGATGATCCTACAATGGGTTGTGTGTGATTCTGGTCAGATCACCTCCAAGCACACAGCACTTCCTCACCAATTATCGAATCTAGAATTCCTCATGGTGTTAGTTGGTACATTTTTTTATTTTTTCCTATCTACAGATATTTAACAGTAGGCAATTGAATCTGATAACACCACTCCTTCAGTTTCGAGGTGGAAAATTTCTTGCATCCATTAATCTTTTCATAATTATATAATCCACAAAGCATAAGCTTTTTTTTAGTAATCATTAAAATCAAAAATTTTGAGCCTAAATGCTGAAGCTTTACAATAGGACTGCTCTTCAACTTATACTGTTTTTATTTCTATAGATAATATATTTGCACTATTCTGCATTTTTCTTGTCAAAAATGTCGTAAAATATAAAAAATCATTGGGTTTTCTTGAGATGTTATCATAGCATAAAGTATATAATAAAAAAAAATGAATCGACAATCAATCTTACAAATAGTGTAGACATAAATGTCAGATAAAAACATACTAGGTGATTTCAAAGAGAATAAATAGTGTTTACACAACAAAAGATCTCCTAATGTCTTTAAAGAAGACAATCAGCTTAAATTAAATTAAATGAATCTTATCCTAGGAGGAAACGAAATGAAGCACAAGGCAATCTGTTATATCTTAAAATTTTCAATTACAACATTCAGAACTCACATTGAAATTTGTTGAAGTAAAATGCTTTTAAAGAAACACTAAAGAATGAATAAAGATCAGGTGGATATTTTGTAGACTTTTTCTCAAATAATTATTCAATCAACTGGTAAAATGAATTTCAGAAAAATTTTAATATGATTAAATATTTAAACTGTTTAATAAATATTTATATAATTAGTCAATCACCTGAGGAATGACATGTCTTTCTGAATTTTGGAGAACAGCTGCTGATAAAGGCAGTGTAGTTGATGTACGACCAAGCTCAATTTGTAGAATTTCTTTGCTTGTAGCTTCAACAAATATAGCTGGAAATAATTTTGTATCAGGTTCCATCTAAAATCATAATTAAAATATTAATTATTTTAACTCGCTAAAATAAATGTTTCAGTTAAAACAAAATATAATAAAATTTATGTTGGTTTGTAACATAATAATCCAGCATATTCTACGCCAATGTTATACTATGATCCAAATCGTAGAGTTCACTCTATGCATAGTTTGTTAAGAGCCAAGTTACCATTGTTGAAGCTGTATCTATCTGTGGGTACCTTAGCAATACTCTTTTGTCAAGTGAAAACTGTGTTTTATACCTTCTCAACACTACTCCTTTTAATAACACACATTTTATAGATCCAGGTATGCACTATACATCAACACTTTAGATTTAAATCAATTAAATCTTTATTCAAAGATTTTTTCAATCACAATTTAATTTTTAATCAAGATCAGTATAATTGCTTTTGGCATCATGTCCTTAACAGGGAGAATAATAAAAATTCAAGGACTGACTAAAAGTTTTAAATTATTATGTTCATGAAGAAGAACAGATGAATGGAAGCTGAGGAACCAGATGAGCCAGATGAGGTCAAGGTTGTTTACGTGTATAACATATTTTGAAATGTTAATTCCCAAATGTTGAGGAGGTTAAATTTTTTTATTTTTGTTGATTAAAAACTTTTATTATGGAAAAATAAAACAATATATGAAAATATATATCATGATTCCATAAACTAAAATAGTTCATGATTTTTAGACTTAATGATGCTCACCTTATACTTGTGGTTAGTTTCTTTTCCTTCACATGTGAACGTCACATAACCAGTTGCAGTATCCAGGAAACATCCAATAAACATTCCTTGTGAAGCACCTTTACCAGAGGCATCCTGAGTTACTTGATTGTATAATTCATCAGCTCTTACCATAAAACAACTCTGCCGCTGAATACTGAAAATTGTAGTCATTTACGAAAATAGAGAATTATTAGTTTATTTAAGGATTTAATAAATTTTTACTGAATTTAATTTTTAAATACAATCAGTATTTGTGTATAAATACCTGTCTATTACACGATTGAATTCATCACATACTACTACAGTGCTCTTTAGCACTCGATTCTGATTAAAGTCTTTACTACGTAGATGGAATTGAGTTGTAACCCAACCGACATATACATGAGTTGGGTCTTGACCTGGAAATATCCTGACACCGTAGAAGTATTCATTAATCAATTTCAAACACTCTACATCAAATATTTCATTTCCAATAGTTTCGATGCCAGTTCCAACAGGCACAGACATTGCTTTGGGTCCACTTCTTTCAACTAATGGGGATGGTGGCTTAGTTAACTCCTGAAACATATTCATAATGTTGCAGAGAAAAAAAAGAAGAAGAAGAAGATATATGTATATATATTGTAATGGTTTTAAATTTTCTGATATAATTATCTCTTAATTTACTGTACATTTTTTTCATAAATGATAGTAAATTTTAATTGATTTAGGGTTACATTTAAAATATAAATTTTACAAATATTTTATTTAAATATAAAATTAATTTCCATAAAAAGAAAAAGAAGGGGGATTGATTTAAGATTTGAGTAATGTCCTTGAATTATATATAATGGCGATTTCTTGCACAAAGAATATATTTTAAAATTGAATTCAATAATACATTTTATAAATCAAATATCAGGTTGTCTGGAAAATAATGCAGGATTTAGGTTTAAAAAGAAAAAAAGAAAGATTTTCAATTATTTTATTTAATCAAAATCTCCACTACTATCAATACATTTCTGCTAACATGTTGGCAACTTTCCCATTCTATTAGAATAGAATTTTCCATCTAAAGAATTGATAAACTCCAAAAATGCATTTTCTAATTCCCTCTGTCCATTAAATTTTTTTTCAAGTAAATAGGGATCAGGTGTCTAAAAAAATTATAATCCGTAGATGAGAAGTCTGGAGAGCAGGACAGATGTAGCAGAGTTTCATATCCATGCTCCAACAGTTTTTGTGAAGTCACCCGTGAGACATGTGGCAGGGTATTGTCATACAACAAAATGGGCCTTTCTGATTGACCAAAGATGGCTTCAATATTGCCAATTTCTGATGCATTGCATTAATTTGGTTGCAATACACTTCGGCATTGGTGGTTTCCCCGGAATTTAAGAAGCTATAGTGTATCAAACCAAATGAAGCCCACTGAACAGTAACCATCACTTTTTTTTATGTGCTGGGGACTTAGGAAAATGTTCTGTTAGTTCTCCTTTGTCGAGCCACTTTCCAGAATGTCTAATGTTATCGTAAATTATTCACTTTTCATCACTAGTAACAATTGGCAAAGAAGTGTATCAGAAACTTCATAATGCTGGTTTTTTGGCGGTCGTTTAATGTGTGTGAAACCCAACTTTCAAACTTTTTTAACTTTCCAATCTCCTTGAGGTAGTCATTGACAGTCGACTTGCTAAGGCTAAGTTTTCCTGCAAGTTCTCGAATAGTTGTTCTGAGGTTTTCTTCCACCACAGCTCGCACAGCACCACACCAGAACATCGTCATCATGAGAGGAAGTCCTTCCATGACCTTCTTTGTTTTTAAGGCTGGAGTCTCCCTCCCGAAATTTTATGAACCACTGTTGAACAGTGCACTCATTAATGCTGCTCTCCTACCAGACTTGATTGATGTTTCTGGCCATCTGGGCCCCATTTTAAACTGTAGAGTTTAAACTGGTAAAACAAAATTATACGCAAATCTTGCATTGACATCTTAGTAAAGACTGAATTATTTCTAAGCAGTGAAATGCTACAGGGGTAAACAAATATTATTGTTTGGAAGAGGATTAATAAGTGTTGATATTCATACAAATGAATAATTCAGTAAACGTAAACAGTTTATTATATAAAGGGGTATTTTAAAGAAAACTCAAAATCCTGCATTATTTTCTGGACAACCCAATAACTATTGTTCCCGTGCAGGAAAACACATCTTATTTTAAGTCTTCTTTAACAAAATCACTAAAAAAAATCATTTGCACACCACACACTTGATTTTAAATTTACTTAAATATATTAATAAAAATGTAATAAATAAAAAATCATTTGCACACCACACACTTGATTTTAAATTTACTTAAATATATTAATAAAAATGTAATAAATAAAAAAATCATTTGCAAACCACACACTTGATTTTAAATTTACTTAAATATATTAATAAAAATGCTGAGTAAAAAGGAAGTTGAAGTGGCTATCGGAAAATTAAAATATTATAAAACAGCGGGAACCGATAATATTCTTACTGAACTAATTAAGGCCTGCGGGAAAGCTGGAGTTTCTAAAATACATCAGTTAGTTAAAAAGATCTGGGAGAATGAGAAATTACCTGAATAGTGGAAAGAATCTATTCTTATTCCGATTCACAAAAAGAGCCCGAGAACGGATAGTAATTACTATCGAGGAATTTCACTCCTTCCAGTATGTTATAAAATATTCACTTTAATCTCAACTAGAATCATGGAATACGCCAAGGAAATTATTGGAGATTACCTATGCGGATTTAGACGGAATCGTTCGACTATTGATTAAATTTTTTTTTATGGCAAATATTAGAGTACAACGGTATTGTTCACCAGCTGTATATCGATTTGAAAAAGGCTTACGATTCTATTGATGGCCAGCAACTGTATATCTAATCGAGCAGAGGATTCCAAAAAAACTAGTAAATCTAGTCAGGATGTGCTTGACGGAAACACTCTAGTTTATAAAGTTAGAATCGGTAATAATCTGTCCGAAAAGTTTGAGGTTCGTTCGGGTTTAAAACAGGAGGATTCCCTTTCACCTGTCCTGTTCAATTTGGCATTAGAATATGTTATTAGGGAGGTAATGCCTACCGAAAAAGGGTTTGATTTGGGTGGGACAACACCCATGCTGGGCTATGCAGATGATCTGTTACTGTTAAGGGAAGACTTGGAAATTATAAAACTAAATATGACAACGTTAATGAATGCCAATAAAGAACTAGGGCTTAAAATAAACATGGATAAGACAAAATATATGGTTAGCTGCAAAAATGGCTATATTACTGGTGATATCGATATAGATGGTAATATGTTTGAACAGGTAGCAAAGTTTAGGTATCTAATGTCGACGATAACTAGAAAAAACGAAATTGAAGAAGAGATTAAGGATAGACTGAAGGCGGGAAATGCTTGTTATTTTTCTGTGACAAAACTACTTAGCTCGCGCCTCTTGACATGGAACTTAAAAATTAGAATCTATAAAACCATTGTGTTACCTGCAGTCCTTTGTGATTGCGAAATGTGGCCGCTTATATTAAGGGATGAGCAACATCTTAAGGTTTTTGAAAATAAAGTATTGTATAGAATATTCGGACCGAAGAAGGATGAATTAACCGGAGAGTTTAGAAGGTTACACAACGCCGAGTTATATCCGGGTAATATAATTGAGGTAATTTCATTCCGGCGAATCAAATGGGCTTGTAAAATTGTTGGGCTCAGTAACAAGAGAATTCCTAAAAGGTTAATATTTGCTGTACCGAATGGTCCAAGTAGTAGACGTCCGAGGGGTAGAATGAAGCGAAGGTGGGAAGATTGTATTAAAGCCGATCTGAAGGGACTAGGTTTGGGCGGCGAACAGTGGAGGGAGGTGTGTAATAAGTGATTGGTGGTGTCGGGATCAAACCTTCAGGTTCGCTAGGCCTTTTATTATTATTAATAAAAATGAAAGAATATATCCTAAATAATTATACCTTATATCTTTATATTCAATCAATCAATCATAACTACAAAAATAACATAATGTAGTAGATGACCTCTAGTATTTACTCCTTTATGTGACATTGAGTGAGGGAATGAGAAGGAGTGTATAGGAATATAGGGTTACACTATGAATTGGACTCAGCAGCTGGAGAGGGACGCTGGAAGAACTAAGAAGAGCACTTGAGGTGAGGACATGAAGACAGAAGGATGTGACAGCAGGAGAGAAGCCCACTCCACTGAAGATTAAGAAGATCAAGCCTACAGTTATAAGACTTTTATAAAATCATTTATTACAATTGTTGAAATAAATTATTTTATATGCAGGAGTGGATATTCCTTTTATTTAGTTGTCCTATATGCCTCACAATTGAAGAATAACAAACAAATTCAGTGACGGGGTTTAATTTTAAAAATTAAAATTCACGAAGGTAAATAACCAAGACGAACAGGTTATTTACAATAATGAAAACAAATTCATCAATCCAGTCTTTTTATTCAAACCTAAAAAAGGGTCAATATAAATTTACATTCAATATTGATCATTACGATATAATTGGGGGGAGAAGGGGAGGAAGAGGAGGTAACAAACCTATTTCAACCAGAGCAGGAGGATTAAGATTCAATCTTAGGTCCACCATGAAATGTATTTCAACCTGCCCAAGCTAGATATAAAAGAGAGATATGGGTAAGGAGGTTGAGTGGGCTAACACGTGTGCAAAACACTGATTAACAAGATAATATAATTATGAGTTTATGTACGGTGCCGGAGAGGATTTTAACTCAGGCATCAATCCCCACCCTTTTCTGTGGCCTGGGGAAAACCATATATAGCCTAAAAGGCAGGGAAAGGGAGGACAGAAAAAAAAAAAAAAAAAACGCCCTAGCCAGATTCAAGATTGTTAAAACTCTCATTTGTCCCAGCCTTTTTAATGTTAAGAATCATCCAACAGTTGAGTAATGACCTTTTAGATTCAAGCTTCCAAAAATAATGATTCAGTGGAGAATGGTCCAAAAGCACATTTATACACGAAGGAGACAATACAGCTGAAGTAGTATAATTTTAATTTTTAATAAGAGTTAAAATTTTTTATATTTTTGTTTAAATTTAGTAGTAAAATGCATGAATACAAAATTATTTAGTATTCATGAATATTATATAAACTAACCAATCTGCCCTCTTTTTCTTTTTTGTGTAAATTAATGTTATTATTTAAATAAATTGTTTGTGAAAAGTATTTTTTTAACTTTTATTTACAAACTTAATTAACTAAAAAAAAAGTATAATTGTAAAACAATTACACTTTATTTTTAAAATAAAATTCCTAACAGTATATATAAATATAAAGTTACTTAGGAATCACCAAATGGAGCCCTCTAATCAGATTGACCATATTCTTATAACTTCTCGACATAAGTTTAACCACATTGGAGTCAGAACTTATCGAGAAGCCAATGCAGATAGGGACCATTACCTTCCACTGCAAGGATCTCAGCTATGAGGATTAAGGTTGGGCCATACAAGGGATACACTGTAATGTTACCGCGATAGAAGGAGAGAAGAGAAGAGAGGTCATCGGAAGAAAAAGAGACTGTGGTAAAACAATGGGATGGAAGACATCGAATCCCTCAGAACATCATAAGAGAGTTGACTATTTTTTCAATGGGTAAATGAGGGACGAACCGCATTCAAACCAAGAGTGACACCATGCATGGATGAAGGATGTCTTCTAACAGATAAACAGAATATCTTGGATCGATGGGCTTCCCACTTCAAGAAGATATTCTGAAAAGATGTGGAAGAAGTTGCTGAAACAGCCAAAGAAGAGAATACGCAGGATGACGCGAAGCCACCTGATGAAGACGGCAGCCATTGTAAAATTGAAGAATAATAAGGTGCCAGGAGAGAATGGCAGTCAAGCAGACCTACTGCGGTATGGTGGACATCATTTCAACAAGGATCTTCACAATCTCATCCTTTCTATTTGGTAAGAAGAAAGAATGGCTGAAGAGTGGACAAAGGGTATATATGCCCACTCAACAAGAAGGGGGATCAGCAACTACCGTGGTATTTTTCTCCTTCCATCAGCTTATAAGGTACCCTCAAATATCCTCTCTTTCAGAGATTGCTTCCCCATGCAGTTAGAGAAATCGGGAGATAATAGGAAGGATTTAAAAGGGGAAGATCCACTATGGACCAAATATTTATATTGATATTAGAAAAATACAGAGTATAAAATCGTAACTCATAATCTTGTTGTCGATTTGAAATCTGCATATGACAGCGTTGCTTGACCGAAACTTTACCAGGCCCTAAAAGAAATGAATGTCCCAATGAAATTAATGAGATTGGTTAAGATAACAATGGCGAGTTCAAAGCGTATGATATGTGTGGGCATAGATCTTTCTGATCCCTTTCTCACAAATTGTGATATTAGGCAAGGGAATGCTTTGGCCTGCCTCCTTTTTAATTTTACAGGGGAGAAAGCGGTAAGGAATTCTGGAATCCAACTCCGATCAACATTGTTTAACAGCACAGTACAGCTTCTGGGATATGTGGATGATTTTGATATTACTGCCAGATCGGAACAGGCCACACGAGAATCATTCCTGGTTCTGGAAAATGCTTCTAGGGATCTTGGCCTAGTTGTTAATGAGGCCAAAACGAAATACATACGGATTGGAGGAGCTGAACCAGGAGTTGGATATTTTGATGCATGAGAGTACCGTTTTCTGAAGGTAAGCAGCTTCACCTATTTGGGTTTGGAAATCAACTTCCAAAATGATACTACCCAGGAAATAAATAGGGTTGCAGCAGCTAACCGTTCATGGCTTGGATGTTCATGAAGGCAGATGAGTTCAGGTTTCTTGCCTTCGAGAGGAGCATTCTTAGGCCCTGTTAGACGGGATGATGTATGGAGAAGAAGGAGGAATGTTGAAATAACAAGACTCTATAATGATGTTGACATAGACAACTCAGATAGGCAGGACATGTACAAAGAATGGCTGCCAACGAGATTCTGAAAATGGTTCTTACTGAAGAGCTACACAGGAAGCGGCGAGTTGGACGACCGAACGTGTGATGGAAGGACTCGGTTTCTTGGAGGCTGGAACTGGAGAGCTGGAGCAAACGGCCGATCAAACTGGTGGAGACTTTTGGAGGAGGCCCAGTCTCAGTGACAGGATGTCATGCCACTAATGTATATATGCATATAAATATAATTTGAAAAAAAAGGAACAATAAAATATTAATCCTATCACCTGTACTTTAGGTTGAGGAGAAGAACGCAGAGCACTTCCACCTCTTTGCTGCATTGGAGTCCTTGGAGGCTCAAGGAAATTACCCATAGGCTCAGACATATGTACATTTTTTGCATTTTCTCCACTAGTATCACGCTCCCCCTTTTTTCTTGAAAAGAACCTATATGAAACAGAAAAGAAATATTACTAGATTGGTTCCAAAAATTTAAAAATCATAAAATACAGCTCAGTATTGATCTTTCCCCCATACCAAAGTTATCTGGATTCATAGCGACCTTTCTGTATTAAACTTCCATAAATTTTTTATGGAAACCTTGAATTTTAACTAAAAAAAATGTTTCACGCATTAAACAAAAAGCCATATTTCAGTTAAATGAAGTGTAATTTTCATCGAAAATTGGCCCTTAGCTTAGGTTGAAATAGGTAGTAACTAAGAAAAAAAAATGCTTTACAGTTTTACAAAGCAATGGAAATTCGGGGAGGATCTTGTTCAAGAAGAAAAAATCATGACGCAGGAGTAATTATTTTGATCTTTTTCTTAACACAAAAAGAAAATTATTCATTTTATATTCAGTATAAATTTGCTTTTCTTGTTCTCAACATGGTTTAAGAGCCTTGCTTACAAGAAATTATTACGTGTGAAATCTTAACTAAAATTATTAACTATGAAAGAAAAGTTAGACTTGATAAAATACATAAAAACAAGATGAAAAATAAAGATGCATTCAGTTATTAATAGGAATTCAAAGAAATAAGATAACAATAAGAATTATTACAAATGAAGTACAAAAAAAAAAAAATAAATAAAATAAAAAGAATGACCTAAATGGAGATCTCCCACGCTTTTTCTTGTTATCGCCATCGGGCATTTCACCATTGAAACGTTGGAAATCAAGCTCACTATTAGAACGGTTCATTTTTCCTCCACCTAAAAAAAAATTTGTTTTTATAAATTTCTAATATATATACAGTACATAAAAATATACTATATGCAAATAATATCTTATATCCTTTCAATCAGGGGTCCCCAAGCCATGGCACTCGAGCACCTTTGATCAGGCCCATGAAAGTTCCTCTGACTGCATTACTCAAATTACATTACATTAAACAATTACTCAAACACAAAGTTACTTAAACTTTTATTGCATGAGTTGTTTCTTTTAGAAAGGTTATTTCACAACTGCAGTGTCATTTATAAAGCAAGTTTTTCTTTTCACCAGAAGCCATGGTCTGCGGGATTTAGTTGAGGTCTCAATGCAGTCCGTGAATCTTACTTGAAATCTCCGTTTGGTCCATGCAACTCATTGAAGATTTCAATGTAGCCCGTGGGCCAAAGAGTTTGGAAATCCATGCTTTAAATAATTCTAATTATTTAAGATATCAATGGTATAATTCTGGTTGTTAATAAACATCACGTATTAATTTTTTTTCTTGTCACTATTTTTACAAGTTGAACACCACATTGGTGAGGTAATACCTGGCATAAGATGACTGTTCTGAAAGGCATGAGTTTATTTAAGGGACATATTTTAGAATGTTGTTTGAAATTTCATTTTGACATGATTTTATTCGTTAAATGACCGATTTTCTGTTGTGATGCTCTATGAATGAGAGATAGAGTTAAAATAAACAAAATTTATGTTGATCAATGTGATTTATTTTGTTTATTCAATTACATTTATGCTGTAATTAAATGTTTGATCCACGAAATGATCCAAAACAGAGATTGAGGTGGCTTCGATTTTAAAACTTTATACAAATCATAACAACAAGAATTAGATATTTTAGATTAAATGAATAACTTTTTACTTGACTACAGTGAGACCAGAAGGAGGATTATATATCGGATTATCTACTAGAAAGTATGTAATGATTTTTTGAGCACAGCTGGACTGATTTTTAAATTTGATGGCTCAAATTATTTGGTGAAATCTTGTGAGTGTTTTGAAACAATTTGAATCCAAAACATGGACAAATTTTTGTATAAAATTTGTTTTAATAAATCCAATAAAAGGTACGGAAAAAAGCTCTATAATGATATATATATATTTTTTCAATTAAGAGCTTGTCTCTAAATTGTTCAGAAAAAAACTATATTAGGGGAATACATCAATAGTAGGAGAACACACGAAAAATGAAAAACATTGTACATGTATACTTTCTGAAGATCGTAATTATAGTTTATGTGAGAAAGTAAAATATGTAATTTTCAAAAAATAGGCTCTTAATATGGAATATGGAGTTGTCCTAACAAGGGAGATATATAGGAAGCATGATAATATGGTATAAAATAAAATAAATAAAGAAACATATGTTTGTTATACTAATAAATATGTAAAAAAATGTGTTATACATCGATTCTGAATTAGAAAAAGATTAAATTATCATCAATAACTTTTCTAATAACTTTGAATATCTTGTTTTATTTAAATTAAATTGATTTTATAGATTTTTTGATAAATGGCATTGGAAATTTATTGATGTAGAGGTGGTTTTTACATAACTGTAATAAGAGAACACTCCACCGCAGTAGGCAACATTTTTGAATCTCCATTATTGAAATTTGTATTATGTAAAATATATATATTTCTAAACACTCAATATTAAATTTTCTCCACTTTCCATACAAATTATTTTGCTATATATTACAGAGTCAGTCTTCCTCCCCTCCTGTATTTTTTTCATTACTTTTCCCCCTTTCTGTATTTTTTAAAAGGGTGATATCAGTCAATAAAATTGATTGGGGTTTTTCTTGGGCCAGAATAGAGAGTAGGAAATTATGCCAGAGTTAAAATCCCCCCCCATTGGGACTCAAATTTATAATCTTCAGTTTATCATATTGCGTATGTTATGCACATGTGTTAGCCAGCTCGACCACTCTCGGCCCTCACAAGCCTAAGGTGCCATGGCGAATCAGAGACTGTACTTTCCCAAAAAGACCTCTAACTTGAAAAGAAGACAACTTCCACTTATCAATTTTTACTTCACTACTAAAATATATGGGTGGTTCTATCAGTGAGTGTTCAAGGCTGCATTTTAAAGTTAGCTATGATGAAGCAAGGATAGGAAAATCCTTGATCTCTTGCAGCTGAATACCTCTCCTCCTCAAGCAAACAATCAGTAACTTTTTGGCCAAAAAACAATTGTTCCTTCCAACTTTTTAAATATTTTAGGTTCATTATATTTTCAATCACTCTAAGTTTAGTGTACATAGAGGTGCTTCAAAACTCTGAAGCCTTTAAGTAGCCCATATCAATAGAGTAGCCTCAAATACATTTTTATAGACATCTCTGACCATTGCTGTCTTATTTTTCTTGAATTATTATAAATCTAAAATTAAGCCAACAAAAGTCTTATAATGTAGAACAAGAATTTATAAATGAAACATATTAAGGAATTAATATACTAATTAACTATAATTATTTTAGTACAATATTTTTCAGTAATGAAAAAGATAACTTAATATAGCATATCTCATTATAGGAAGAGCTTGGTATTCTATATAGGGGAACATCTTAATTGGAATCCATATACAAGACTGAAATGACAAGAAACCGCAAGATGTTTCTATTAAGATTTGAATTATGAGTATGTTGGCGCCTTTGTGTTGCACTCTGAAGTGCATGGATAGAAATAGCCAGTGAGAATCTAGATAGTCTAGAGTTTGTAAGTTTTGAAATGTTCAAGAGATGAACCTATTTTAGTGCTGAATAAGTCTAATACAAAATAAGTCTTAATACAAAATGTTTATACTCATTCAAACCTTTTGTTTAATAGTTTTCAGCTAGTTCAATACTCACTAGATAAACAAAGCAACATTTATTTGACTATAAGGCCTATTTGGACTTTAGAGTTCAGTTTTGAGGCTCCTCTATATCACCGAATTCCTCTTGTATCTAATGCTTATAACCCGAAATCCTGTGTACAATACTTAATGCTCTTTACTTTATCAAAAATAAGATTATCCTTAAGGTCAAAAATCTATATGTTGAGTTTACTGATTTAATGATTGTAAATAACCTGTTAAAAGTTGATTTTTAATAATCTTTTTGGTGGGAATAGTGAATATTCCTTCCGTTTTATTGGGGGACTAGGTTATTTACACTCGTGAATATTAAGAGAAAACCACGGCACTGGATACAGACTTTTTGAGGGTGTTTAAATATTGTTGGGAAATTGGGCACCTAATACTTTTGTGACACTGAGTGAGAAGAAACAATAATAATATATATATGAAATGTGAGACTTAGTGAATACACTTTGAATGAATTAACTCACCTGATTTCTTATTTGTAGTAGACATCCCCCTGTATTTACTCCTTTAGATGACAATGTGTGAGAGAATGAGAAGGAATATATAATATATAGGAATGTGAGGTTGCACTGTGAATTGTACTCAATTGTGAAGTGGACAAATTGCTCATTGGAAAATCTCACATAGATAAACAATCAAAAAGAAAAAAAGGACAGGTCAGGTAGCTGGCAACAGATGGTGAAGAGGACGCCAAACACTTGAGTCAAAAGGACGGAAGCGAGAGGTAGTCATCCGGGAAGAGAGGCCTACTACTACATTGAAGACTAAGAATATCAAGCCTACAGTTATAAGACTTTTATACATTAATTTATTACAGTTATAAAATAAATTGTTTTATTGTACAGGAGTGAAAGTCATTTTATTTAGTTGTCCTATATGCCTCACAATTGAAGAATAAACCAGGTGAGTCAATTCATTAAAAGTGTTTACTAAGTCCCACATTTCATATATATATTCTTATTGTTTCTTCTCACACAGTGTCACAAAAGGTAATAGATCCCCGAATTCCCAATCACAGTCAAACACTCTCAAAAAGTCGGTATCCAGTGCCGGGGTTTTGTTTTAATAATTCACGAGTGTAAATAACCTTAAGCCCTGATATAAAAGCGGAAGGCTATTCGCTATTCCCGCCAAAAATAATCATTTACAATTAACTTCCTGTAGGTTATTTACATATTCTTCAATTGTCAGGCATATAGGACATCTATATAAATAAATGACTTTTCACTCCTACAGTGTCCTGTATAACAAAATAATTTATTTCTACAACTGTAATAAATTGACTCTATTAAAGTGTTATAACTATAGACTTGATCTTCTTAATCTTGTAGTAGAATTCTCTTCTCAGGTAACGTCGTTCCGCCTCAATGTCCCAGCCTCAAGTCAGTTCTCTTCTCAGGTAACCTCCTTCCTTAATGTCCCAGCCTCATGTGCCTTCTTCTCTCCCTGGCGTCCTTCTCCAGCTGTTGCTACCTGCTCTGTCCTTTTTCCAGTGTCCTTCTTCATCGATTGTTTATCAGTATGAGACTTTTCAATGAATAATTTGTTCACTACATTATTGAGTATAATTCATCGTGCAACCTCACATTCCTATATATTCTTTCTCATTCCCTCACACAATGTCACATAAAGGAGTAAATAAAGGGGGCTGTCTACTACATGATGGAGTACAAGTGCAATAGCATTAGAAATTACAGGTACAAAATATTATATATTATTATAGTAGGGCCTAAATTATAGTCTAATATTCAATAGATCAATAATTTTCTTTGAAAAAAAAAAAAAAAGACTCAACTTTTGTAAGTTGTTTTAAGAACAGAAAGGAACATAAACAATGGGGCTGAAGTCCTCCCCAAAACGGTAAAATATAACCATGTTTTATGAAAAAAAAAATTATCTCTTAAAGTATTATTGTTCGTGTAATTACATTTAAAAGGACTTTAGGAATCACTTAAACACCACTTCATATAGGTAGTTAGTTCCTTTCTTTTTTTCCAAAGTAACTATCGTTATTTTTATGAAAAAAAAGATTTCGGGTTGAAGACCCCCTCCCCAAAATTAAATCCTGGATCCGCTAGTTATAGGTATTGATTACTACATAATGCTGATAACAATTATAAACCAGATAAAGATTTTAAGAAAGTAAATTTTTCAGACAACTCAAAATGATTAAATTGAGTTGAATAAGTAATCTTGAGTTTTTGACTTGAAATAGTATTGAAAAGTTAAAAAAAATATATGGTTACTGTAGATAAAATAACAAAACACAATACCAGAAATATTTGATTGTTTAAATAAGAGATGTAGAGAAGAGAAGTAGGCATTTACTTTTAGAATATTGATGAATTTATATTATTAATCATATCTATTAAAATATCTTAACATCATAGGATGAGTTTAAATATTTAAACTACATAATTCCTTAAGTTAACAATCCTTTAAGTATCTAGAAGCAAGACTAAAAATGGTTATAACAACTAGATAAATAAGAATTGACAAACAACCAAGACAATGTTCTGGTTTTAATGAAACAGTAAAATTTGTTTTGGGTTTTAATATAAATAACAATTAAAAAATAGAGGCATATCTTATGAAAATATAGGAGGTCATCACCTGGTTCTAATGTCCCGTTCATATTAATAACATCTCCATTTCGTGGTAAGGAGCCTTTCCTAGGTGGACGAGCTGGAGTCACTTTTGACTTAGTCCTTGTAAGTGGTGATGAGCTTGGTGCCAATCCTTCTTCTCCTTCCATTCCATCTTCTGTATAACTTCTTTGAAGACCTGTGGTCACAAATAAATTTAATAAGATAAAATAACTCCATAAACAGTAAATGTCATAAAAATTTTGTGGAGGAACACAGGACCAACAAAATATGATAACTAACAGATCAAAAGAAAGAAATGAAATTAATTTTTCAAGGAGGAAAAAAAAATAAACAAGAAAATAATAAATTTAACTAAATATATAGAATTTGAGAATTGACTATACAATGACACTTTATTGAATTATTTACTTTTTAATAGAAATCCAAGGAAATTAAACATATTTTCAGTGTGATGGGAAACCTAAGTTCCTGAAAAATTTGGTAAAAAATATAAGGAAAACTGAACAGATGCCCAAAGTACGGAAATCATGGAGTACTAATTTTGGTTAACAATAAGATGCCAAGGACAGATTGTAACAACTGTCAAGGTATCTCAATCCTTTTAACATGTAATAAAATTTTATGTTCATACTAACATGTGGAATCAGAGCACATGTTGAGAAAACTATTAAAGTAATTGTAGATAGAATAGTTTAACTATTCATAAAATATTTTCATAGAGCAAATATTATAGACAATTTAGAATACAATGGTGTATTTTATCATATTTAGGTAGATTCCCAAAAATGATATGATTTTATTGATTGTCTTTAGCATTATAATATTCTGATTTAGCTGGAATACGTATTATCCTAGAACCTACGGGTTTGCTTTACCTTTTATTTTGTTATTATTATAATTGACTTTTTAGGATTTCTCTAATTCAATATTTGAGATGAAGGTAGAAATGAACAATTCCAAATCTTAAGATGAAAAAAAAAATACAAATTACCCTTAATATCACTCATACTAAAACCAGACTTCATAATCTGTTCAATGTGAGCAGGAGTGGTTTGGTCAGCTTCCACAAGAAGTCTGTGTTGTCTTATCCTTATTTCTTGCCACCTACGTACTTTTTCTTGTTCACTATAAGAAGTTAAAAACTTGAATGTTGATTTATTATAAGAATCATAATTAATAATAAAAAATAGGTTCTCCTTACTTTATGAATGATGGTAAACATTGAACAGGTAAAGAAAGTCTAAGAAATTCCCAATTGGCTTTTTCCATTGTCTCAAAAGTATTATGACTAATTTTAAGACATGGTGGTGTGTCAGAACCAGCAGGAATACGAGTTGCATCAATTTTAGTATCAATATAATCATCAGTATTTTCAAATATAGGATGATCTTTGGTGTACCAAAAGGTAACTGCCCTGTTCATGTTTCTGAAAATATTAAATATTATTAAGCTATTTTTTAAAGGTGAGCATTGATACATGATGTGAATGAATACATGGTATCCCGTATGTAAATGGAAACATTTAAAGAGTCGACCTCAACTGCTACAAAAAAGGTTTATCTAAACCATGTTTTGATTTTCCACAGAAAAGTATGAAAATATATATATATATTTTTTAAAGTTACGTTTTCTTGAACAGAAAGTGATGACTAAAAAAATATTTAATATAGGTAAGTAAAAATTGCTTCATTAGAAAATCATGGATTATTCACAAATTTTTTTATCACTCTCCAATTGGACTACAGTTACCTCACTTTTTTACTTTCACTTGCCTATATATTAAATATATTGAAAGGGTAAGTATTGGGATTGTGAAAATTTTTGAATCGTAGTTTTCAACAGAAATACATGTTTTAAGGTCTCTTAAGTCCAAATAACCAAGTCCCGCAAAATGGTCAGTGTGTGTGTATGTATGTGAACAGTCTAGCTCAAAAATGAAAAGTCGTACGAAACTGATATTTCTTATTTAAGATAGGTACATGCCTTAGATATTACACTAACTTTTTCCTTAAAATCGGCCAACCAGAAGTGCCACTTTATATCAACAGCAAAACACATTTTTACAGTTTTCTCTAAAACGGCTCTAATGATTTTGATTAATCAAGTGGTATTTAATATCATTGTAGGTGTTGTCCCCATTGAAGTCACTTTACAGGGCTTAATGCCCAATGTTCATATACGTCTTTCTCTAAAGAATCTTTAATATGGCTTATTTAAATAAATTAACTCTCTTTTATTGCCAGTAACTATAAAAAATGACTTTCAAACCTCTCCTCTTTTAAACACCTACTCCTTTCTCAATCTGACTGATTAAGAAATATACCTAAGAGAGCTATACAAAATATCCCCAGAAACTATTTAAGTAATTTTAGTTTCCTTTGACTGTCTTATATATATATATATGCTTTTCTGGTCTTTTTCTCTCTCTTCTTCTTAATATTTAATATAAATTTAATTAATTAATTTAATATAAATTAATATTTTTACTATTCATTCATTCATTCATGTATGGCACAACATCCCGTTACCGAGACTGGGCCTCCTCCAAGAGCCTCCGCCAGTTGGCTCTGTCTTCTGCTGCAGCTCTCCAGTTCCGCACACCAAGGAGGGTTCTCGCATCATAGGCCACGTTGTCCAACCATCTCGTCCTCGGCCTTCCTACCCGTCTTACGAGGTGCAGCTCCTCCATCATTATTTTTTTTGGTATTTCAAGGGTGCTCATTCTGGCCACATGCCCTGCCCACCTTAGTCTGGCCAGTTTAATATACGTGACTACGTCGATGTCTGCATAGAGAGAACTGAGCTCCCTATTTTTTCTTTTCTTACTATTAATTGACTAATATTATAAATATTTAATTTATTTATGACCACACATACAAGTATTCTGTACTTAAAATTTATTCTAAAGGGACAACAGTCCCAGAATAGTAAAATATATTTTCATTTCATTTCTATCTAATATATCGTTGGAAAGCGAAGAATTTTAGAAAAAATAATATTAAATAAATAAATTTGTATAATATAATAATTTCAGAAAACTAACATTATTTAACGTAAATCACATATTTCCAATGAAATTAAATGAAATTTTTTTACTAAATGTAAACTTTTAAAGTTTTTTTTAAGTTAAAAAAAAAATATTTAAAATTTACCGAATCATGTTTAATATGAATGTTTATAACCTTAAATACTTTTGCTGCAGTTTAATAACTCTAGATATGATATTATATTTAAATAATTAGATATCTATTGGCCGTTTATTCCAAAAAATCATCAAGTAACCTTTTAAGAAATTAAATTAGTGAATAATTTGATCAATTTTCCCTTTGGCTGGAGCTTCTTACAATCTGGTATAAAGATTACAAAGTATAGAAATTGTTAGAAAGACTTGATCCCCTTTTTCAAAAAGTATAAGAACCTTGTTGCCTGTTGTGATGTGCCAGGTATGATGACAGCATTAAATTTCAATCTCAGCCCTTCTGAATGGAGGCTGTTCATGGATTCATCAAAGCTATCCTTCAAGGCAGTTCTGTTACAAAATGGCAATTTACTTCCCTCTATTTCTATTGGCCATGCTGTCCACATGAAGGAAATTTACCAAAACATGGAAACCCTTCTAAAATCCATAAAATACCAGGACTACCAATGGCAAATCTGTGAGGACCTGAAGTGGTGGCAATTCTTCTAGGCATGAAACAGGAATATACTAATTACTGCTGTTTCTTATGTGAGCGGGACAGTCGGGACAGAGCATCTCATTACATCAGGAAATAATAGCCTCAAAGAGAAGTCCTGACCCCAGGGCAAAAAAATATGTTCTCTACAACCCTCCTGTGGGTCCGAAAATATCATTTTGCCTCCACTACACATAAAGTTAGGGCTCATGAAAAATTTTGTCAAAGGAATGGACCAATCAGGAGAGGCATTCAAGTACTTGAGAGGGAAATTTCTTCGCTTAAGTGAAGTTAAGGTTAAAGAGGGTGTATTTGTTGGTCCACAAATCCGTGAGCTTCTTAATGACATAGAATTTTTTAATATTCTTCAGGGTAAAGAAAGAGCAGCGTGAGAAGCATTTATAGCTTTAATAAATGGTTTGTTGGATAACAAAAGAGAGGACAATTATGCTGTCTTAGTCCAAACCCTCCTTGAGAATGACAGAGATCTCGGTTCCATAACATGTCACTCAAGATTCACTTTCTTCACTTTCGTTTGGACTTCTTTCCCAAAAAATGTGGATCTGTAAGTGACGAACATGGCGAGCGATTTCACCAAGATATATCCTCAATGGAACGAAGATATCAAGGTTGGTGGCATACTTCAATGCTCACAGACTACTGTTGGAACATTGTGAGGGATTTGCCAGAATATCAGTATAATCATCAAGCAAAGAAGAAAAGTTCTAAATAAACTGTACAACAGCACTGTTTTTGCCTAGAGAAGTTGTAATTTTAATGTTTTGTGGATTGTAAAAGTATTTCACAAATAATAAAGCACTTTAAAAGTCTGAAAAATGATCGTGTAACTTCCAATAACTTAATTTTTTTGTATTAGATTTCGTGTTTACGTATTGACAGAACGGTAGCTAATATAAGGATTCTTAAAGAAAATTCGAGTTTCTCACACCAAAATTAGTCAAGAGAAACAGTTTTCATTGAAGATACACACAAACAAATTTTTTTTGTGGGGCAGTGTAATCAATGTTACACATTTTTATGATTTTCTCGAAAATGGCTCAAACGATTTTGATCAAACTTGGTATATCTGTGTATTATTAAGCAGTTTTATTTTAATGTAGGTTTTATTCTCACTGATGTTCTCTAACTGGACTTAAATGACTAATTTTCAATAGTAGCTTCCTCTAAAGTACCTTTAATTTTTTTTATTTGAAATAATTGACCATTTAACATTAATCTTTGATATAAAAAATAATTAAATATAAAATACGAATTAATTTTATAATTAATTAAAGGAGAAATAAGAGATTGTAAAGGATAATAGTTGTAATGGAGAAACCAAACGAATACAAGCCCGCCCAAAACATTAGACCAGGCTTCCATACTTAACATATTGTGTGATGCGCGCACCAGATTATTTTTCTTGAATTAGAAGCAATAACTAAAAAAAATATTTAATTTAGGTAATTAACAATTGTTTCATAGTATACAACAATACATTATACAACGTGGAACAGTATTATATAAAGTGCCACTTCTGGTTAGCCGATTCTGAAGAAAAACTTGCTGTAATATCTCAGGTATATACAAACCTTAAATATGCAATTTCACTTTCATACGACTTTTCGTTTTTGAGCTAGACTGGCATATACATACACTCACACACAGACCATTTTTTGGAACTTGGTTATTTGGACTCAGGAGACCTCAAAATGAGTATTTCTGTTGAAAACTCACATTCAAAAATTTTCACGATGGCAATACTGTCCCTTACTATATATTTCATACATAGGTAAGTGAAAGTAAAAATGACATTTAAAAAAATACAAAACTTAAATTTCCTGTGCTTTTCTGAGCAAATATAAATAAATTTCCTTTACTTACTGGACACATAATAAGAATATCTTGATATCCGCTTCAATACTTACACACAGAAAGGTTCATAACCTTCTTGCAAACCACAGGTAGTAAAGAACTTAAGTGAGTTAACATCTTGCCCAAACACTAATTTTGCTTTTTGTCCTACTCCAAGTGTAAATGCTGGAACAAATCCTTCTCCCTGAACATCTGCAAAAGATGTTTCTCCCCCAAGTGCATCCATAAGCAGCTCACCATTTAGAGAGAAACCTAAAAAATATTATAAAGTGAAGTATATTAAAACAAGCAGGTCATAAGCTACAATAAATATTTTTAAAAAAATCATAAGAGTAGAAATTATTAATTTAACTTACTAATAGTATGATCCAATAGATCAAGAAAAACTCCTACAACGTCTCCAACTTGCCATTGTCTTCCAAACGTTTCAGCAACCCCAGAATAAACCTTTTCCTCCTTAAGTAATGAAAACATCACAAAAACAAAACAAAAGAAAGTTCATACCAACATGACAAACAACATACAAAAACATGTACAATAATCAATTAAAAGTGACATTATTAATTGTGAGACATAGAAACAGTACAATGGAATTAAGGACAAAGTATGCTACTCTAATTTTTATCAAATTTAGAAGTTATACTAAGAAATTTCTAACAAACACAAACATTAAAAAAGTACATTTGAAAGGATAAAATGACAAATTCCTCTATGTAAATTTATTCAATCCTCATTTGTTCCTGGTTGAAAATTTGGATAGGTTGGTTGAAATTATTGTTAAATATAAGATTAAGGATTAAGGAAAGTATATGAAAACAAAACAATAATGTATTCACAATACATTCAAATAAAGAATACTATTACTCACTGATTGTTCTATGAAATAAATCAAGAAAACATCCAACTACATCTCCTATTTCAAAAAAACTTCCAAAGGGTACTTTTACATTGCAATGATTTCTCATTCCCTAAATAATATTTATTTTTGATTCATCAAAAATATTTATACGGAAAATTATTATGAAATTAAATTTGAATAAAACACTTTCAATAGATACTAAACGATGTTAATACTTTCACAACAAAAAAATATGATCAAAATGACTCACATTATAACCATCATATGCCCAGGATGCTTCATCACTTCCGATCTGGGAACCTGGATTATAATCAGCAATGGCCCAACCTACTCTCATAGGCCCAGCAGTAAGAATTTCAAATTCAAAATACCTAAATGACGATATTAATTATAACAATTTTTCCAAAAGATAACAAAAAAAAAGAAAAGAAAAAGATACTAAAATATTTTTTCAATTGTTTATTTATATTTACCATTTGCCACTGGTTACTGCATATGTCTTTTCAGCCCGATAGGTTCTAAACTGCATCTGCTTCAAACGGCTTGCTTCTGCTAAGAGAGCTGAAATAAATAAATTAAAATTAAATTATATCTTAACAATGAGCAAATTTACATGTACTAAATTAATTAATAAATAATTTAAAGGCTCAGTGCCGGAATTTGACAAGCCACATGATGTGAATGAATTTTTCTGTATTGCAGTTAAACTTTTGAAAACAAATTTCAATTCTTATTTAAAGTGTTACACAGTTCACATTTTATAACAATATAGATAAATATACAATATAGTTTTACATTTTAAAATATGTAAGTTTGTTCGCATTATAATTTCATTGTTATTAGAAAAAAATAAATAATAATTCTTCAAAAAGTTAGACATTTTGTGGCTTGTCATTTCTTACTCAAAATGAAATTTTAAATTACTATTTGAGGTTTTGATGAACTCATTCGCTTCCATAAAAATTTATTTGACATAAATTATTTGGAGGGAATATGAGGTATTTTTATTAATAAAAAAAGTTGTTATTTTTCAAAAATTATAAACAATGATCTTTTTTATTTTCCTACCTATACTAGGTAAGGAAAGTATTGCGATCGGGTGAAATTTGCAGTTTTCGATGGATCTATATGTTTCAGAGCCTGAAAAGCACATTTTTAGCCATTGGTCTGTCTGTCTGTGCCATGATTTTCTCGGGAATTAAAGAACCGATTTTGTTGATTTTTTTTTTTATTTTGTAGGATTTTGACTACTGATGCCTGTGAAACAAATTGGGTGTTCCATGCACAATAGCTGCTGTGCAATAAATGAAAAACATGTTTTTCTATAGACTAGCGCGAAAACGGCTCTAACGATTTTGATGAAACTTTCCTATATTATAATGTTATAATAATTATCCTTTCAATTTTTGTACATGGACTAAATTCCTGAGAAAATTCAGGGACAAAAGTTATAAAGAAAAGAAAAATGTGTTGGGGCCTAACTCGCTAAGTATATATTCTATGGCAAAATTTATAATAAAACTTTTGATGGATCTATAAGTTTCAGAGCCCCCTAAACACCATTTAGCCTGTTTTTTGAAAGGTAATGAAATTTCCTAAAAACTACATAAAAATCGTTCTTTTCGTACAACTATTAACGAAGTTACAGCTATTAAATTTGCAATACAAGATTAGGGGTTCATATCCTGGTGTCAGAAAGGGGTGAATGAGAGAAATAAGATAACTAAGTAAAATTAAGAAAATCTGATGCCCGCATCACTAAAGCTTCACTATTTCCTCTACTTTTAATATAAATTATTTTTTGACAAAAATAGGCTATGGCAAAAAGTTTTTGATCAGCAATATTAGAGGGTATTGAAATTTTTACACTGTTCTACCTTAAGCCGGTTTACATTGCTTCAGTTTATCAAATAAATATTACTCAAATATTTTCTTTGATCAATTTTCAGGAAAATAAATCTAATTCAATTTATTTATTTTTTTCTTGATGGACATATTTAAAGATATAAAAACTTTTCTGAAATAGGTAGGAAAGTCGTGTGAGTGGATTCCAGATTTTTTTTTCTACATTGACCATTAATTAACACTTAAAATTTAAGCTTTTTGTTATTCGGTTTTACTACTGTATTAATCTGCTTGTCAGAAGTAAAAATGTGATGCAAGTTATTAAGCACAGGCACAATATCGATCGCCGATGCCACACAAGTATGTGCTTACCTACACTGGGCCTGGCTATACAGGAAGAATGGGATATAAATTCTTGGAAAAGATTTTCCTGGACTGATAGTGGAGGATCACTTCATGGAGTATATGAGGAGGTGAAAGGAAGTGGTGGACCCTATGCACTTAACCCAGGGGAACAGACGCCCTCCAGATGAGAAAAAGTGGATTCGGCAGAATCAGCACTAAAAAGACAAACAGATATGGGAGAGCTAGAGGAGCAATAGGGATGAGGAGCTGGCAGGGGGAGAGAAGGGCAGGATTGGTTGATAACCACAGGAAACTAAGGAGGACAAACAAGGTACAGCTCCTTTCTTCCAACATGATCTTTGTTGCCTTTATCTCTGTTTATTTCTTGCAGTCATACCTCAGGGAGCGCAGATTAAACTGGAGATTCTTTCCATTGTCTCCAAAGACTATCAGGTCATCCTCATAGGTCAGCATAATGTACTGGGTGAGAAGCACCATTCTGTATCCTAAATGAAAGGGTCTCATTTCCTGTTGAGCTTCTCTCAGGGCTTTTTCCAATATTACTATAAAAAGGAGAGAACTTAGGCTACAACCTTGCCCGATTCCTCCATTTGTTTGGAACTCTTTGAATGCCATGTTACTTGTCCTAATCACGTTCCTTTTGTTTTTATAAAGGGTTCTAATGGCCTCCCTTAAACCCAAATTCACTCCCTTTTACTGTAATGCTTCGTCTATATCATGATTCGTGATTCTGTCGAAAGCTGTCGTCAGGTCAACGAAACAGGCAACCACTTCCTTGTCTTTTTCAATTTTTTTATTTATTTATTGGCTTATAAACAGTGCAAATAGCATGTTAAAAGTTAATTTTAAATATTCCTATTGGCGGGAATTGTGAATATTCCTTCCGTTTTATCGGGGAACTAGGTTATTTACACTCGTACACAATAATAATATATATCTGAAATGTGGGACTTCGTATACACACTTTTAATAAATTGACTCACCTGGTTTGTTATTCTTCAATTGTGAGGCATATAGGACAACTAAATAAATAAATGACTTTTCACTCCTGTATAACAAAATAATTTATTTTCAAAACTGTAATAAATTGACTCTATTAAAGTGTTATAACTATAGATTTGATCTTCTTAATCTTCAGTGTAATAGACTTCTCTTCTCAGGTAACCTCCTTCCTTTGTTTCCTAGCCTCCAGTGAGTTCCCCTCTTTTGTCTGGCGCCCTTCTCCAGCTGTTGCTACCTGCTCCTATTCCAACCTTCTTTCTTCATCGATTGTTTATCGATATGAGACTTTTCCATGAATAATTTGTCCACTGCACAATTGAGTACAATTCATCGTGCAACCTCACATCCCTATATATTCTTTCTCATTCCCTCACACAATGTTACATAAAGGAGTAAATACTGGGGCTATCTACTACAACAGCGTAGCCATGAATCTGGCCCAATCAAGTTAGTTGTAATTAGTTTGTAAATAACAGGTACAATATAAGACATGATATAATACAAGAGGACAATATAACAAGGAAAAAATATAAATACATTAATATAGAACAAATTGTTCAGATCAATATAAATTAAGTTTCACTGTAGATTCATTAACAAAATAAATTTAATTAAAATAGAGAAAAAAATTACAAATTTTATAAGAAACAGTGATACATAAACTTAAATATACTTTTTTAGGTAGCAATAATGCAATGTATTTGTTGCCATTTTAATGGGTAAGAAAATATGCTCTATATTTATATGATATACTAATACACGAATAATCATTAGTTTTTAAAGTTTCGGGTTTTAAGTAAACTATGGGGTCTTTTTCAATAGTCTTCTCCGATATTTGCCTCAGGGTGAAGATCAGATCTTGAGTGTTTCTATTGGGCCTGAATCCATACTGCTGCTTCATTAACAAGGACTTGACTGTTCCTTTGAGCCTCTTTTCTAGAATGCTGGAATATATTTTTGATGATATGCTTAGGAGAGAAATTTCTCTACGGTTCTGGCGCTCTCAGTTGTCTCTTTTTTTTTTTAATTGTAAAATATGCCACAATATCATAAAACATTTAGATTAACTGCGCATAAACATTTTCACCCACTCATTCTAATTTATTTATGGGATATCCTTTAATTTGGCTATTTAAATTCAATCCAGTAACCTTCATAATTAGATATTCAAATTACAAAACATTATACAATTTTATATTTCAAATAAGACAGGCAATTTAAATTATAGTTGAATATTTTGCAACAACTCTGTTGCATGACATAACCAGCTTAATCATTTACTACCAGGTACATGTACAGAGGCTTCACTTAAAAAAGTTATTAAAGAATGCTACTCGATTTTCATTTTCTGGTTTAGTGGTTATGAACTATAATAGAACATTGCATAGCTCGTTAGTACATAAAATTTAGTTGCTTCTACAAAAAAAAAAGTTTCTTTTGCTTTGTTTGTACAATCATATAAGCCCCAATGTTTTAGAGCCATATTTTTTTACAATTACTAGCTGATTGAGATGTTAATTTTACTACTGGTAGAGCTTGCTGAAAGCTTAAGCTAACGATCCTGTATAAATTTTGTATTCCTTATGACTATGAATCGACTGCAGACTTGTGTTCTGTATATTTTATCAAAAAATGTTCGGAAGAGGATGGTGAGGGAATATGTTGAGAGCTATTGTAGAAAACAAGGACAAATAAATATAACATAGATAATTGTAATAGTAAGGTTCACTTTAACCTTTTGAATTTCAAAGATTTAGATTTAAGATAATCATAAAATGAGAAAAAAAAAATGCAAAAATAATACATAACATAATAAAATGAAAATAATTATACTATTTACCTTCAGTTTGTTCACCTGTAGGAGGGTCTAAATTATAACCATAAACAAGAAGAGTCCTGACAGTTTCACTTGCGGTATCCCTAATAATATAATACAAATATAAATACTGGATTTATTCAAACAAGAAAAGATCACAGATGTAGTAAATAAAAACCTGTTGGCTTTTTTAATTAAATCATCAACTTTACTGTAAGGGACGAGGTGAGGACTTCGGGACAAATCAGGATCCTGAAAAAGAAAAAAAAAAAAAAGAAGTATGTGTATTGTCCTTAATTGCAATGTAATATTTCTCATAATTTATGAAGTAGTAATGTAATATATTTCTCAATGAAAAAAATATACATATGCACATAAAAAAAAGAAAATATTTTATATGCTTATGAAGTACCTCATTAAGACCATAGGTCCAGCCTTGTTGGATTCTTTCTTTTGCCCACAAGTTGTGAGTATTTTCAGCGAGTTGGTCAACAAGTTCCTCCATTTTAGGTATTAGTGTTATGGCACTGAGATCAAGAGGAGCTGGCTTGTAACCATTAGATTGTAAAAATGGTTCATTCGGCAAACGAATGTTCTTTATTCTAGATGGTGGTTTTTCCATTGTTATATGGTAGCCCAGTGCAATGATGGTTCTAGACAAATATTTATAAATAACAAACGCATAAATTCTTAAAATATGCAATAGTTAATGATTTATTACGGGTATACTTTAAAGTTTGAACAGCAAGTTGAGTGTCATATCGCTTTTCTGCTGGAGGTAATTTTTCAAATTGCACAAGACATGGGTGTATTCTTCTTATATCATCTCTTACATCTCCATAAATCCATCCTGCTTCAATTTTATTCATAGCCCACATTTCATGGATGTTTTCAGCTAAACGATCACGTATCGTATCAACATGAACGGGTAAATTTACCTGTCCATAGATGTAAATGTTAAAAAGATTTATTGTAGAAAAAGAAAAACTAAAAATGTGAATAAATTTTAGTTCATACCATAGATGTGTCAACTGGAACTGGAACAAAAGCACAATCATCTTCAACAGGATAAGGACCAGCCAATACACATTTATTCAGGTTGCCAAAATAAAAACATGGATCAATAGAAAGCACTTGTTGAGGAAGCAAACTTTCAACGAGAGGAGAAAATTCTTCAGGAGGTGCATATTTTAATCTTCCATGATCACCTCCCAGTAAAAAACGACAACTGAAAATTTGATTAATAATTAATCTAAATTTTTAATCGTTCTATAGTAAACACATTTTATTTATTTTTTTATCAGCAGGGGATTACAATTTTAATTATTTTGCAGAGAAAACATTTGCTAGATGACTGATTCATGGTTTTGAAATTAAGACATAAATTTTAAAATGAAAAATTTTATAATATAAATGTTTACATAAATGCAGAATTGAAAGCAGTATGAAGAGAGTGTGATGGTTTTGATTTTGATGATAAGAATTCGATCATTATCTTAGTTATTAGCTCTGAATTTCAGATCAGTATTCATCACGGAAATAGTAACAGAAATCACATTCTCAGAATTATATATGTTTGCAGATTGAAAGAACTGTCTTTATATAATATAAAGACAGACAAATTGCCGTAACCTCATTGAACATTTCTCACTATTAAGTTTTCTACTAAGAAGGTCAAATATCTTTAGAAATTTATTTTATTTGACAGAACTGAAGAGTAGCAGAATTATAGAATATTATTGCATTAAAATATTATGGAAAGGAGATTCTGAACATTTAAATAACTGCAAGAAAAACTAACTATTAATTAAGTACACTTAGTTTAATTAAATTATATTTTACTTTACCTAAGTTTTGAGGAACAGCTTATAACTGGAAAGAACATTCCTTGAAGATTAAAATCCCTAAATGATCCTCGGATTAATGTTCCATTAAAAGTAAATGTAATAATTGGAACAGTCAGATCGAAAGCACAACCAATAACATCTCCCTTTCTTATGTAAGGTTCCATAGCATGAGGAAGGACTACAGTTTTTCGTCCACCTTAAATATTTATAAATTTAAAATTATTAGCAAATTAAAAAAATATTTATGAGTGACCATAGCAACACATGAATACTTTAAAATAAATAAATAAATAAATAAATAAATATATATATATATATATATATATATATATATATATATATATATATATATATATATATATATATATATATATATATATATATATATACATACATATATATGTATAAAATTAATTTTCTTATATTTACTATAAATTAATAAAAAATAAATATTTTATCGAAACAATTAGAAGAGATATTGAAATATGCCTTGAAGGATCTAGACACTGCTTTGTGACTAACTATAAAAGGTAGAAGTTTTATAAAACAAACAATCTGATGTTCATATACAGTATTTCAAAGTGAACTCTTTACGAGGAAGGTTCTTTGTGAAGAAAGTTAGTTATAAACATTTAAAAGCATGAATGTTCCACTGTTTTGTTAAAAGCTTCAGTGATGTTGAACATAACTGGTGCTAAAATATGATTTTACCAATGAAAAAAACTATAGAACCCAGCAATGATTCTGAAAATAATAAAGTAACTGGCAATAAAGTTAAAGAGTAAATAAAATACCATTAACTCAAATTTTAAACTATTTGAATAAAAATTCAAGTGAGAATTATAAAAAAAAAGTTTTTATTTTTGTAAAGGAGGCCAAATGAAATAATTTTATCTAGAATTATTGAAAATCATTAATTTGTAAAATTTATTATTAAGTAACAATGAGAATTTAATGAATTTTAAGAATTGTTATTTTTATTAATTAAATTTAATAATATGATAGTTTGGATATCAAAAGTTATATAAATATGAAATGAAATGAAAATAACTTTATTATTAAGGGTTACTTAGAGAGCCTTACGATTTAGACTCTTACCTGCATTTCATGGTCAGGTGGATTGGGAATGGAATAGGTACTTAAAGAGGAGAGATTTGAAAGAGGAAACTGACTTTGAGTGTTGAATATCAGGAGGGATAGAATTCCAGAGGGAGACTGCTTAAACTACAAAGGATTTCTCAAACACAGCAGTTTCTCACATGATAGAGATCGGAAGTATGGGATCTGGTGGGACGGGATTGAATGGAGGATATAAACTGTAGGATCTGTAGAATATAGTAGGGTCGCTGATGCAGGAAAGTAGCAAGGAAGTACTGACTTAAGTACTAATTGGGATTGAATTAATTGTTCTAAAGGTTTGATGATAGGGGAATTGGGAGGAAATCATTAGAGATTATGGGATTAGAGGTTTTATTCAGTGGACGAACAGGAGCAGTTTTCCAGATATTGAGGAATGTGGAACTTTGCAGAGAAAAGTTATAAATATGATAAAGGATAGGAAGAATAGATGGAAGTGAGAATAAATAGTGAAATTAAAAAAATCATCTAAATGTTACGGAATCAAGTTCATTCTTGAGCAATCTAGAAAGATTAAGGCTTGATCCACAATCTATATACAGGAAAAGTTCTTATTGGGTCAGTCAGTCAGGACGTAGAGAGTCCACTTGTGGTTAATTCAAAATGAGTCAGGCTGTTTGTATTCAGTTTAAAGTTAACTCTTGAAGAAGATTTTTTGAGAAGAAAATTATTAGTGAACAGTTATCAGTTTTAAGTTACATTGCCTTGCCAACAACTGTTTTGTAGTGTCTATGAATTTATTTTATATATATTTTTGAAGTGATCAAGTATAATTATATTTGTATAGACTACAAGGCCTCCGGTTTAATATATACTTTTAATTTCTATTAAGAATTACCTGTCCATAATGCAGCTCCATCAAAACCAAAAGAGTAGAGATCATCACCAACTCCATTACCGCCCCATTTTTCACCACCGCCAGGAAAGGGAACATAACTAAAAACAAATTGAGAAAGATCACAAATAGTAAAATTTGTCAAATCTATTACACAAATATTTTTAACTTCAAAATAAATGTAATGTATTTTTATGTATTGAATGGTTGACCATAGTAGTTATTTTAGGTGCTCAGGGTGGCTAAAATGACATGGAACAATTTATTTGAATAGCGTTTAAAATTTTATTGTTTGAGTTTTTCTGCTTAGAGGTGTAAAACAGGTAACATTAATGTCTCCAAAATATTATTATTTTGATCTGGATCCCACTCTAAACATCTCCTGGGATAATGATTTTTTTTTTTAAATTGCATAGTTTAAAAACGTTCAGATAGAATTTGTATTGAATAAATATTCTCGTTTAATTCAATGTTTATTACATTAATTTTCAAATGTTAAGATTGGAATTAGATATAAAAGTGTGCATTTCATAAAAATGCATTTATAAAAGCTAATAAAATTCATTTTAAATTAAATATTCAGAGGGGACAGAGTTAAAGAAAAACGAAAAGACGTTTTACTTTTTTTTTTTAAATAAAAATTATTATTTTACTCCGAAAACATTACATAATTTTTTTCCTCTCTATCAGATGGGAATGTTATTGTTTCTATAAAAACATTGTTGAATTTTTATTTTTTTATAACTATTTTTTTTAGTTAGCCACAAACATTAATCTAGGAGCACCTAATTGGGCTAAGTGGTATGGAGACTAAAGATATATCACCATCAGACAAGTTAGAAATGTTCCAATGTTAAACAAAACTGCAAGAAGAAAGCTCAATGAAAATAACCATGAATTTATTCTAATCAGTGTTCACATAGTGATAAGGTTTTTGTTCATGTCAAGGAGGACATGTGAATTGGAAGATTGAGAAAAAGTTCTTTATTCAGATGATGTACAAGTAACAAGTTGTTCTAAAACCTTCAGTTGGATGTAATTTATAGAATGGAGATAAACCCCATTCTGTATGGTTGTACAGGAATAATTCTATGGTGGCTTATTTATGCTTTTTTGGGGGTATTATTTTCTTAATTCCACTGTCCCATACCAAATAACTTGTGCAAGAAAGATATACTTACTATACATACTAGCCTCATAAATGTATTCGTACTTATAAGACATAATTGAGGAATGTGTAGTATCATATGTGTTCTACATTAGTGAGATGATTCCAGGCCACATATACTTTATATTCTAGATATTCTAGTTTGCCTGAATATTGTTGAAAATGATTGATTGATATAGTCAACCGGAAGTCCAGATTTGAATCCAAGTAGACAGATTTGGGACCAACATAAATCTTAAGTTCTATGGTGAATCTTAAGGTACTATTTCACTGGCGCGGTCCACGACCGCGACTGCTCGGGGTTGACCACTGCTTTAGTGGAATAGAAAGGAACCTATTTCGCTGGCGCTGCTCAGCAGTCTAGATATGACGTCATATCTAAGCTGCTCGTATCTGACTCCTCTTGAAGCAGTGGAGCTGTTGGCGGTTGTAGGTTGTAGGTTATGTTATCATATCAGAGCATTGTTTTGATGATAACAGTCACGTCAATACGTTTTATTTCCTATATTTCTTCCAAGTCTGGCAAAATTATAACCAATATTGTTTAAAACTGAAACAATGTAATAGTAAATTATTTTTTTAATGAAGTAACAAGATTATTTATTTATTTATTCCACCAGCAATATTTTACAGCGAAATACAAATATACCTAAATCCAAACGATATTAAATAAATTAAAGAATCCAACAAATTTTATCGTCAGGTAAATACTAAAATCCACCCATTGAAAAATCGATTTGTATTTTTTAATTAAAGATTGGTGATTTACTGATTATTATTGATAAAACTATAAAACATCGCCTGCTGTCATTTAATTACAAATATATGATATTTATTTCTAATCAATTATCTATTAAGTACTATTACTTTTCAAACTAATAATATCTAATTTCAGAGAGACTATTGTTGTTAGTACGGTGTTTGCTGCCTTTTTGTTCTTTTTTGGTTGTTCATCTAGACAACAGCAAACAATATTCAAAAAGGGATTTGATGATGAGCATCTCATCGAAATACTGATATTCCTTTCCTTTATGAACAACATTTTCTCTTCTTTTTCCTCTTCAAATAAAAAAGCGGTAGTCAGAGATGTTCATTATTATAGGATGTTCATTTTTATTACTATAGGATGTCCATCTTTTTATCTTCAAAGATACAGTGAAATGTTCGAAGGTTATAGGCAGGTTATAACAACCTCAGTGAGCAGTTTCAACGAAATAGGTACACCAATAGCGGTTGGCAGCGTGGAATAGTGGTGGCTGTCATGGACCGCACCAGCGAAATAGTACCTTTAGGTCTTAGTATCCTTAAACATCTATTCTCAATAAATAGGATTATTCCTTAAGATTTCAACCAAAATCTTTTTCAAAGAATGCAAAGAAATTAAATGGGTGTGATTCATGTCAGAGGTAAAAATACTTGGTAATGGAAACTAGTGATTTTTTTATTTTCTTATTCAAAACTTAGTACTTGTATAATAGCGGGTAGCGTCAAAACCTCCCTTGTTATCTAATCTTATTTCAGATAACCTCCCTTATCTCCTCTAACCTAAGTTTATTTTTTGTTCCTTGTGTAAGCTGTGACTTAGTCTTATTTAATTATGGATGTTGTCACATTGTGGGAATCGCCGTCTTTAGAAGAAGAGGCTATCAAACATTTTCCAGACGCCGGAAGATTAAATGGAGATGCTTTCATAGTTGTAACAAAACCGTTTTTATAAGTGGTATAAGGAAAGGAACTGGTTTGAGGGGTCGAGGATTTATTTGTTAACGGCTTTAAAATTCATATGTGTACATAGGCTGTTTAAGTGTTTTTTTATCATTTCATTTATTTTTGTCTATTTTTATTATTTCATTTATTTTTATATATGTTGCAACATTTTCGTAATGTAATTATGTGTGTATAATGTTTTGGTCTATTTAATATATATCTTGTAAAATAAAAGTATTTTTTTATTACTACATTTGTTTTTGTTCACAATTTCAATAATATCAATACAATACAATAAATATGAATACGAAGATATAATAATGTGAATATAATACAATAAACATGAATACCAAGATATTATCAGTGGCATATCAGAGTTATCAGTGTTAAGGTTAAAAACATTGGCAGATAGCAGTCGGACGCTACCCACTATTATACAAGTACCCAAAACTTTTTAAAATTAAGTATTGAAGATTATTTTTTTAATTAACTTATTTTTACAACTAAATCTAGTTTTGTATGCAAAATATGGATAAAAAAATATATACAAAATTTAAAGATGCACTGATTTTGTCCATCAGTGTAACTATTCTATGTAATATAATATAATAAAATTTTACCCAGAAGTGTTAGCCCAGCCAATTCTTAGATGCGGTGTCATATGGGTGGTTTGCTCCATATGATCTAAAGTCACTTCAAAATACCATTTCTGATAAACAGCAGAACCTTCGACTCGACCCACAAAAATATTTGGCCTGACACTGTAATCATAAAAATTGATTTTTATTTATTTCACATAAAAGATTATAAGGATAGCATTGTAAGTTTTTAATTATAAGTTACAAGATAGATAAATAAATCCCTAGAGTAGGAAAAAGTCTTTATATTGTTCTAAACACCAACCTGGCAACATGATCCACAAGTTGCGTTTGTAGAAGCAAGTTTTTTCCTGGCAGAAGGAAATCACAGATGTTGTTTTGTGAGCTACGGACTGCTACACCATTACCAACACAAAGTGAACAAAGTACATCTAAAACTCTTGGATCTCGCCCATGTTTTTCTAGCAGTGAAATGATTACTTTTATATGTTCATCCTAATCACAATTTTAACAATATATGGTCAGACATATACAAAATACTAAAAATCTTAAGTGGTACAACTTAAACTTACTCTCATCATATTCAAAGCTTCTGGAGAATCAATTAAGACGCAATGAAGTACATCCAACATACCTGTGCCCTCACTTGAAGCTTGAGAACCTAGTCTGCTAAATAACCAGTTTAATCTATTTGTGTTAGCAAATTGAGCACAATTAGTATGATTTCCTTTTATGATGGCAGCTGTAATATAAATAAATATTGATTATGAAGTAATATATTTTAAAAACGATGTTACATAAAAAAAAATAAAAAATCAAGAGATTTTTAATCAACACATTAACTGACTTTTCATATTTTTCAGAATTCTAGTAAAAAAACACTGATTTAATTTCATCATATTATACTATTGAAAAATCTATTTTGAATACATTGTAATAATTAAAGTAGTAAAAAAAGTGCTATGAGTTTTATTGTAAATTAAATAATAGGGCATGTAAACAACCTACAAGATGTGCCCTAGGCAAGACTTATAGTTATCTGATAAAATCAGTAGTCAAGATGATAATAAATATTAATGAGTTTCAAATAAAGCTTAAAGAAATAATAAAATGAATTCAGAAATATAGATTATGAAAGAGTAAGTTTACAGTTAAGATACCCATTGATGAATTATTTTATGTATAATTGAGAAGTATATTGTAAAGGTAAATGGATGATAAATATTTAGGATGCAGTCATTATAAGGTTTTTATTAGTGCCGACGTTTCAACCCAAACATGTGGTTCGAGCACTGAAGATATTCAAAGCACTTGAATATCTTCAGTGCTCGAACCACGCCCTGATGATGACCCACATGTTTGGGTTGAAACGTCGGCACTAATAAAAACCTTATAATGACTGCGTCCTGAATATTTATCACCCATGATATGTAAAACAGTAGACTAACTTCCTTTAATAATTCTGTAAAGGTAAATGATTAGCTTGAATTTAATTAAATAATATTGATAATTTCACATAAATTTTGATTGGGAGGCAAGATAAATTTGAAAAAAGTATAATAATATTTTAAAATTATGTTTCATTAATTATTTAAAAATTAAATTTTACTTAAAATCAAGTTAAAAATATTTTTGCATTATATATTTATCATTTTAAGTAAATAGAATAGACTAACAACATAATTTAATTTTAAAAATACAACTTAAAATAAATAAATATAAAATCAAGTATATTGAGAAGCAGCTACCGTGTAAAATAACAGTTTTTTAAATATAAGAAATCGAATTTCCGACATGGATATGATTTTCATTTAAAGTGATGAATCCAATACAAAAAGTTATTTGATTTTTCATTATAATTTCTTGTTTATTTATAAAACAATATTTTCTTTAATAAAATAAAATATAAATATTTAAGTGTGAAATTTTAATCTGATTCAACACTCAAATGAATAAATTAAATGGCCATATTTCACTCTATTTATCTATATTTCTTGCAAATCTGTATATTGTTGGTTTTCTGCATAAAGTCACAATATGTTTTTGGTGGAGGTAAACTTTTAAGTACACTTTTGTAAATTTCAACATTATAACACAGAATCAATTAAGTCTCAAAACATTATCACACTACATGCACCATGGCTCTGCATTTTACAGAGGAAAAATTCATCAAAGTAATTACAGATATAATTTTACAAAATGTCACTTGATGACTTTTTGCAATAAACCAATAATATAGAAATCATATCTATATATATTGATGGAGAAACACATTTTGGTTAAAGTTTTATTACTTTCTGTTTTGAACAAAGTTTGAGATTAAATTAATAACAAGACTATTGTTGGGATTGAAATAACTATGGTATAAAATAACTTATTATTTGGAAATAGTATTTAACATGATACCGTGCTACCAGCATAACGACATCACTCCTTCATTCTTGAACGTTAAATGGCAAAACTATTTTCTTAACTCTTTAAGAATGTGAGAATCCCTTTTAGTTCATAGCGAGATTTGGGGTTGAGTTCTTTGGCACTATAACGTTATTAGGTGTTGTGAATTCCAATAATCAATAACTTTTAATTATTATACTAGAATGAATAACTTTTAGTTATTAAAGAGTGATTAATGATTATGCTGAATAGGGTTTTGGGCTAATATTCACCAACACAATTTATTTTTACAGTTTCCAGTAAGTTAAGGAGATTTCAACTTTATTAATACAATAAAGAATATATACTCATTAATCAAAAGAGTAATTGGATTATTCCACAATAATTATTACAAAGTGAAATATTATAGGTTCCAATAAATTAAGAGGGCTTCATTCCTTGTTAATGTAAAAAAGAATGTTCACCATTTAATCTGTATAATAATTCCATATAAATTATTACACAATAATCATTGCAAAGTAAAGTCTTACTATTTGGCAAATATGTTACCTTAGATTTAATTTTATTAATACGTCATTGATATAAACTTCGTTAGTTGTTTTTCAATTTCATCTATAATGGTTTATAAAGATTTCTAAATATTAAAGGAGTTGTGATTTGTGAGTTGTGAAATTTTTTTTTATACTATATAATAGTTTTACAAAATATCTTCTCAAATTAATAATTTTCAGTATTATAAATAAAGCTAATAAACAGTGTAACAAAGCAAAGGGCAAGTAGCTAAACTGAGCAAGTATTAAATTTTGGCTAGAATTGCTGTCTATTGGTACTGGATTCAATGAATTCCTTCTATGGAATTAGTGTGGGTAGTTTAGGAACTTACTCATACTCACAGGTTACTAAAATAACTTGGAACACACTGTTATTTGGTAATTACGAACCTATCCTAAATTACTAACCTGTTATCAAAATTTCACAGTATAGCCAATCATTAACATAACAATAATAAAGAAACAAGCTAAATTGATTAAGCTAATAAAATTTTTTAGTTTGACTTTGGCTAACCTAGCAGTTGATACAAATATCCTGAGATTATATCCCAGCTCTGTCCAGACTCATCTCCAGCTAAACTGACTAAGAAACCTTGGGATGTTATAACATTAATTTTATCAATGGCTTCTAAGATAAGATTTAAAATTCCTTCTTCTTGGAACAAATCTTGTCTGTTTCTCAAAGCTCTTAACCGGTTTTGTTTTTCCTCATGTTCTAAAATGATAAAATGAAAAAATATATAAATTAACATACATTTTAAGACTTGAAGAAATTAATGTAAAATAAGTATACCCATATCTTCCTCAGGCTGGGCAAAGTAATTAATTAAATCTTCTAAACACATGACCATTTCATTTAAATTTACACTAGCGCAAAACAGAGAATGTCTTCGATTCATTTGCAGAGTTTCTAGACCCCTTAAAGATAATACATGGAAATTAAAAAAAATCATGTTCAGTATAAATATTTTTAATAATTTAATAGTGAAGCTTTTTAGTATACCTAATAAATTGAGTGAAAAGTGAGGAACATTTCCTTATTACTCTAGCAGTCCTTGATTCTTCTTCTTGACTTCTACTAAAGTCTAATCCATCATCCATTTTTCCCTCCTCATGAAGTACAGCTTGTTTTTCTTCTACTTTACCCACACCTTTTTTCTTAGTTTCGAATGACTAGAAAATAAATTATATTTTTATCAAGCAATTAAAATTCTAGGCATACTTGTAAATGTGTTGAATTTATATTAAATTTTCACCTTATAAGTTAACCATAAACCACTTTCTGAATGTTGGACTAAAACAGTACTGTCACCATATTTTATTATTGGAGCTCCTATTACTTCTAAATCCTTATCTTCCATTACTACTTTTTGGTCATCTTTTTCTTGTCTTAAAATGAATGTAGATAATGCTGTTGTGGCTTCCTCCCTAAAATTTCATATTTAGATTCAGTATTAATAGCATGTAAATTTAAATTAAACTTTAATTTATATATATTATTCATTTGGTAATACTAAAAAGATATCTTCATATACTAGTATATTATTAGATATTGTATAAAATTACCTAACAACGAGGTGTAATTCATTATTTTCATTAACTCCTAAGTATCTACCAGTGGTGAGATGTCGTATCCTCATTGGATGATACCAATTAATGAAACCACCAGACCATTTTGTCCTAGCCAGTTCCAATCTCCAAAGTGAACGAGCTTGACTCAAAACACTCCCTCCTTCATAAACTACCACACTATGGACAACATATAAATACAACATTAAAGGCATTAATTGAATTTATCACAACAATACTGATTGTACTCTGACTGATAATTCATGAAGTATTAAAACTGAAATATAAACTTCAGCCCTGTTACACCTAGCGACAATGTAGCATACACATGTATATGGCTACAAGTCTATCATACATAGTTTATATAATTAATTTCAAATATTCTTATATTATTTCACCATTTAATGTCCCCAGGCTTTAAATTCGTTTTTCACATTTTTTTTTCAGGTTGAGAAAAAAGTAGTGGTATTAACTTTTTGTATTGTTTATAAAGAATGGAGTAGTGACATTAAAATAAATTTACTTCAACCACAAGAATAAATATTTCAATGTGACTGTATAAAGACGTAACAAATGTTACTGTTTCCACTTTTACATATGATTACATATTGATATGAATCAATCTGTTTGATTAATTTTTAACCATGAGAAATTACACTATTGTATGGTGTTATTTCGAATTCTAAATACCTTTCTTAATTTTCTCAAATACTTTGATTGTAAAGTAGGAAAATAGGTTTGTACAAAATTTGGAGAAAAATGTAATGGATGTTACTGGCTTTTCTTACAAAACTGTACATTTAATATGATATAAAAGTTTTTAAAAGCATCTGTCTGTGGTACCAGCTATCAGTCTGTAGTAGACATCCCCCGGTATTTACTCCTTTATAAGACATTGTGTGAGGGAATGAGAAGGAATATATAATATATAGGAATGTGAGGTTGCACTGTGAATTGTACTCAATTGTGCAGTGGACAAATTGTTCTTTGAAAAGTCTCATATCGATAAACAATTGATGAAGAAGGAAAAAGGTCTGACCAGGTAGCAGCAGCTCGAGGAAGACACTAGGGAGAGAAGGGGCACTTGAGGCTAGGACACGGAGGCGAGAGGACACTAGGCCTGGACAGGAAGAAAGGAGGTTGTCAGAAGAGAGAGGTACTACATAGAAGACTAAGAAATTAAGCCTGCAGTTATAAGGCTTTTATACATTCATTTATTACAGTTATAAAATAAATTGTTTATTATACAGGAGTGAAAAGTCATTTATTTATTTAGTTGTCCTATATGCCTCACGATTGAAGAATAACAAAACAGGTGAGTCAATTCATTTAAAGTGTATTTACTAAGCCCCACATTTCATATATATTTCTTATTGTCTCTTGTCACTCAGTGTCACAAAAGGGAATTAGATTCCCGATTCCCAACAACAGTTAAACACCCTCAAAAAGTCTATATCCAGTGCCAGGATTTTGTTTTAATTATCTCGAGTGTAAATAACCTAGTTCCCCGATAAAAACGGAAGGCTATTCGCCTATTCCTGCCAAAAAAAGGTCTTTACAATTAACCTTTAACATGTTATTTACAAGTCCATGTGCAATCTTAAGGCATAAAAGAGCTGGCTGGACACCATATATTTTTTCTTCCAAAATAAGCAATATCATAAAAATTAGGCGCAACGAATGTAACCATTATTTTACTTAACATTGTTCAATTAATATTATGGATAATTGCAAAATGAGTAATTTGTGGGAGTTTATTTAGGGTTAAGGTTTCATATCTGTCTACAATTTGAATACATCAGTAACAGCTATTTGGAATGAAAACATAATGAATTTTACTATTAATTATATAAATTTAATAATAAAAGGCTTAGCGAACCCGAAGGTTCGATGCCGACACCACCAATCGCTTATTACACACCTCCCTCCACCGTTCGCCGTCCAAACCCAGTCCCTTCAGATCGGCTTTAATGCAATCTTCCCACCTTCGCTTCGGTCTACCCCTCGGACGCTTACCATTCGGCATAGCAAATATTAACCTTTTAAGAATTCTATCGTTACTAAGTTCAACAACTTTACAAGCCCATTTGATTTCGCCGCGATGAAATTATCCCAATTATATTACTCGGATACAGTTCACGCAATTCGGCGTTGTGTAACCATCTGAACTCTGGGGTTAACTCATCCTTCTTCGGTCCGAATATTCTACGCAATACTTTATTTTCAAAAACCTTAAGACGCTGCTCATCCCTTAATGTAAGCGGCCAAGTTTCGCATCCATAAAGAACTGTAGGCAAGATAATTGTTTTATAGATTCTAATTTTTAAGTTTCGGGACAAGAGGCGCGAACTAAGTAGTTTGTCACAGAAAAATAACAAGCATTTCCCGCCTTCAGTCTAACCTTAATTTCTTCTTCAATTTCGTTTTTTCTAATTATCGTAGAACCTAGATACCTAAACTTATCTACCTGTTCAAACATATTACCATCTATATCGATATCACCAGTAGTATCGCCATTTTTGCAGCTAATCATATATTTTGTTTTATCCACGTTTATTTCGAGTCCTAGTTCTTTACCGGCTTTCATTAACGTTGTCGTATTTAGTTTTATAGTTTCAAGGTCTTCGCTTAACAGTACCAGATCATCCGCATAGCCCAGCACGGATGTTGTCCCACCCAGATCCAACCCTTTCTCGGTACGCACTACCTCCCTAATGGCATGTTCTAATGCCAAATTGAACAGGACAGGCGAAAGGGAATCCTCCTGTTTTAAACCCGAACGAACCTCAAATGTTTCGGACAGATTATTACCGATTCTAACTTGATTGAGTGTCTCCGTCAAGCACATCCTGACTAGATTTACTAATTTTTTAGGAATCCCCTGCTCGATTAGAATATTATACAGTTTCTGGCGGTCAATAGAATCGTAAGCCTTTTTAAAATCTATATACAGCTGGTGAACAATACCGTTGTACTCCAATTTTTTCTCTAATATTTGCCGTAAAGAAAATATTTGATCAATAGTCTAACGATTCCATCTAAATCCGCATTGGTAGTCTCCGATAATTTCCTCGGCGTATTCTGTGATTCGACTGGTTAAGATAAAAGTAAATATTTTATAACATACCGGAAGGAGTGAAATTCCTCGATAGTTATTACAATCCGTCCTCGCGCCCTTTTTGTGAATAGGAATAAGAATAGATTCTTTCCATTCTTCAGGTAATTTCTCATTCATCCAGATCTTTTTAACCAACCGATGTATTTTAGAAACTCCAGCTTCTCCGCATGCCTTAATTAGTTCAGTAGGAATATTGTCGGTTCCTGCTGCTTTATAAGATTTTAATTTTCCGATAGCTAATTCAACTTCCTCTTTACTCGGTTCTTCTATCAATGGTTCAGCAATCTGGTACTCAGGAGGACACAGATCATAATTTCCCGTATTTAAAATATTGTCAAAGTGGTCCTTAAATGTATTCAATATGTCAACCGGATCGGTCAGAATATTGTTATTATCACGGACCCTACACATTTAAGTGATCTGTTTATACCTTTGTACATGTCTCTTACATTATTTTTGATTCTATTAGTTTCTATTTCAATTATTTTATTCTTAAGATACTCCCTTTTTTTATTTTTGAGCAATTTTGTCGTTTCGTTCTTCGAGGTTCGGAAGTATTCCAGATTGTCTTCGCTAGGATAATTAGAGCTTATAATTTAGCGGATTTTCGTTTTTCGCACATGTTTAAGCAATCTTCATCAAACCAGGGTTTGTTATTCTTATTTTCTTTTTTTCCTAGACACGAACCTTTTTTACCTGTTACCGACCGCTTTAATATTATCCCTGATCTCTACCCATAACTTGTCAATATCCTTGTGGTCCTCGTCAGGAAGCTCTAAAGCTTCAAACCTATTCTTAACATCTAGCTCGAATTGGGTTCTAATTGATGGATTTTTTAATTTGTCCAAATTAAAATTCTCAAAATGGAAACGGTTTTCTTTTCTCTTTTTTCCTTACGTAGCAGTCCCCACCCGGAGACCCGAACGGGGGACTAGTTTACTTCCGGATAATGAGCGTTTTACCTTAGGGAGATCCATGACTATTTGTGGTGTTCGGTGAACTAAAGATATGTGAGTAGGGCGTTCAATCCTACGTCACACCCTCCAGCAAGTCTGGTGGGTCCCTACCTCCAGCAAGTCTGGTGGGTCCCTACCTCCAGCAAGTCTGGTGGGTCCCTACCTCCAGCAAGTCTGGAGGTCCCCTCTCATTGTTGGTCAGCGAGTCCATCGGACTTAGCCGGGAGGAACTTCCAAGGAATTTCTACCGACCATCCCCACATCCGCCACCCGTGGGACGCCCCCCATACGCGGTAATGAGCCCGCGCGAGGTATAAATTTAATACACTTTATTTTAATTGTTCCTACTACTACCTATTGGTCATACTAGTTTCTTTAATATAAGCATTTAGGGAACAGGAGGAGGATTTCATGAATAAATCCTCATTCTCATTAGTTGTTTTTCATCAATAAATTACATTGTTGAAATAAACAAAAATCATCATTTTTTTTCTAATTTTTTCTCATGTTGACATGAAATATTTACAGTTTATGAAATAAACGAAAATCATAATTTTTCTCATGTTGTCATGAAATATTTTTGGTTTACTTTTATCTTTATCATATTGATAGCCAATATATCTTTCCAATATGCTGATAATGTTTGTTCATTTAAACTGAATGAATTATTTGTTATTTGATTATAAGGAACTAAATTTTGTTATTGAGGCTTTTTTCTTTTGAAATATCTATGAAGTAACGATTTGCTCGGCAATTTTTCAAGAAAATGTTTTTACTTTTAATTAAGAGTACCCACTTTACAGAAGCCAGGAGAGATCGCCTGATATCAGGGTCACCCTACAGCTGATGTAACAGAATAAATAATTTTCCTGCCATTAGCTGAGATTCGAACCTGGGACCTTGAGCATTAGAAGCTCCCAATCAGCGCCCTATCATTGAGCTACCCCACTTCCCTTGATTTGATAATTTTTCAATATTTTTGTATTTGATACATTTTGAAATTTTTAATATTTCTCAGAGCACTTTCTCTTATATGTAAATGACCATAAAATATTTAATTTAATGTTACCTTATTTTATTTATTTTTTGCGCTACGGTCCTACAAGAACCAGGGCCTCTCTTGTTGTTCTTCTCCACCTCATCCAGCCATCTCAGGCAGAGTCTTCCTCTGCTACGTCTTTCACCAGATTGATCATCCAGCAGACATTTGGGAATGGAATCTTTGGGCATACGTGCCACAAGGCCCAACCATATGATTTGCTTACTTCTTACAATTGAGATCAACTCCGGCCTAACATAGATCTCGCGTAGCTGTTTATTGTTACGAATTCTCCACTGCTCATATTCACACACCGGACTGTAGATTCTGTAGAGAACCCTTTTGCCCCATGCGAGTAGCTTTCTGAGGCCTTAGACATAACCATGCGAGTAGCTTTCTGAGGCCTTAGACATAACCAAGTATCAGATCCATAGGTGATGATGGGTCTTATGACTTTTTCATAAAGTGTGATGAGAGAGGGAGTTATAATTTAGCAATTTTTTCATGGCAAAACAGCATCTATTCCCAGCAACCATTCTTGCTTTTAGATTTTCCATTATATCATTACTTTCTGTAATTAGATCACCTAAATACTGAAAGGTTTCTACCGCTTTCAGGGTGTGATTACATAATGTGACACATTCTTCTGTTTCACTCGGCGTTTTTGAAGTTCGCATGTAAACAGTCTTCTCATTTATTTGAAGCTCTAGATCTTTAGCTGCTATTTTAAATTTCTCGAGTGCTCCTGCTAATACTGTTTTATTTTTTGCCTCAAAATCCTCTGACAATATACAATTCATCTTAACTAGAGATCTGTTACCACTTAGGGCCATTCTTGTCAAAGTGGCTAGTTTTTTGGGGATTCCTAATTTTATCATTGTCTTCAGTAATTCAGTAATTGGCAGTTCCAAATCATTGTTATTAACTTCTTCCCATCCTACTCTGGAATAGTTTTGCATTAGCTATTTAATGTAACTACATTCTTTTAATTGATATTTATGTTTATCAGCTCTTAAAACTATATTCAAGGTAACCAAGTTTCATGTAAATTTCACAAGCTTTTATTTATTTTATTTTATTCCATTTACTTTCACTTACTTATACATGAAATATATAGTAAGGGAAAGTATTGCGATCAAGAAAATTTTTTAAATTTGAGGTCCCATGAGTCGAAATAACCAAGTCCCACAAAATGGTCTGTGTGTGTGTTAATAGTTTAGATCAAAAATGAAAAGTTGTATGAAAGTGAAATTGCATTGCATATTTAAGATTTTTATATGCTTTGGATAGGGAGCGGGGTAGCTCAGTGGGTGAGCACTGACTTCCAGAGCTCAAGGTCCTGAGTTTGAATCCGGCTAATAACTAGTAATTTTTCATTAGCGGTGGATCAACCATGGGATCGGGAGACCCTCCTGGGGCACACCCAGCCTCTATGAAATGGGTACTCTTAATTATAAAAAATAATTAAGGGGGGGAAAACTTGGCGGTTGAGTGTAATATCGGCCCCATCACCTCCTTGCACAACCGTTGGCTTCGAAACAGTACTTCCTCGCATAGTATTGCACCTAAGACCCTTCATGGGTTGTAGTGGTACAGTTTTTTAGGTATATGCTTTGGATGTTACATTAACTTTTTCATCAAAATTGGCTAACTGAAAGTGGCACTTTATATCATGTGCTAAACACATTTTTACGATCTTCTCAAAAACAGCTCGAACGATTTTGATTAAAATCATTATATCAGTGTAAAATTAAGCAGTTTTAAAGAAAATGTTGGTTTTATTGTGAATGATGTTCTCTAACAGGGTTTAAATGGTTTGGTTAATTTTCAGTATTAGCTTCCCCTAAAGAACCTTTAATTTTTTTATTTTAAACAATTGACCATTCATCTCTAATATAAAAGATAGTTAAATATGAAATATGAAAGAATTTGATAATTAACTAAAGGAGAAATAAGAACCAAAGGAATAAAGCGCGAGCTCACCCGAAAGATTAAAACACGCTTCGATACATAAAATGAGCTTAATATAATAAGGACTCTGACAATATTATGAAAATATACATATGCGGTTTTCATAAATGCTATTGTTGGTAATATTTAATTATATAAATTAAATATAAATATTAAAATTTGTATGTATATATATGAGTACTTATACAAATAAAAATACCCACAATGAAATATAAATCAATATAGCATTTATAATTTTTACATTCACTTCCCCTTTGTCTGAAAATCCTTATTTCTGCTAAGAAGAGGGTGGTAAGTGAAAGTTGTATGATGCACACACCACACTAGATTTTATTTTTTTCACTTGGTTTTATGACAAATGACTCTGATAGAAATTAGATAAACTGATTCCATAGTAGAGGACACAGGAAAATTGTATGGGGAATAGGGACAAAGTATTGTCACTGTTTTACACAATGTTCCACTACATTGTCGCTAGGTGTGTACGAGGATTTAATCAAAATAAGAGTACTACAAATATGTACCGCTTCAAAATTTGTCTTGATTAGCTTAGCACATTTTCTAGTTATAAAGCAAATATAATAGTAAATAACAATAAATAAACATTTAAATAATTATGGAACCAAAATTCAATGATGGGTCTTAGCCTTTACCAATATCTATTTAAAATAGAAAATGTCCATTGCCATTGTAATACAAATTAGGACATTACCATAGTACATGGAAATGAGTAATATTCATTAGATAATCATTTTTTATGTTTGCATCTCTGAATACTCTCACATTGAAGTGATAGGATTCAATTATGCTGTGAATCAGTAATGTTTTTAAAAGTTCTAAATATGATGTCATATATAGACACATAAATCAAGTTTTATTCCTTTCTTTTACTTCTTTATTCTAAGTTTATATTTTGTTCTGCCCAGTCATATTTAAGATCTAGATTGATTTTTTATCATTATTACTTTATCAATTTATTGTTTCTTATATATTAAATCTAAAATTTGAATATAAATTATAATCAACATGAATATAATATAGAACAGTATGTCAATATAACGTTTATCAAAGGTTATTTAACCATTCACAATTAATATTTCTTCTTACTTTTGTCCAGGGGTTTCACTCCAAGTTGATGGAATGGTAAGGCATTCATCCCCACCATGGAAAAATCTTAACACATCTCCTCCGAACACATAACCTGAAATTTTTAAAAAGATCATCATACTGCCCTAATATTGAAATCTATTGAAATACAATCAATGTTATTATATTATCAATAAATATATGTGGAAAATGCAATTGCCAATTATTTAGCTCTAATGGTCTCTGGAATCGCTAATAAAGTGCTTCCTTTACCTAAAGCACAAATATACCTATACCTCTTTAATTTTTTTAATAATGAAAATCGTGCATATTCATATGCTCTTTATACACTTACCAACATACTTCATTTTGCTGATACCAGTTCCATAAGGCTGAACAGACCAATGAGTTACATGGAAAGATGCATTTACAATAGATTGATCGTTTTCTTTAGCAGTATGCTAGAACAGATAGAAAAGGAAATGAGACTGGTTACAAACATAATTCTTATAATAATGAATGATTTAAAACCATTACCAAATATCTTTCAGTGGCTACAGACACAAGAATTAAATCATCACCAACTCTCACTTTTTCACCTTCTGATCTCTGTTTAGAAGCAGGGTGTACGGTCCACCAACAAGCTTCGCCTGTAGAATACATCATTTAGGCAAAAATATGTTTACAAAACAGTGTTATACTTTTACTGATATACCTTTAACATACCTTGGGAATGTTCTTGTAAACCAACATCAAATGAGAGCTTGTCATTTGATGAACTGGTAGATAAACAAGCCAGATACTAAAAAAAAAAAAAAAAAAAATAAAGAGAAAATAAAGGCAATCAATCAAAGTTTATGATTTATATATATTTGAGTTAGTTAACTATGTTTGATAACATTACCATGTCACTGTTTTGGTGCCGGAGTAGTATAGCATTTCCATAAAGAAGAGTCCTGTGACCAGATCCAGTTCCCTTTCCCTATTAATGATCATAGAAGTATGTATTATAAATACCTAAATATAAATTAATAGCAAAACCAATGTACTGTAAAAACTGATTAAAGTGTTCAAAACCAGAGAAAAAAAGGTGTTAATGAAAGTCATATAATAATAATAATATAAAAAAAGTATAGTTTTCATAACCACAGCAAGTATAACAAATTAAATAATTTGGAAATACTAAAAGCAAACATGATTTATTGCATACATTAGTTATTCTCTCCAAGACAAAGTGTATTTCAAATGTTAAACTACAAAATCACAACGATTGAACCTGAAAGCTCAGCTAAATTAATCTACTGATTACAATTCTTTATAAAAACAATTGATTTTCAATAAGAAAAATTTCACCTCAAAGTTGATTTAGAAATAGCAGAAATGCCTAACTTCCATGAATTCGTACTTACTAATGAATCCTGACCCTGAAAAATAATTTATTTCCTCAAAATTTCTTTACGTTTGTTAACATGAAGATCTATTACTCAAAAAAAAAAAATATAATAAAACTCAAAAAAATGTAGAAAATTATTAAATAGCTAAGAATATATATGAATTTTACCTCTTCAGATCCAGCTGCTGTAACTAACTCCTGAAGTGCTCTTACTGATAGAGCTTGTTCAATAACAAATACACATGTTGAAAGGTCTGGTGGTATATTCTGAAAAAGTATAAATAATTTTGTGTGATATATATTAAGTAATTATAGTTTATAGTTAATTAAATCATATAATGATTGTATGCTTATGTAGTGTAGTGAAATAGAATGCAAATGCTTACCTTATCAGCAATATTTTCTAGAAAACAGTGACGGTTACCAAAGCCCTCAGCTGCTAAGCAAACTCTCTCTCCAGTTGCTGTGCATGATAGGCACACCATATCCTCCTGCAAAATTAGAAAAAATACCTTGTTAGTGAAGATCAAAAATATTTATAAATGACAAATATGAAAACTTCAAATGTAATGCAGATCAATTAGCTACACATGTTTTTATTTTTCTACTAACAATTATATGGTAGAAAATCAGTTATCTTTCACAGTGGAATCACGAGGGGACATCCATCAATATTTCAAATTGATTCACTGAATTTAATGGGCTTCTGATAGGCTTACTTAGCAAGTTAAACGAGATATGAAGCAAAGTGCTGGCTAAAATTATTATTACTTTTAGGCCTTTTAACGATTTATTTGGGGTAAACCAGTTCCCTTTTGCTGAGGATGGATGTCATTGATATATCTCCAATGTCATATAAAATTTCGAGATATGCTCTAAACTAGACAAAATAGTAAAGAACCAAGCAGAGATATGAACAACATTTCAAGTTTTTTGTTACATAATAGGAAAATTTGATAGCTTCGTAGATTTGTATAGAATTAGCTCTGCTTGACTCATACATGTCTTTCTGACCTCAGACAACAGTTCCAGCTTTATGATGTATAAAATCAATAGCAAAATAGAACTTGCGTAGACAAGTATTAAGGAAAAAAAAAATCGTTCAGTTTTGGATATGATGTTCTAGTGAAAATTCACATTAGTTAAAAAAACAACACAGAGATCTGGTGTCATTATATAGATTTACGGAAGACTATATTATAATGGGAGGATGGATGATGGCATTCCTTTCAGATATCACATTGAATCACGGGCGGATCTACGAGGAGGGAGGGGAGGAGCTTTCGGGCTGAAGCCCCCCCAAAATGGAAAAATATAACCATGTTTTATGGAAAAAAAAATTTAAAAAATACCTCTTAAAGTATTATTGTTCGTGTAATTACATTTAAAAGTACTTAAGGAATAACTTAAACACCAGTTCATATAGGTAGTTAGTTTCTTTCTGTTTTTCCAAAGTAATTATCGTTATTTTTATGAAAAAAAAACGTTTCTGGCTGAAGCCCCCCCCCCCAAAAATTAAATCCTGGATCCGCTAGTGCATTGAATAAAAATGATGAAGTTTTAGTGATGTTTTCTTTTCAAGGCTACTGGATCAAAACCATCATTGAAGCAACTAGCCAGTTAACAGAATTTATTTCACAGTTATTTCTGTGGTCCAGTGCTTCCTGTTTTATGTTTTATACTAAGGGACAAGGAGTGGACAATGATCGAGGAAGAAGGATAGGATATAACAATTTTTAAGCATAAAATTAAGTTTAGACATATAAAAAACAATGTAAACATAAAATAAACTTTGAGATGAAAAAAATAAATTTCCAGTATTTCGAAATAATTATTCCTTTAAAATTAATTTATAACATAAAAAAATATAAATATCCGCTTGGTTTAGATAAATTGACAAAGATTGACAAAAATCAAATAAGGTTCTAAATAATTTATACAAAAATAAAAAATGCTTAGGATAAAAATAAAAATATTTGAGATGCGAAAAAATTTATAAAAACATAAAAAAAAGCTGGAAATGAAAATAAAAATATTTCTAGCAAGAAAAAATAAATTCACTGCAAACTGAAGGTAATTTGTATAAAACGTTCAACTGAAAACGTCCAAATCGCTTGGTTTTCCTATATTTATCACTGGGTATCCATCTGACTGTCTACAGCTAATTTTACCCCCACTAAACCAGACATATTTTATTTTTGCAGTCACCCTCTTCTTTCTGGTTAACCAATAAAGGTGTTTATTGGCGGACGTCATAGCTTCACTCACATAAACGGGGTGTGAGTTTATGCGGCTGTTCTCTTCTTAGCCTAGATGGCTTGTAGAGAAATTTCTCTTCTTGGAGGGTTTCAATTTTTAATAACCGGTCCATATTCTCGTAAGATAGTTCCGATTGATTCTGGAGGGTTTCTTATATCTCCTTCAGTTCGTCAATATCCTGAAGTTTGGACTTCATTTTCTTCACTTCATCGGCCAGCGACCTCGGTAGGTCTATCGCAGAACTATACGCGATACTGATTAGCAATCTGTACATTTCCATTTTTTACTGGTTTCTTTTAGGTCTTCTGAGTCTTTAAAATCTATTTTTATGCATTTAGCATTTACGTTATATGAAATAAATAAAACCTATTTATTTGTTGTATAACTACTTTATTAACATTCATATTAAATGTTGTTCAAAGTGATTTCCTTGAGCATTAAGACAGGCTCGGCATCTTTCTTCAGCAGCAGCAGTGGCAGATAGGCACTGGATATGTGTTGTTGTTTCAATTAGATTAGATTCAAAAAGATTCAATTATCATTCTTCGTGAGGAATCAAGGTCATTGATCGGACTTGCATAGACTTTGTGTTTAATATCATCCCAAACAAACAAATCCAGTAGTATCATGTCTGGAGAGCGTGCAGGCAAAGTCGGATATTATGGGTAAGATTAAATGCACAGAACCGAGTATGTTGCATTCCGAACAGTAATGAAGCATGTATCCTAGAGAATATTCACCATAAGCACCAATGGGTTCGATTAAATATTTGTTTAGGGATGGTATAGTCCAGTCAATGACTGCCCAAAAGGGGTGTGTAGAGTACGTGAGCAGGGAGGGGAGAGGGAGGGAGGAGGGAAGAAAAGGTCACAATTTTTGGATTTTCGATTATATCTCGAAAACGGTGCATCGCAGGGGAAATTTTTCGTATAGGAAATTAGTCTATAAAACCATGGGATTTTTTTATTCTGTAGGTATAAACCGTTTTCGAGCTACACCACGTTCGGAAAAATATGACATTTTCGAAAAAATTAATTTTCTTCAAAAATTCCTTCATATCGTCTAAGATATTCATCAGAGAAAGAAATTCATTTAAAAGAAGTTGTAGAGACTTAAATTTCCTACTGGAATATATTAGCGAAAATTCGTTTTCGAGATATAGACGAAAATCCAAAAATTGTAACCTTTCCTCTCCTCCCACCAACTCCCCCCCCATCATCCCGGCTCACCACCTAGAGACGTCAGGACTTTTGATATGTTCATATTCTAAGCACCCTGAACAAGATTCTGAAGGAATCGCTTAGATCCCTGCTTACGCTCTCTATACCTCCTTTATTGACTGGATTAGTAAGGTAATTTGAAGTTGGTATTCGTTTTTCGCACCTCAAAAGAATCCTCAAATACGAATTTTTATAGTGATCAAAACATATATTTGCTCAAAGGTATCGCCTTCAAATTAAAGTTCTTATAGGTTCCGAACGATTTTAGAGCTGCCTGCAAAAATTATGTTTTTTTGTAAAGATTAGTTGCACAACAGAATTATTGCTCCGATTCGGTACAAAAGGATTGTATTTTCGATATATTAAACACGATATATGTTATCATTTACGGTAATATACACGATCCTTAGTTCTGAGAAAATTGCAGTTAAATTTATTCGAATTCGTTTAAGTACCACACATAGGAACAGAATGAAGCAAACAATAGCTCCACAAATCTAATTAAAATATATACTTATTAAATATACAATTTTTTCTAAACTCATTAATATTCCGAAATATAAAATATTCTTTAAATTCAATATCAATAAAATGATTTACAGTCTCGTTTCTTGCGACATCAGATCAAACCGACAATAAATTAAGCTAAATGCCAATGAAGCTTCTCTGGAATAAGTTTCATTTTATAACTTTTAATTTATTACTTACTAATCAATATTTTGTTTTATAAAAAAAAAATAAACATTTTTAGGTAATAAGTTCAAATTTATTGACAAGATTTGTAATGAATTTGATTCGGCAGTTATCATGGTAACGATTACTTTAAGTTTCGAAAGGGTTGAAAAAAAAATCGCAACACACAACTTTCACTTACCGCTCAACATTGAATAGAAATTATTTTCGGGCAATTATAAAATTTTTGAATTGCATTTTTAACTGAGCTAAAGCTAAAAAATTACATCTAACAAATAATAAATACCATCAAAAAACAAAAGTCCTATTTATTATATCACCACTTGATTATGGATTGCACGATCTGTTGATTATGGATTGTACGACTATTAGTTATTAAACTGTTATTTTTCATTGCAAAGTTTACTAAAACGGAATTAAGAGATTTGCATTGTCTGTCATAGACAGGTCAAAAGTTGTCACATTAATTGTAAGTTGGAAAATCGCAAAAAGAAATGCAATCAAACTATTAACTAATTTGATTTTCTAAAAGGTTACATGATGATTTTTCGGAATAAACGGACGATAGATACCTAAATATTTAAATATAATATCAGATCTAGAGTTATTAAACTACAGTAAATATAGTCAAGGTTATAAACGTATCTATGAAATATTTTTATATTTCACTATTTTTTCTCTCACAAGTACAATGAAATAGCAGTGGATACTGTTGGAAAATATCACAAAGGAAAGATTCATCAAATTATTCACTAATTTAATTGTCTAAAAGGTTGCATGACAATATTTCGGAATAAACGGCGGTAGATACCTAATTATTTAAATATAATATCGGATCTAGAATTATTAAACTACAGTAAATGTATTTAAGGTTATAAACATATGCTTTATACACCCATGAAATGATTTTATATGTTACTTCTTCTTTCATACTAGTACAATAAAACAGTTTTTTAAACGATATCATTGCCTTGATCAGATGGATTTTAAATACTTTTTTCAAACTTAAAAATATTTTAAAAGTTTACATTTAGTTAGTAAATTTCATTTTAGTTTCTTGAAAACATGTGATTTATGTTAAATAATGTTAGTTTTCAAAAATTATTATTTATAATTTTGTTGCCACTCCCTGTTGGCTTTTACAACTTTCTATATTAGATATTGTTTTCTCTAAAATTCTCTGCTTTCCAACGATATATTGTACGTATACTTTCTGACTAGTATTTCCTGAGATTCATTTTCGACCTGAATAAGAATTTTTATGATAATTTACCAATTATCAAATTCTTTCAAAATTTATATTTAGCATTTTTCTGTAAC